AAATATAAGAGAAATATAACAATTATATTTTGCTTACCTAACATTAAAACTTAAGCTACACCATTCACCTCTATACCTAACACCTTTAATAATGAAAGAATATAAGTCTAACCACAGTATGTCTGCTTCAGCTCAGAAACGACTGACAAATAAAAGAAAAGTATAAAATATAAAATATACATTTTGATTTTTTGAAGTTCAGTAACTAGGACACCATGATATCATAGAACAGAAGATTTACCAGCATGTAACGTTGATTAAATATCCATTCTTTAATTATATATGTGTGTGTTTGTCTGTACTACTCTTCTGTATGCAATAATATATATATATATATTCATATTGTTGGAAACGTTACTTCAAAATTGTTTGAGAAAAATTACATTCCTACTCCATTACATACTACAGTGTGTTTTCTTACGGATAGGACAATTTTCTTTTGGTGAGTATCAACTCTTTCGTAATAGACCTCCTGGAAACTATCATTTAATTAACCAAACCCTGCCCATTCCACAGAATAGAAAGACACATCTTTCTTCGATTGTGTCTTGTTACTTTCCATTTCATCATTCTTCGGAACAGGTGCCCCTATGACCCAAATCTTTTTAACAGCTGTTCCCAGTCTAGCATTTGCGGCTAATTCTAGAAGATCCAGAGATTGATCTTTATAATGTAATGCATCCCTAACAACCATATGTGAGTGATACCTTAATGGATCTCCAGGGTAAGCAATAAATTTCCCACCAAATCGTCCACCGGGAGCTAATACATACCCTCTATCCTTCAACACTTGGAAAAGTAAGTAATTATCCCAATTCCCATATTGTGAGATTAATATATGTAGTAAATAATCATTGATCCCATTTTCATAATTTAAATGAATATTATTTAGTAAATTGGATGTTGTTGGTGTCTCTATAAATAACGATGCTTCTAATAATTTTTCATTTGGTGAATTATCTCCTGTAGTTTCGTTAGAAGTCTCGGGAGGAATTATTCCTAATCGTTCTAATTTCAAACGATGCTGTTCTCTTTTATATTCTCTTTGTAACTCGAATGATATTTTTAGTCTCTCCTTCGTAAGGTTATGTATATCGTATGCGTTCCTATCCAATATTCCTTCTATTAATTGTGTTGTATCTCCTTTGAGGACTTTAAATTTTGCTAATCCATTTAAATGTAACCAAATAGCTTCCTCGATCATCAATTTCAAAGGAACCGATAAGAAAATATTTTGTTGTGCTGCAGATGATAATGTACCGGACAATATCCCGCAAATACCAAGTTCTCTCAATTTCTTAATATCATCAATGTTGAAGATTAACGGTGATAGAGTTGTTTGCCCGTCTTCCTCAGCACCACATATGAGGTTGATTGTCACAGGCATCGGGAGTTAGTGAAAACCTTTTTCGATTGAGCAGAAAATAACCAAATAAAAGAGAAAAAAAAGATAGAAACGAACGTCCATACAATTCAAGATGAATACTGTACAATGGTGAATGACTCAACCGGTGGTTCTTGGTTGGGAAACTCCCTCTCTAGTTCTTACAAATATCGAAAAATGACAGTATTGATTCATTGCTATCGCCATCTCATCTGGTGAAATGTGAAAAATGTGAAAAATGTGAAAAATTGAGTGCGCGCCAATAAGACAAATTTAAGCTGAATACTTGCGGAACAGCACTGGGATATCTTGATCAGATCAGTTGTTTCATTTTAAGTCTCATTTTAAGTCTCACCTCCTTCCACTATCAGTTTAGCTTGGCAAGGATTAGATGGATTATCATGCGTTTCTGGAAAATATAGAAGTGCATATGGCATCTTGTTTATCGTTGAAAGGTTTGAGAATCTTGTGAGTGACTTATATATTTGATCGCAGCAGTCAAAGGATGCTTTCAAATCAAGGGCCTCCTTGAAAGGTGAAGGAATGAGAAATATATATATACGTATAAGCTCAGCTTGGTACAATCGTAGTTTTAAGGGGTTGTGATAAGAATTTTGAGAATGACACTGTGCTAATTGTTGATCAATGCTAACCAAAAAAAAATTAAAGATTATTCGAAGATTTTCTCTGCTGTCATAAGTAGTAAAACGGGGCCAAGTGAGTCTATTCTAAAAGTATTTTTGGAGTTGTCAATATAAGTAGCTATGTAACCCCTTCAACAGGACGTTGTATAATACATGATTTAACAGGAACAGACTAAAAGAGACAAAACCAGAACCATTCTTCGAAATAGGTTCTGGGTTACGTTAAAGCAATCCTAAAAGAGGTAAGTTGAGGGTCACGAATATATATTTATATATATTCGTGACCGACCAATCTCCAGTTTCTAGTTGAACGACAACGTGAAAGAGAGAGAGTGTGACGCACTGGGAGAAGTATTTGCCCGTTACCCGTCACAAACACGAAACGAAACTTCTTTTTTGACTACCAAAAATGAAACGCGTTAAAATGTACCGATTTTATCGCGATGCTCTCAGAATTTCATTTCCAATTTACAGTGTTTATTTTAAAAGGGATCATTTACAGTCAATAAAAGTTTTAACACCTGCTTGCTACTCACGTAAGTTGAATTGCGAAGAGATATAAGTAAACATAGACAGAACTACACCACTAACCAGAATGAGTGGGTTTCAACTAACTGAGAGAGACTTCTACAAGATCTTTACTGATAAGACCAGATTTGACGCTCCAAATAACGGGGTTTACCAAATTCAAAACACTAGAAAGACAGATCCAAACAGTAATAAGAATGCTGAATCTGCTAGAAAGCATCTAGTCATGCTTTCTGATGGTTCTTTCCATATGAAGGCCCTTGCAAGAAATGCAGCTGCTGCTAAATTTGCCTCTTTGGAATTACAAAAAGGCGATATTATTCGTGTCCTTGAAGCTGAAGCTGCTATTGTTAAGGACAAGAAGAAATTTGTTTTATTGATCGATGATATGGAAGTTGTTAGAAGAGGGGTGGAGCCAATCAATGGTAGCACTATTTTCTTAGATAAATATTTTGAAGAACATCCAGATGAATATATTAGAGACTTCGTGGTTCCTGTATCAAATAATTCTGATTCTTCGAATGAAAAGAAACTCGAGACCTCTGTGACTCCTACTCCAGTTCCAGCTCCTGTAGTTCAACAGGCTACTGAACACAAGTTTGCACAATCAACAATGTCTTCTTCTCAGAAAGGCAAACCTATCTTTGCCATTGAACAATTATCTCCATATCAAAATGTTTGGACCATTAAAGCTAGAGTATCTTACAAAGGTGAAATTAAAACTTGGCATAATCAAAGAGGTGAAGGTAAATTGTTAAATGTCAATTTCTTAGATACCTCTGGTGAAATTAGAGCTACAGCATTTAATGATATGGCTGTTAAATATAATGAATTATTACAAGAAGGAAAAGTCTATTATGTGTCTAAAGCAAGATTACAACCATCTAAACCTCAATTCACTAACTTGTCTCATCCATACGAGTTGTCTCTAGACAGAGAATCGGTTATTGAACCAAGTGAAGATGAAGCTAACGTTCCAAAGACTCATTTCGATTTTGTCAAATTAAGTGCAATTGAAAATCAAGAAGAAAATGCTACTGTTGATGTTCTCGGAATAATTCAAACTGTTAACCCACATTTCGAATTAACCTCCAGAGCTGGTAAAAAATTCGATCGTCGTGATATTGTTATTGTTGATGACTCTAATTACTCTATCACAGTTGGTCTATGGAATCAATTAGCATTGGATTTCAATCTACCGGAAGGGTCCGTCGTGGCAATTAAAGGTGCTCGTGTCTCTGATTTCGGTGGGAAATCTTTATCGATGGGTTTCACAAGTACATTGATGCCAAACCCAGAAGTTCCAGAAGCATATTCATTAAAAGGTTGGTATGATGCTACCGGCCATTCTGGTAACTTTACCTCTTTGAAACAAGAAGTAGGAGCTGGAGCAGGTGCTGGTGATTCCACCAAATTTATTGCTCAACGTATTACTATTCAAAAGGCACAAAATGAAAACTTGGGTAGAAGTGAAAAGGGTGATTATTTTAATATTAAAGCAGCAATCAATTTTTTGAAAGTAGACAATTTTGCTTATCCAGCTTGTTCTAATGAGAATTGTAACAAGAAAGTCGTTGAACAATCTGATGGAACTTGGAGATGTGAAAAATGTGATACTAATAATGCAGCACCACAATGGAGATATATGTTGACAATTTCTGTGCTTGATGAGACAAACCAATTATGGTTGACATTATTTAATGAACAGGCTGAGCAATTATTAGGTGTTGATGCTAATGAACTAACAAAATTAAAGGATGAAAATCCAGATGAGTTTACAAAAGTAACCCAAAGTATTCAAATGAATCAATATGATTTTAGAGTTAGAGCTAAAGAAGATACTTATAACGATCAAACAAGAATAAGATACACTGCTGCTAATATTCATAAATTGAACTTTAAATCAGAGGCTGATTATCTAGCTACTCAATTATCAGAGGCGCTACATGTGTAAAATAATACGAAATTATTAGAGATTTTTTTTTCTATATACCCCCTCATATATGTGAATGTACATAAGTAGTTATAAAAAAAACAGATATAATCAAAAGAAAAGCAATTTTATGAAACTAATGCTATATTTACATATGTATATATGTAAATATATATATGTATGTATATGAGTATGTCGTCAAAAAAAGAATTTACATCTACCTAATTCTGTTAGCAGAATTGAAAATAACAGAAGAGCTTGTTGGTATCTTGTGCTTTGGTTTATCAAATAATTTCCAATATCTTAGAGTTTCATCACCAGCACCAGACACTACAGTGGTTCCATCTGCAGATAATGTTAAATGTAGAACTCTAAAACTGTGTCCCTTTAGAATAGCTATTGGATCCATTGATGGGAAATCCCATAATGTCAAATTATATTTGGAATATCCATGTGAGGTGACGATTTCATCCGTATTTCTGGACCATATCATATTACAAATTTGAGATCCTGTGTCTCTATCACTAATCTTTGTCGATGTATTAACGTTCCATATCTTTAATTTCTTATCGGCTGTACCACCACCTGTTGCCAAAGTAGACCTTTTATGTGGTGACCAAGCAATGGCTTTAACTGCAGCTGTATGTTCTTGGAATACTGATGTAGGTCTCCTTGAGGTACCATCGTATACATTGACAATATTATCATTCCCACCAGACGCCAGCTTGTTCTCTTCCACGTTCCATTTCAAACCACAAACTTCCTGTGTATGTGTCTCCAATTTTTCAAAATATGGTTCTGGCATTCTTACATCACGATGCAAAATGGATCGATCTCTACTACCAGATGATAAGATATAATTATTCCAACTTAGACAGGAGACCCTATCCGTTTGTCCCGACATTGTCCTTATACATTTTTTTTTCGTAACATCATATATGTCCACTAAACCATTACGTTGACCCACTGCTAAATGAGAGCCCGCTCCCACCCAACTTAAGCTAGTAAAATCCATTTCTGTATCACAAAGATGAAATACTTCTCCAGTGGAATTATTGGTTAAGAAAATGGATTTACCTAATGCTACAGCTAACATATCGCTAGAAGACCAATCTATAAGGTCGTAATAGAAATCATCAGCCAGTGAAGGTGCATCAAGGACTCTATATGGAACTTTTGAGATTTTTCTTGTCTGTTTACTTGGAGATAATAATAATTGTTTTGATTCTGGCCTCACTGGGGATATGGGGTCAAAAAATTGTGATTGTAATAGAGATGCTGTGGAGGGTCTTCTTGTTGAAGACCTATGACTATAGCTTAATAAGGTGGCACCACGAGAAGAATTTGTTGAGGATCGATACATTGAGTCATCGTCTTGTTGTGAGGAAGGAAACAGTCTCCTTGGAGTAACTGGTGCGGAAATAGAAGAGGACTCTCCACCGATTTCAGATATATCATGTTGTTGGCGTCTTCTCTCGGGAGATGGGGTAGCTAACCAAGATAATGAAGATGTTGATGACTGTTGTTGTTGTTGCTGTTGTTGTTGTATCATATCTGTAGTGTTCTTGATTCTGTCTATACTTGTCTCTTTTGATATTGCGTCCTTTGTTAATAACTCCCCGAAGATTTCATTTTTCAACACTGTATCAAAGGTTTCATGAGCATTACGTTCCCTTTGTGATTCTACCTCATTTTCTGTATCTACACTTGTTAAAGTCGGTACATTGCTACTATTACCAATGGATGATATGGCATGGAGACTTACTTCCGTTCGTGTTGGCAGATATCTATCAGCATATACTACTGAGCCGGATGTACGTGGTCTTCTTGTTGGCGAGCCGGTTATTCCCAATATGCTGCTGCTGCTATTAGCAGGAGATGCAGAACTTCTCTTCGAGACCCTTAGTGAATCGGTGAGCTTATTTTTCCCTTTCAACGGTGACGAGGTTGGGGTGTTGCTCATAAACGGGTTCCCAAGGTTTCCAGACATTGTGTAGTGCAGTGGTGTATGTAGTGGTAATCTCCTCCTTGTCTCTGTGGTACATATATATACGTGTATAAGTGTATATGTATTGGGGTGGAGTTTGTGTGATTCTCTCTCTTTTTTTTAGTTCGTTTCGATTTAACAAATAATCTTTAGTTAATACTGTTTGTTGTTGTTAGTTCCTATTTTTGTTTCATTCTGATGAAAAGCGCATACAAAAAAAAAAAATTAAATAAAGGGCCCCAACTTTTAATGGCAAGCGTCTGGGGTGGAAGAGAACCTTACAGATCATGCAACACGAAAGGATCAATGTGCTTCGAGGGAGGGAGGAGTTTATTATTATTACAATCTTTGAACCATCAAAATACTTTGGTAATCTGTCGGTAAGATGAAGGAAGTGACCTGTTCATTGCCTCTCACATCACAAGGGTCCATTGTCGTCAAATCTATTGGGGTATCTTCTTCCTTTGTTGATGATATTTTATTTTCGTTTTCGTCGACGTCTTGATCCTCATCATCGAATTCATCTTCTTTCTCTTGATAGTCTATATTTTCTTCAATTTCTTCGAAGTCTGGCGCCAAAGCGCTCCATTTAGGCTGAATAACCAACGACCATAAATAGATGTCGCCTGTCTCCAAGCCAGTTGAAGCGATTCGCATATTTTTAAAATCCCAATCGATTGCCATCAATTCTTCTTCTGCGCCTTCGAGGACTCTGACCAACGAGCCGGATCTTGTTTCCCATAAATACAGTTCATGGGTGGAACTACCGTGCGGAGACGCCACTAGGTATTCTGCGTTATGGTTTGAGAATTTGATATCGTTCCATTGCAATCTGTTGATAACGTCTTGATATTTATGTTCCAAAGTCAATTCGATAGGCTGCATATTAAGATGATATTGCTTAATCGATCTATCTGAACAGTTGACGACCAGACGTTCTCCATTCTGAGAAATCAATAAATGTTTGATATTTGAAGAGCAAACACGCGTGCCGTATAAATGTTCATAATTATCGAAATTCTCGATCTTAAAGAAATTAATCCAGCCTTTTGAACTGCCTGTGATAATAATAGTACCATATTGAGCCAATGGATACAATTCGCAGTTTAGTCCGTAGCCCTGGTCCATAGCTACATCATCGGCATCGGCATCATCAATCTTCAAAAACCTTTTTCTTTCAGTGTTTAAATCGATTAGCATAGCAAAGGATTCTTCCAATATGTTCACTGCGACCAAGCCATCATTGATCCAATGAGCGCCCCATACGGGTCCATTGAATGCCAAATCATGAGACGGTGTAACAATATCGATGTTTTTGCCGATCGAATTTAAATCCCAGATTTTCACGGTCATGTCCCTGCTGCTACTCAACAATCGATCGCCATGGGGGCTCCATTGCAGCCATTGGATCGCTCTGACGTGAGCGCTCAGCACCGTGGCTGGTTTCATTGTGTCCATATCGTATATGATAATAGTACCGTCGAGACAGCCTGTTGCTAAGTAGTCGCCATTGTGGGAGAATGCAATTGTAGTAGTCTTGACGGGCCCATTAATAGTGTGTATCAGTCTCTCTGGGTATTCCTTCAGTACTTGAAAGGGGTCCTGTAGCAGCAAGTTCATTGTACAGCCAGCTATCAATATCTATCAATATCTATCAATATCTATCTATCTCTAGTGTGTCAATGGGTACGGACCAATAAAAAGTATTACCGCCCTGCTCTATATGGGTTGTTTGAAAGAAACCTTGCAAATATATAGCAGTTTTGCTAGACGCGCTGTCCCAGCTAAGCATTCTCACCATATTAGATAGCGATATAAAACCGCAGAGGAACACCCACACACCACACACAGCGAGAGGTCAGCGGCTATTCAGCCACCCAAAGGCCACCCAAAGGCCACCCCACACCTTGCAGGGTAACCTCACACAGTGCCACCGCCTACACAGCACATATGTAAACTGTGGGTGTGGCAACGGCACGTCCCAAATGGGTCACGAAGCGCGCGGCAGCGTGTGAAGAGCATCGGCGAGAGAGCCAGAGCCAGAGCCACAGTGCTTGCGTCTCTCCCCCAGATGCTCTTCCCGCGTTGGCTGGTTTGAGGCGGAACACACCTGCAGTGCGATAATCAGGTTTGCAATGTGCTGGATAGAGAGCCTCCTTCCGTACCGCTCCGTAGACACACGTCGAGCCTCGGTTGAAGGGGAGCACTTCCAGCTCTTGGAGCGATTGGGATTAGTGTGAGGAATGCACACAGAGAGAAGGTCGGGCTTGCTTTCTGAGTGAGACGCTCTCTCTGTTCTGCAACCTATACGATAATACGTAAAGCCCACTTGCAATATACATATATATATATATTGCGTTACTTGAACTATCGACACTTGAGCTGCACCTGCACCAAGCAGAATGGTCTCACTCCACATGGTTCCGCTCAGCAAAGTGTATAGCAAGTTGCCACCCCCACGTTCTCTTGCTGTGTGTCTCGCTCTCTGAGCGTCTCTACAATTAGCCGCCCACCCCCACGTTCCTCGGTTGCGTCGACATACACGTACATATCACTCGGCACGACGCTTAAGACGCGTTTTCTCTCTGAAAATATTGCTATTGCTACTGCGAATTTTAATAGTGCTACTATGGCAAGTTTGTCGATGGGGGTTTTTCATAACAACGAACGAACGACGTGTCGCTACAGACAGCACTATTTATATATATATATATATACACACGTTGGTATACACACGTTATTACAAGAGATACATACTCAAACATCACGCCGAACATATCAACCAGGATGTCTGCTATTCAAAGACTGGTACTGTGCCTGTCACTGATCACTGCATATGCTAACGCCTTCTATTTCTACCACGAAGGCAACGAAAGAAAATGTTTCTCTAAAGAATTGACAGAAGGCAGTGTCTTCTACGGGAACTATAAAGTCCAGGTCTACGACGAAGCCCTAAAGACATACAAGAACATAGATCCAAGTGCAGACTTCGACGTCATTATCGATGTCGAAGAGATCTTTGACGGCGATCAAAGAATCGTGCACCAAAAAGCAGGACCAGACGGTCAATTCACCTTCAATACTCAGGAGTCGGGTGAACATAGAATCTGTATTAAACCACAATCGTCGGGCTGGTTGAGTAAGACGAAGACGAAGATCGACCTGGAGATGTCGGTCGGGTCAGATACGTCCCTGGATTCAAAGAAAAAACATACCATCGAATCTCTTCATGGGAAAGTCGATCTGCTGATCGAAAAAGTGGCTCAAATTAAAGACGAACAACAATTAATGAGAGATAGAGAAGCTCAGTTTAGAAACTTATCAGAAACAGTCAATTCCGGTGCTATGTGGTGGACTATCATTCAACTGCTTATATTAGGTGTTACTTGTGCTTGGCAAATGAAACATTTAGCAACTTTCTTCGTTAAACAAAAAGTTATGTAATAAATTATGTATATACACTCTCTTATATATAGTTTAAAATGCAAATAATGATTTGAATTGTTCAACTTGTTTATCATCAACAGTGGTGGGATCGATGTCAGACGATGGTAAACTTATATTAAATTCATACTGTGGAACAGTAGACGTGCTTGTATTATTGATATTCTCACTGGATGTCTTAATATTAAAAATGTTGGACGGAGGTGCAATTGCATTAAATGTAGGAGCTTTTTCGATTAGGGGTTCATGTTCAGGTTTCTTCATCGTAAATGATGGAATCGTCCCTGGTACGGGGAAAATGGATGGTGCTTGTTCAACTTCTGGTTTTTTCTCTTCAGTCGTGGTGGTACTGGTAGTGGCAGTGGTACTGGCAGTGGTAGGATCTGCTGCAACTACACTGGATCTTAAGGAGGAAGACCTTGTAGGCTTGTATAGTTTGAATGGATGTTCAGGTGTAGTCGTAGTCGTAGTCATAGTGGTAGTGCCAGTTGCAATCGGTTCTGGCTTGTTTCTCTTAGGTAACTCTATTGGAGCGTCGACAACAGGTTTCGTTGTTGTTTCAATAGGTGTCACCACTTCAGATGGAAGAACAGAGTCATTCTCAACAGTTGGTATCGTTTGTTGTGGAATTGGTTTCTTACGTACTCGTGGCACTAAAGTAGAATATGGATTTGCCAACAAATTAGTACTGTTATTATTACTATCCTTATCATCATCATCGACAGTTTCGTTCTGATTACTATCTAATAAGGATAATAATGCACTAGCAGTGTTACTCACCCTTTTCTTAGGTTTATCGATCTTAACCCTTTCATTACCTTTGTGTTGTTGTTGATGTCTGCGCGACAATAATTCTTTGGTATTTGTCTTACCAGGTTCACTACCATTTATACTCTTATATCTAAACACTACCGTCTTATATGGTGATGGTAATCTATTATAATCAAAGACTCTTCTTGTAGATGAGGCAGTAGAGGCAAACGACGTATTGCGTTGCATCATCGTATTATCGTTATGGTTACGATGATGTGCATGACGGTCTAATGTCATTGTGGAATGGTCGTATCTTGGAGTGAATGACGGCATCTTGAATGAATTGTTCACAGATCCAAGGTTGTTCCCTCGTAATATGGTAGATTTCCCCTCATGGGCTCGTCCTGCACCACCACCATAACGGGAACTGGCCATGGTACCATTCGCCACAGACTCATTGTCCTCTTCATTGCCATCGCCATTGGTGATATCAGGCCCAACGTTATTAGTACCGGTAGTATTGGCTTTCTTCATCAACGACATCACACCTTCCATCTCCATCTCAGACAATGCTGCATCCCCTTTGTTTGCAAAAAAATTGGCCAATTTCGCATTCGATGAGACAGAGATGTCGGCTGCCAAATTGGTACCATTCATCTCCCCTTCAATAGTGTTATTGTTTTCACTAGGTTGGGGAACAATCGATATATTGCTAGCGTCCGCATTGAAGAACCCGCCAGGTATGCTTGAAGAACTCATCACTCGTTTGTTCACATTTGCCAGCTTCTGGCCTCTTTGTCTATGTGACGACATCGATTGTAAGGATTCGTCTTTATCATCAGGTTTGCTCGAATGTGCTCCCCCAAAGAGACTCCTTCTGATTCGTCCAAACATTGACACCTTATCGTTCGTTCTGGTCGAAATCGGTCTCCGGTATGGAGCTGCTTGTTCACGGTATGACTTCCCGTTGCTCATCCTTGTCATTATTGCTTCTCGGTTCACTCTATCTCAGTGTATCCCTTTGTCTTCGTGCATCATTTATATAATAGTGTGTCTATCTTTTTAAATTGAAAATTTTTTTTCTTCTTCGGTCGTCCTTTCCAATTAGGAATGAAAATATATATATATGAATAACGAATTCGTCGAACAGTGATATTCTATATGTCTTTTGTCACAAACTGATTGGTCATATATATATATATATGTATATATTTATGTAATATTTATAGTAATAATACAGGATTCCACTTGCCCCTTTCTATATCCGTAAAGTGGTGTCAAGGTCATCCAGACGCCTACGGCCTCTCCTTGTAAGTCTATCCGATTCTCTCTTCAATCTTCTCAAGTTTCTCTCTTTCTCAATTTCACGTTTTTGAATCTCTTGTGGGGTTAGAATCTCCACCTTCGGACACCAGTTGATCCCCAAGGCATCGATGTCCAATCTGATACCAGATAAATAGCCAAATGCAGCATCGTTTAACAATGTAGTGTCTCCCAGGGACAAGTTTCCCTCGAGCCATTCCTTCTTAATCTTAGTCACCGAGTCATGCAATGAATAACAAAGTAAAGGTAAGAAATCTCTTGTAAGCCCTAAATCTGACACAACTATTTCTGAAAACATCTCAGGGGTAAACGTCGTGTCGCTTAGATTCCATTGAAAATTGTCATCGTAAAATTTATCGTTCAGATTACATGTTAGATTGATAATAGCATGGAAATCAGGTAATTTTACAGCAGCAACTTTTTCATATTCCTCAATGTGGTCCTTGATTGTACTTACCACCTGTTGATGGAATGAACTCATATCATCATGACCTGTAGGATTTAAATCAGCACAATAAACTGATGCAAACTCTTCCGGTGTCAACGAGACATCATTAAGGTTCCATGTAAAAAAATCGCTATATATCGTGCCATTATCCTCGATCTCAAAATGGATAGGTATAATGATAGGTTCTTCGTTATGGTATTGAGCGTTTGATCCAGAACCTGTTGTTGTTAACGCCGGTTGAGACAAATTTAATCTATATGGTGTCGCCACGCTACTTTGCATAAATGTCTCCTTAATATGTGGGTACTTAATAATATTCAACAATTCAGGTTGATCAATTAAATCAGGTAATGCATCTTGGTTAACTACGGCAGCATTACCTGTGCCAGAGTTACTGGTTCCATTCTCGTCTCCTTCTGCTTGAGGAGAGCCAGGTTCGGAACCAGCATCACCGCCATCGTAGTCGCCTTTGCCGTCCATATCAACATCAAACCCATCATTGTCAGCTTCATCAAAGGGATCAGCAATGTCTACCTCTGTGTAGTTAACGATCTTGGCTCTCTTGTGTGCTCTTGATGTCTGTTGGACGACAGAACAAAGTGGGATGGCATCCTCATTCCTGACTCTGTTATGGAAGTTAGTCAGATATGCCTGAGGAAGTAACAGCCGTTTATGTAATTGCATCGTTATCGAAAAGTAATAAAGTGATTGTCCTGGTGGCTGCCTGTTCGTCAACCTCTCCTTTTCCACTTCCAAGTTGTTCTTATTCTTGTTGATTCAGACTCTTTTAATTGTTAAATTATTTATTTATTTTTAAAAATTCAGACTAAAGAGAAGCGCGCGTCTTCTTCAAAAACTGGCTAACTTAAGGACAGAATAGAGTATTTACGATATTTTATAATCTGAAATGAAAGAGGCTGCTGCCATCAATGGATGAAAAAAGGGGGGAAGCAAAATTTGAGAAGGTTTAGCTAATATATACATCTATATATTCATATTTATATCATACCACGTATATCCCATAATCTGGTTGAAAAAAAGATGAATTTGCTTCGATATAGACCATCTCCAGTGGCTACAATATCATCGAAAGACAGCAAAGATCATAAAAATGCGTTGGACATAGCAACAGGGCCAATCGATGGAAATCGAATTCTTAGTTGGCAAAATCTAACACACATATATACCTTGCTTAGTGCATACGGCGGACCTGCATGCTTTCTACCTGCGAATGCCTATTATGTGCTCGGTTCTACAAAGGGTCCCGTGTTGATATTCGATGATAAGGAGTATCTTCAGAGTATTCTGGCACCTAGTTGTAAAGCCACAACTGCTACTACTAGTACCACCCACTCTACAGATTTGAACATGATTCAAGGAATACGTTCCCCAGTGACTCATCTAGCAATTTCGTGGGATGGTACTCATTTGGCAGCTGCTTATGAGACTGGAGATGTCTTTATATGGGATCTTAATAACACTACCGACAGTACAGATGAACAAAATTCTGCTAATGGAAACATAGGACAAATTTCTCCATTATACGCTATATTGCATATTACTAGACATGTAGGATCTTCTATTAATGGTCTGATGTTTAGAGGTAAGAGACACACGGCATTGGTAGTAAGCGATATAAATGGGAATGTCACTTATCATAACGGTCATAGAACTCGACTTTGGCAACTCACATATAGTTCAATGGCTGTTTTAACTGTACCTTCAAATGAAATAATATTGTCCACATCATTGCATACTGTTGGGAAATTCGATGGAATCCTAGCCATACTCACTAATAAACTATTTTGTTTGACTACACTTGAAGACGCTCTAAATGAAAATGATTCTGCAACATTGAAACGCCAGAATAATTCACCGATTATTCTATATCAAAAAAATATAACTGAATCATCTTCATCAAATGATAGTAATAGTCTTATTCCGAACAATGGAATTGCTTGGTATACAGATCCAGCGACATCCTCAAGTATTGTATACTTGTCGTATTTCATTAATTCTACGGTAATTGTATTGGTTCTTCGAACCACCATGCAAACCAAATTTCAGTTGTTGCAAAATGAAATAACTTGGAATGCTCCAGAACCAATCCTTTCAATAGCATGGATATCGAGGATGTTGTTAATGATTCTTACCGTGTCACATCAATTGATTGTCGTACAACCTTATGATAATTTCAAAATTATTATGAAAATAGACCTCTTACCACAAAATTTACTAATTCCACCAAATAAATTTTTCAAATTCCATCATAATAAATTGATATTACTAACACATTACTCATTGAAAATAGCTAAATTTAATCAATGGTCAACATTAACCCTTAAAAAAGTCCAGCATGGAGATTATCTTGGTGCATTAGATCAATTATACAAATTTTCCGATCCAAATTTTACTATTCCATCATTGCTCAGTCTACATATGGATCCACAGCAAAGAAAAGAACAATTGCACGACACCTTTAACAATCTAACTTTTGCAGCATTAAAATTTTTATTAAAGAAACATGAGTCGCATATTAATGAAGACAATGACTCAGATGATAGTGAGACCTTAAACTCCTTAGATCAATTACTTGAATTTGTTATAAAAGTACAGATTCAGTGGTTCCCCGATGATGAACAATTTTTACAATTCCTTGACCTCACATGGGATTCACTTACACTTCTGAATGATAAAGTAAAAATGACATTTATTAAGACTACAATTGACCTTATTGCAAACGGAACACTCACTATAGTACCACCATCTATTTTCCAACAAATTATACGACAGCTCACTGAAGAAGTTGGCATTTCTACCAATTTAGAGACTCTTTTATTTAACTTAGAACCATCTTGTTGGGATGTTGATTTACTTGTGAGAAAATTACAACAAAATCCAATTGTTGGTAATTTTTCAAACCAGATTCTATTACCATACATATGGAATATCAAATTCAACGATTTCTTAACTCCCCTAGTAGATTTAATATACTGGATACGAGATAAGAATACATTGAATTGTGAGCTGTTTAAAGTTCCTAATAATGATGAGGAAGAGACTGTTCTGAAACCAGATATCGTATTTGATTATTTGACATTTTTATATTCGGGGACTTATTATCCTTCTGGACAACCTCTAGAAGTACCTTATGTGAATAATATTGAATCAAAACTGTCGTATGTATTGTTTAGTGGTGTTGCAATTGATTGGCCTTTAGGAAGTCAAACTAAATTAAATGTTGCTTTATATAAGGAAGACGAACAATCATTCCCATACTTTAATTTATTGCTAAATTATGACGCTTCTAAATTTTTAGCAACTTTGAATGGAATAATGGAGGCAACATTTTTTAATGAAGAGGAAGATGTATTTAATGGAGACATTATAGATACGAATGTTGCCGCTACATACACCCTGAACATAAACAGACAGTATATTGTTGATATCCTTCTTGAATTTATGAAGGCTAATTCAGAAACTCCCTCTAAAAATGAAGTCTTCATCGCTGTTTTCCTAGCGTTAAACATACCCAAGTATCCTCAATTTATTCATGTATCTAGCTATTATATGGATGTTATTGTCCATGCTATATTACATGCTAGGTTGAATGTAGAACGATCTTTAGCAGAATCGGCAATACAGGCATTATTGCCGCTATACGAACCAACTAATGTTGAATCGTTCGTCCTTCAACTAAAAGAAAACAAATTTTATCTGTTATTGATGACATATTACAAGATAAATAGAAGAATATCAGATATGTTTAGTATTTGTTTCTTTGATATTGATTCCTCCTCAGATGACACTACAGTACTGATAAACAACGCCATCAACTATATCTTACAATTTAATTTAAAGAGTTCAAACTCTGTAGAGTACTATAAAATTACTGACATTTTTAAAGAGAATTTTAATAAGATATTGAGTGCTATTGGTGCTGAAAAAGTTGTTTCTTATGTTAATAAACTTGATCCGTCGATGCATGATTGCATTTTGGATATTGGGTTAAGTACACAAAATGAAGAGCTTCAAAGACAATATTTAGATATATTACTAAGCGATACTACCTCCATTACCTTACATGACTCCGAGTTGAGCAAAAAATACATAGAACTGTCTTGTAAGTATGACACACCTGAAGAATTGCACCAATGGTTGAAAAAACTAAACTTTGGAAGCTTAAGTGTAACTACTATTAATGATATTAATGAAAGATTTATTACCAAGAAGGACTATGAAGCACTAGCCATTGTGCAGTTTAATTTGGCTGACTTCGAGAAATCTGTCCAGAATATGGTAATTTGTATTGACTCGTTGTTTTTAAAGGATAACATTGATGAAAATGAGGAGCAACTGATGGAACAAATTAATTATTCAATTCTTGCATCATCGCTCGTCACAGATCATGAAACTAAACAAAGATGCTGGATCCTGTTGCTATCCTGTTTGGTGAAACAATATAGTAGAAAATCAGAGCCTAAGGGTAACGATGAGAAGCAATTCGATAAAAAAATTATTAATAAATGCATACAATATGTATTTGTAAAATTGTCCTTCATGGAAGATGATACAATGGATAAAAGGAATGGAAGGCCACTAGACCCCAACCAAACTAATTTTTGGCATATATTGGCGGGTGTTCTAGAACAGCAGGATATCATACTAATGAAAATACATGATGTTAACGAGTTACTTCAAGAGGTTTTTACGACTTATAATCTTGAGGAACAGATATCAGAGTTAATATTAAAGGTTTTAGAGCAGTCATCATCACTAATTGTAGAACAATACCGAAATTCTTTAAAACAGGGCTGGTCACTTGTCAATAATGAATGTGAGGTATGTGGGAAGAAACTCTGGGGCATTGATTTAGAATCTAAGATTGCTCGTATCTGGGAAGCTAAGAGAAGGGACCAAACGGTTCCAAAACCGGAAATATTCAATGGAAAGGTTGTCCTGTTTCGATGTAACCATGGTTTCCACACAAAATGTCTGGAAAATTTAGGACAAAAAACTAAGAGATATTCGTGCCTGATATGTCATTCGGACAGTCCATAACGATCTAATAGATTAATAATAATAATTACTTATAGAGAACATTTCAATGCAGCTTATATATTAAATATATATAAATATTCACGCTAATAACTTATACCATTTATGTGATGTTTTAAAGCCACCATATGGTAGTCTCTCTATAAGTCCTTTTTTGTTCAGCCAATCACAAATATCGGATAGTTCTTTTCTAGAAACTAATTGATAACTTAACGTCTCTAGTAGTTCTATCATTATACCAGGACTAAACAGAATTTCAGTAGTGACAAACGCAACGAGATGTTTCCAAATATTCTCACGTAATCTACCATTAGAATTTATCCAAAGTCTGGAGTAAGCAGTCCCAAGAGGGACCGCTATATGTGGTGAAGAGCCAAACAATTGTTCACTATCATTCTCCATAGAACAAATCAAAGGTGGCGTCAGGGTTTCAATTTCGAATTTTCTTGTAGTGTAGTGGAAATTTCCAATTTCTCTTTCAACAGGGATAACTTGGAGTGACACTTTCCGTCTTTCAATTAAATCTATTAACTGCCATGCAGCTATGTCATTAATCTCTTGACTAATAATGATACCGTTTCCTGACTTCAACATACCTTCAATTCTCTTATTATATTCTACAACTTCGGAAAATTGACTGTAAGAACCTTTGTTCTCTAACATTTCTACAATTAGCGAAGAAGCTTCCAGTTTTGGACCACGTAAAATAAGCTGTTTGGCTTTAGCCATATCTAGCACAATTCGGTCCAATTCCTCCTTTGGTACATTTTTCAATGTTTCTATTTCGTCTTTCCCTGTCTCTGATCTATCCATGAGAATTGATCTTATAACTGTCTTAATATTATCTTCATCATCTTTCCTTTGTATTTCTTTTTCGTCAACATCGTTTAAACTATAACCATATGTACTTTTTAATAAAGATGTTTCTCTTTGGACCATTGATGACATCATCATACCAGCTTGTGAAAAATGTTGGGGTGGATCTTTTACAAATGTGTATCTTTTAATATTTGTATCGTAATTCTTGTACAGCGAAACAGAAGAATTTTTTCTAGCCTCTTCAAAAGTTATCCACAGAGGGATTAGAATTGGGAGGTTTACACTCTCAGCATCTTGGAGAGAAACAGTTTCATTCTTGATGGCTTGGACAAGAATTCTCTGCCATTTATCGACGTATGCTTTCCAACCATTGTGGCCCATTTTGACTCTTCTCGCGGTCCATTTCTTTTTCAGATTTTCTAATGAATTCTTAGGAAAGAGTAAACTAATTTTATCCCATTGGAGCTCATTTGTAATACTTTTTGTAATAACAACAGCCATAATTAAAGCTTCCAGACCAGATTTCTTGCCAACATGGAAAGCAAGTTTTTTGATAACACTCTTCTTTTTCTTTGTAGAAGGGTTGTTGGTATTTTCCGATAAAGCGGTAAATAATGAACCTCGCCTCTTCTTAGAATGTCCAGCGGCTTCTGCTGCTTTGGAAGTCCTAGGTTTACGAGGCCTTCTGGGCTTGTCTTTATCCGAAGGTAAGGTATCAGACTTGCTTCTATTTTGGAAGTCACGTAGCCGTTGCACAGATTTCTCACGCCTGTTAAACCTTTCTTTGGCCATTTGATCAAAAAAGTAAAGATCACTGGTATGTAAAGTGGAGGAATAAATGTATCTTTTCTTATTCTTCTCCTTGTCCATGTACAAGTCCAAATCACTTTCTGTCATACCAGGGATGTGTATCAATTTCTTTTTTGAATCCGGGATCGAGTAAACAAGCAATTTACCACTTTTGACCATTCTTTCCACATCAGTACGAGCAGTCTTTTTGTCTACCATCGTATTTGAACCAAGTGCTTTTGAAAGGTCATCGTAGAGTGATTCTTTCAGGTAAGCTACCCCACCCATTTTACTGACAATATTAAGAAGAGTACGTTGTCTTTGTAACGATTTTAGAGAATTTGCAAAAAATCCATCAACGTTAAGTGTACGCTTCCCAGTGAGCGGCTTATCTTCTGGTTTTGTTAATTCGACCAAGGGACCAGCATCTTTTTTATTATCATTTACTAATGTTTCTTCAACTACTGCCTGCTTAATTTTCTTAAGTTTTGGAATATCTTCCTCGGTAAGATCATCCTTTTCTCCTCGTTTCGATTTTTTGCTTTTTGGTAGTTTCTTAACATCCTTTGCTGTTAATAAACTGGTGTCTGATCCATGCCAAAAGAAAACTTCGTTGTCATCTGAGTCTACACCATATCTGAGTGTGTTACTTAATGGAATAAAGTTTTTCTTATTCAATTTATCTAAAGAGAGTTTCTGAACTTTTACAGGGGCAAGTTCATCTGGAGCATATCGTTTTGTAGGGTCAGTCATGTTCTGGAAATTTTCTTCTGTAAAGAGTCTGTAAAACTTCTTTTTTCCTTCGAAATCATATATCTTCACAAGGTTCAGACCAGAAGAATCTGATTTTTTCTTGCCAACCATTTGGGCATAGTACTCGAGACCCTTGGCAAAAGATCTTTGGAAATCCTTTCCGACTAATAAATTGGTAGCTTTCATAGTAGGCATCCCGTCGGTTGTGGTTTGTGCAGCCAAATCGTAAGTTTGATTCTGGAGAGGATAAAATCTGTTTAGCAGTAATTCTTGTCTATTACTCTGTCCTTTATCTTCCATAATCAATCCCTTATCTTGTAATATGGATGATGGATTGACATAATCCAGGTTGTTCAATTCTTCCTCTTCTTCCTCTTCTTGCCTTGTAGCATTTCCATCTTCAGTACCATCATCCGCATCATCATCATCCTCTGAACTATCATTCATATCGATGGGATTTGATTTATTTTCATCAGAAAAATCTTTAACATATTTAACACACTTGACCTTAATGTTCGGATTATTAGGTGAAATAATCATAATTTTTTGAAGATATCCTTTCTCATCAAGGAAGGTAATTGCACTTATAAATCTCTTCGAAAGTCTCTTTTCCTTGTCAAATTTTAACTCTCTCTTTAAGTCTGTAGTCTGGCGGATACCATTCTTAGAATTCTTGACAATATTAACAATGGTACCAAGATGGTCCCTCATGTTAATGTACTCCTTTATCTCCGGTTCATTTTTTTGAAATTTTTTTAAGGTTACCTGTTTAACTAAATGACCTTGGTATATTAGCTGCTTGGTAGTTATTAAATGAGCTAACTTCTTCAATCTGCCGGTGGTACTTCTTGAGTCTTGTTTGGTGTTCTTCGCCAGTAGCATGGTATTGATACCCTTTTCTTTGTGTTTTGCGACTTCCAAAAGTAACTCAAACGCAAAATTACCAATTGTACTCTCTTTCTTATTATACCCCGTTAGGATAACCCACAAGCTATCTTCATTGATACCTATAGTGATTTCATTCTCATCTTCTTTCAGGCTACTATATGGCACTTTTTGAATTATTTTCCTATTTTTATATAAAATAATGTCAGGGTTAGATGTTAGTAATGCAAACACAAAGCTTTTCATAGAATCATCATTCACATTCACCATTGTTTTAGAGATATCCCATAACTGATTTAATTTAATTTCACCTTTGTTATACGCGATTTCCTCGAATAGCTTTGAGACAAGCTCATCCGGATACATTACGTGCGACATGACGCAATACAAATCTGTTACTCCCTTATATTTCGTAATAAATCAATTACAATTAAAGAAAAGATGTTAATATGTTTCTTTATATGAAAATCATTGCGTATTTCTTATTAAAGTTAGCAAAGTTGTCTTTGTTTATTTTTGAAAATAAGGAAAAATAATTCGCCCGAAGCGTGGTTCGAAACGAGAGAATGAGACTTTAAAATAGAAGAAATATAGAAAGCATTTAAATGGACTTATAAAGATTGACCTTTTGATAAACTGTTACCATCTAACAAAAAAGAAGAATTCAAATTACTGTTTTAAAAAGGATCAGCAAAAAAAACGGTATACCTGGGCAGTTTCAAACTGCATGTTTCAGAAAATAAAAATTCAAAAAATAAAATCTCCGCGACGGGGAATTGAACCCCGATCTGGCACGCGACAAGCGCCCATTCTGACCATTAAACTATCACGGACTTTTTTATTGAATTTGTTGCAAAATAGTTAGATACTTGGTATTAACTATATTTTAAATTTTACATTCCAGTTTTGCACTGTTTCTAGAATTATTCGTGGAACTTGTTGAAATGTAGCGGTAGTACTAAAAAGACTAACATTAGCTTAACCTATCTGAAGGTGAAGGTAGCTAATATAAGTAGAATTTAGAGTGTGCCGCACTGCCGTATATAGAATAACACATGATATATACTGCATAATGTAGTATTCGTTCCCCCTACATTGGGTTTATTGGAGCTATATAGTCCAACGTTACTATGCACAAAAGATGAGCAGTTTAACAACAGCAACTCTGTTTAACATTCTATTTAACTGAACAAATTTTATTATATTATAAAATCAACTTATAGTCGTCTGATTTTTTATATCTTATATAAAAATATATAAAGTAAATTATGGAATCAATTATATTCATAAATGAAATATTGTTCCATTTATATATGTTGGATTTCTTGTTGTCGTGATTATAAATTCACTCAATGGTGGCGTAAGTAATCTGTTAGTAAGTTGTTGCGGGATAAACTTATCAATAGATCATTGCGGGATGAACCTAGCATCAGATCATAGCCTTGGTCATTATCCCTCTTATAATCTATTTCCGACAGGAACCACGAGGGAAAAAAATATTCAGCTAAACTGAATAACAACCCAGATGGTTCAAATATTGTTAACATTGATGGAGGAATCATTACTTACTACAAAAATAAGGAGCAACTTCCATTTAAAGCCAAATTGAACTGTTTAAAAGAGTATCTGAAGTGGATAATAGCATTAGATGAATTCTTAAAACATCATCAATTCGACAATATCATTGAATTGTCACCAGAAGTAGAGATATCTCCAGCTCCAAAAAAAATGCTATTAAAAATAATTAACTCGAGTATCGAAGATAAAGGTCTAGAAGTGACCAACAATTCAGCAACTTCTGCAATTAGATTACTAACAAGAAGCAAAGTAAACTATAAGAAGAAATACTCCAAAAAGTTAAGAAACACATTCTGGAGTTAAATATTCCTCAGTAAGAAAACGTCTGACTTTAAAAAACAATGTTGGGATACAAGCGTTTAATCAAACTGGACCAAGAGTTTGGTGCAGATAATGAAGAAATTATCGACCAATTATGAAGGAAACTACCTCGTTGACAGCGAATACAACTTAAAATGAGCTCCTTTTATGTTTGCGATACAAAGAATGACATTCGTCGTCTTTAAAAGAGGCCGCCATCGATGATTGCACCCCCATGCCAACGCCATAACTGGTATCGAGCCAATTAAGTCTAACATAAAAGAAAATAGTTGACCTAATGTCTCTTCAGATATAGATTAAAGTGGTGAGCAACTTCTTAGAACTTGTGTGAATAAGGTCCTCAAGGTAAAAAATTTCCTCGTCGTAACGTAAAAAACTCCGCTCACCAGAACCTTGGCAAGTCGGTTGGTTCAGACTATGACGAGTTTAAAGTCTGTATAGTCAGGGTAACTCCTATTGAGACGCAAGTGGAAAGTTTCATCAGCCGTCATTCATATTATAAGAGAATCATATAATTTGCTAACTGGGTATATTATCATTACTTTATAGTTGTTTATTTATATACTTATATCTATATCTATAACTCATTTAACTTTGAGACCTAGGGAATATATATTTGTTATACTGAATATTGTATATGGTCCGTACCGATTACATCCCTTTAGATCGTAATTGTTCCTCCCCTTTCTAAATGAGAGGAATGTATATCATGTACAAATGTCAAACTATTCAAGTGTCGAAATACGTATCTTATTCCTTAATATTTATAAGGATGTAAAATTAAAGGGAGTTTATAGAAAATTCTCTAATTTTTATATTTTGTTGCAATTCGTCTCTAATTGGGGATACTTGTAAGGAGCTATCGAAATAAACAAAAAAACAAAAGTGATAATTAGAACATTAGAAAACCACTAAAATATTAATTGTTAGAATAATGATAATATCTACTATACTACATATTGTTTTATAATCAGCCTGTTACGTCGGTTTACTATTTTATTTATGAGTTTCTGGTTCCAGATACCACATAAATTTTATTCAAATCTGTATTCCAAGTGTTAAACAGAAGTATACCTTATGTATTTTATTAAACAAATTGCAAAAAACTCTTCAGTTCAACTCCTTTAATAATAAAATTTGAGGAGTAATTATTCATTCTTGTTATTTTGAGAGATTGTCCCATCTTGAACCCTCTATATTTTATGCCACGTCTTACCGCGGTCTGTATAAAAATTATTTAGCGGCTAACTTATATTTTAACCTATCAGTTAATACAGGGTTATGGTATGCCTGACCAAAAGGTATAACTAAACGGTTTGATAATATCATTGAAAAGTTATGACACAATACTTGTCCTTCTGTTCTCAATATATAAAGACCATTAAAACATTTCCTTCTGAGAGTGTAACTGTTTCTAAATGGAGCACTCAAGTGAAATTTGCAATAGCCGCTGAACAATTGGCAACCGACGATCAGTGGCTCTTTCTTCCACCAACATCTAAAAAAAAAATTACAGTATGAATATTTCTGATATAATTTCACATGTACCTTTTAAGAAAGTATCCTATATACTAACGTTACATTATTTTTTTATTTGTTACAGCTCCTCATCCACATAGAGTATAATAACCAACGGTTAACGGACAAAGAATTACAAATTATTATGATACAACTGGACAAAAAAAAAGAATTCTGGGAGTCGATATATTTCAATAATTATAATGATATTACCGTAGAGAGGGATATTAGAATTCAGTTAGAGTGTCAACTTTGGACTCAAAGTAGGATTAACGACCTTTTAGAGTCTGAAAGACTGGAAGATTGTAACGTGGAACAGCCATCAAAAATAAATTTTATAGAAGAGTTACTAGTATCCGTTTCGTTCCATTCAACAAATGATTTAGAGAAAGAATTAGATTCTTTTAAATCTCATCTAAGTGAGTATATGGCTTCTCTAATGATATCACAGCTTGAATTTAGGTTTCCTTTAGTATTCTCGAAAATTGCAAAAAAACGTGTAAAAGAGCAGGAAAACTCTTTTTTTGTAATATCACAAGCAATAAAAGGGAACTCATCACTTGTTTTGAAATTTATAAGAATGATCCATGTTGATCAAACTTCACTCAGTGCATTCCAAATACTTTCTTCGAGTGAATTTCCTGCAAATTTACAAATAATTTAATATTTTTATAACCCTTTGTATACATTCAAATGAAATAATGCAAATATCTACTTGATAAATTCTTTTCTTTTCCAAATATTATTCACCATTACAATAGCATCCTCATCAAAAGTTTCTTTTAGGTCATCTAAGAGAACTTGTCTGCTCCGATGCTCCGAAATATTTTCAAAAATATAATCCACTAATTCATCCTCATAAACACCCAAGTATTCCTTTACCAGCTCATCAACATATTTAGATGTTCTTAATTCATCGAGACGTTTTGATAAATCATTTCCAGTAAAAGGTAGAATATCAGCAACCTCCATATTTGAGTTAGGTTCACCTATTTGTTCGCTGCTATCAATTTCATTTTCTGCAATTTCTATTTCTTCTGGTTTATCTTTAACAGAATTATCAATTGCCTTATTAAATGCAAATTTAATATTAATGATAGTACTATCTTCCTCTTCTGCATTTCCACCGACAGATTTGGATTCTTCATTTGAGGTGGCAGCCTTTGTCGCTGTAGAAACAGGCATGTTCACATTATCGCCGACCTTCTCTCTATCTTCCTTATCATCTTGTTCTTCCAACTCTTTAAATGATCTATGGTTATCATATAACTCGTCACTACCAAGGTTGGAAATTTCCTTTTTATTCAATGATTTGTTTTCCATTAAATATTTTTCGTAGTTATTGGCTTTTTGTAAATCAGAGTAATTTTTACGAAGCTCAGGTTCTATTTTCCTGTTCAACACGATTAGAAGCTCCTCATACCTTTTTTCAGCTTCTTGTTTTTCATGTTCAACGATTTCTTCAAAATCATCAATTAGAATATCTTCATTATCATCCTTTTCATCCTTTCTTTTAATATCGGTTACAGTATTGTTCATCTTTATTTTATCAAACATTTTCATCATATGTGACCTCTGTCTTTCTCTTTCATTGTAAATTTCTTGACGATTTTTCTCCTTTTCAATTGTAACCACTCTCGTTCTAAACTCGATAATATCTTTACACAACTGATCCAATGCATCCCGAGGAATATCGTTTAAAGTATTCAGATCTATCTGATACTCACTGGATATTTCATTACCACCGTCGTTTTCCATATTGCTGGGGTTTACATTAGCCTCCTTTATTAAAACAGATAACTTTTCACGATCTTCACCACTCACAAAAAATTCAGATATGCTATTTTTTTTAAGTTCCTCCTCAATATATGTCTTAACGTTCGAATCATATTTAACCTTTAATATGTCTGAAAATAGATCGCTTAAAAATAACACAACTTGTGGATATATCACTAAATCGACATTAAAACGAACAAAAATCGTTTGTTCTGAAATAGCTGTTGAAAAAATATGACTCCAGGATTCAATAAGTTGATGTTTTATAAACTTTTCACGTTGGGAGTCCGTAAGATGATCAAGAGTGAGTTCCATTACGTGAGCTAGAAATTTATCAATGCTTGTTTTGTTTAGACTCGACTTAAACCCAGCTATAGAAATCGTATGTAATTGTTGCTTCAAAGATATTGGAAGAAACTGTTTTATGGGTTGGTATTTCAAATCCGATTTAGATTCGTTCTTATTCTTTTCTGATTGTTGACCGGGTTTGATGGTAGACTTTGTTATCTCAGAACCTTTGGAACCAGAGTCTATTAAACCTCCAGGCATATTTACATCATCATTTATGGAATTCACTTTATTTTTATCTATGATTTTTTGCAATGAATTCTCTAGTTTCTGCAAATCTGCTTTTAGTATTGGAATATACCCTGCCAATTCTGTATCACTCCTCCAATCTGGTTGAGAAACCAAGAATTTCTGGGGGCACACAAATATTACGTTCTCCATCTTTAAGAACTGTATGTCTAATAATGTGAATCCAAATATATATATATATATAGATCTATTCTGGTCCAGGTTCCTGAGATTTTGATGAAGTCCCCGTAGTATGAACTTGTCATCTGTTAATATACTTCTTGAAATAATTTAATTATCTATTTCAGTTTGGAAATCATAAAGTACGAGGTAAAGCAAGGCGTGTTTATCTGTCCGCTCGAGCATAAATTTAGCTTTGTAAAGGAAATGATAGAGAAAGGGACACAGAGAGAACAATAAATTCCAATCAGAACAGGAAGAAAAAGACTTGAAGGGGTGAAATATATAGTTACCAATTGTTGAATATCATATCATCTTTAGATCATATAGATCTATTATTTTCTGTGTTTCTAAGTAAATAATTCGATATATATTGAACGTTATTCGAAAAAGGAGATATGTCTGACGTTGAAGTGTTATTGACGGTCGGTAAGCTGGACGCCTCGTTGGCGCTGTTAACTACCAAGAATCATCATGTCATTGAATTTCCAACTATGTTGCTACCAGAGAATGTTAAAGCTGGCTCGATTGTTAAGTTGAATATTTCCCAAAATGATGAAGAAGAGAAGAAAGAAAGAACGAAATTTCAACAAATCCAAGAGACCATTCTTGAAAAATATGGTACTCACAAACCTAAGGCACCAGTTTTGAAAGTAGTAAATGTCACACAAACAAGTTGTGTCTTAGAATGGGGTCAGCTGGAACTGGGATCTGCCAGATTAAAATCGTTGATTCTATATAGACAAGGTATTCGTTCCACAGTTATCCCTAATCCATTCAAAGTTACTACAACTAAGATATCAGGTTTATCAGTGGACACCCAATATACTTTCCAACTTCGGTTGATTACCACATCTGGTCAATATTGGTCCGAAGTGATTGAATTACATACTCATAAGATGACAGATATGTCTGGTATTACAGTATGTTTGGGTCCTCTTGAGGATAATCTAAATATTACAGAGACTCAAATTAAAGATTGCTTGGAAAATGTAGGTGCAAGACCATTACAAAATCACGTTGCCATCGACACTACTCACTTCATTTGTAACGATTTAGATAATGATAAGGATGAAGATTTATTGAGAGCAAAGAAAAATAACATCCCTATTGTAAGGCCCGAATGGATTAGAGCTTGTGAAGTTGAGAAGAGAATTGTGAGTGTCAGAGGGTTTTATTTGGATGCAGACCAATCTATATTGAAATCTTATACTTTCCCACCCGCCGGTGCGAGAAAGATCAATGAGCAGGTTACAATTGAAGAGCCAGTTGCAGAAGAACCAATTGCTACTGAAGAACCAATTGCTACTGAAGAACCAATTGCTACTGAAGAACCAATTGCTACTGAAGAACCAATTGCTACTGAAGAACCAATTGCTACTGAAGAACCAATTGCTACTGAAGAACCAATTGCTACTGAAGAACCAATTGCTACTGAAGAACCAATTGCTACTGAAGAACCAATTGCTACTGAAGAACCAATTGCTACTGAAGAACCAATTGCTACTGAAGAACCAATTGCTACTGAAGAACCAATTGCTACTGAAGAACCAATTGCTACTGAAGAACCAATTGCTACTGAAGAACCAATTGCTACTGAAGAACCAATTGCTACTGAAGAACCAATTGCTACNGAAGAACCAATTATGGAAGAACCTGTTGTTACTGAACCTGCCACTGAGGAAGAACCAATTATGGAAGAACCTGTTGTTACTGAACCTGCCACTGAGGAAGAACCAATTATGGAAGAACCTGTTGTTACTGAACCTGCCACTGAGGAAGAGCCAATTACAGAAGAGCCAGTTGTTGTCGAGCCTACTGCTGAGGAACCTATTACCGAGGAGCCAACTACAGTTGCGGAACCAGCTATTGAGCAGCTTACAGTCGAGGAACCGATTACCGATGAGCTTGTTACAAAGGAAGAGCCAGTTATTGAAGAGCCAACAGAGATCGAGGAACCTGTAGTTGAGGAATCAAATACAGAAGAGCCAGTTACAACTGAAGAAGTCAACCCAGACGAGCCTGCTACAGTTGATGATAAAATTACAGAATCCACAGACTCAACAGTAGAGGAAAACAAGAATAACGACGGCGACGCCAACGATGATGACGGTGACGACTTTGGCGAGGAACAGGCCCCAAGTGAAACCGCATCCACTGAGGACGCTCCAGCCATCAACACAACGTCCACCACCGGCAGCAACAATAAGAAGAACAAGAAGAAGAACAATAAAAAGAAGAACAAGAAGCGTAAGTAAACTGTAACGATGTAAATAAAAGCTTTATAATGTATTTATATGTAACATCACCAGTATGCAATATATCTCTCTGTGTACAGGAATCAAAATCCGGTTCTCCATCTCCCCTGGCAACCCTAGGTCCCAGCCCTACTTCCCATCGAGAGCCTCAAAGAAACCAAACCCAGAGCAAAACGAGGCGAAAAGAGGCTTTCGCACCAAGAGAAGAATCTATTTTTAAAAATTGCCATTGAATTCCCAGTCGCAGCAGAGAGCGAGAGCGAGAAACGCGAGACGCCAAAAAACGTACAAAATTTTTCAAAAATTATTTATAACTGGCGGTGGATTTGAGCAATGTCCACAGAATGTACCGTACAACTAAAGCAACTACTCTCTGTGTTCATTTACTTGATCGAGTTAAATTTAGTGGCAAGCACTATGCCCGGAGAAGAAAGAGAGTCTATCAATTTATTTTTCACTTTCAGTCTCAGTCTCAGTTTCAGTTTCAGCTTTTCGATGATCGCAGAGCATAGAGGATGTTGATGAAGTTGTTGATGTTGATGTTGATGGGGGAGGTTGAAGGTTGGGTCGAACACATACAGTGCTCCCTTCTACTGGCGTTGCGTACCGTTCAACGGTGATCCTTGCTTCTCCATTTTTGATCTCTTTCCCTCTGTCTGTCTGTCTATCCATATTTGTAGGCTTGAAGTAACACCCGGTTGGTACCTCTTTTCTTGATTGCTTTCCTCATCCTCTCTCACACCGACAACAACACACTTGAATCAAATTGTTACGCTGAAGATAGACAGATCTCTCACACCGACAACAGAAACTAGTCAAAGTTATTAGTTGTTATAACGCTTTCATTTCATCTCTGTTTCAAGAAAAAAATTTCAATAGAAAGAAAGGTCCAGGATTATTCACTCTTTTTTCTTTGTCGTTTTTTTTTATCTTTTTTTTATCTTCCATTTTACAGAGAATCTTATATATCGTCGATATTTCAAAATCAGATCATCAAGATTTTATTATTCATCTATTAACTCTTTGTTATCTCTTTTTTAAAAAAAAAAAAATTAGTTTGATTTGATTTTCTACATATAATACAATTAATTGAGTTACTAGATATAATTATAATAATATTAATAAGTGATACATTATTTTATTTTATTTGGTCTTCTACAACATTTATTGACTCCTAACCGTTCTGCTTCATCTCTACTTATCACAACTTTTCGTCTCCTTCATCTAATAAAAGACATATTTATATAGTACTTTCCATTAAGTTATCGTATTATAATAATGCTACCGTCTCTAATAATACCTTTTCTTCTTTTATCAGCATATACCCCAAGAGTATGGTCACAAGATGTTGTAGCTGATGGTGATAATAATTCAAATAATAATAATAATAATAATAATAATAATTCTACCGTTGAAGATACAGGTCTATTATCGTCCTCTTCTTCGGCATCATCATCATTATCATCATTATCACCTTCTTCTGCTCTAGATTCGAGTTTGGATGGATCCTATTCAAGTTCTACTGAAAGTAGTCCCCTCTCTAGTCTTTCTGAATCACAAACTTCCTCATTTCTTTCATCCTCTTTATCCTCGTTATCCTCAAGTGCTGCTACTTTCATTGTATCATCCAGTTCTACTCGTAATCAAAACTTACCTTCAATGATGAGTAACTCTTCCACTCGTGCATCCTCTTCCACATCTTCATCAGCACTATCATCCTCTAGCGACAGCTCCATACGTTCCTCTTCTCCTGCTTCATCAGATTCCACTTCTTCCTCCACATCACCCTCTTCGTCATCATCCTCTACCACTTCGTCGTCGTCTTCCTCTTCAAGAATAACATCTTCTTCATCCTCTGATACAAATGATTATGGTAGCACAGTAACAAGTATTATACATGGTAAGACTATTCTTTCGAACCATTATACGACAGTCACATATTCATCTACCGCCACCGCAGGTTCAAAGAATACTGATCATAATAAAGGTCTTTCAAAAAAAAATAAAAATATTGTCATTGGTTGTGTAGTCGGTATCGGTGTGCCTTTAATCATAGGTATTTTGGTTATCCTCTACTTATTCTGTATTAGATCTAAAAAGACAGACTTCATTGACTCTAATGGTAATGTTGTCACGGCATATCGTACTAATAAAGTTACTAAAGCTTGGCATAATATGATAGGTAAGAATCAAGATGATGACGACTATGAAACTAATGAACCATTAGGAACGTTAGCTCATGATAATGATATCGACGACGACGATGAAGCGGTACGTGGATTGTCACATCAGTTACGTAATAATGATTTGGATATGACTCATAGTAATAGTAGTGGTAGTGGAAACTCTTTAGATTCAACATCGAGGAACAATAAAAACAATTTGAATATGGATGGCTCATTATCGGGATCGAATAATGTTACTAGGTCCAATGATTTGCTACTAAACGAAGATAGATATTATGATGAAGATGGGAATGAACTTAATGCAAAAATGTATTGATCATCCATCTCCCGTTTTTTTCTTGGTCCCATTTTTAATTTTTTTCTCACTTTAGTCTAAAACTTATTTGCATTATTATTATTATCATCATCATCATCATCATTATTCAAAAAAAAACTCATAAAACATACGTTCGCATTCTCATTAATTCTATTAAACAATAATTCAATCTATTTTCTTCAAAAATAAAGATTAAAAAAACACTATATATATAAAGGTATTCCGATAAATATTATTTTTTTCAAAATTAAGTAAAATTATAAGAATAAAAATATGTATTTTAATTCTCTTTCAGTATAATTATTTACTATTGTATTTTGAATATGTATAATAATGTATCTTCATTATTATGAATCCTTTAATTAGTAGAGCGCTATTAGTAATTATTTGGAACTTTTCCAATGTTTTATCATTAGACAGTGAAAGAAAGAAAATGTTTTCATTATAATTGATGTGTGTGTAGATAATGTTATGATTATATATAGGATGTGGTATTTCTAATAAAGAAAAAAGATTAACATAAAATAAAATAAAGACATTCAAATTAACTTCGAAGTGATCTCAAACATTAACTCACTGCGTGTTCTAAATTGACTGAAACTCTTGTGTTTTCACGAGACAATTGACTTGCAGAAAAATTATTGTGTAACTCACTAAGTTTATCGATAATAATTGAACCTAATGTTCCGTATTTAGCATAAGCATTGGCTACTTTTTTAGTATAACCTTTATCTTCCTTACTGTTCAATTTTTATCTTAATTCACTGCCCATACTCTTAAATGATACTTTATGTGGTTTGGTAATCAGTTCTAGACCAACTGGGGTAATACAGACACGTTCTCTAACTCCAGGTAAGATATTACTACCTAATTTGTCAATTTGAACAGAAACACATCTAAGTCCATCCTGCGTAATCTCATATTTGAAAATATCACCAAATGAACCCATTTTTTTAATAGTATTCTTAAACAAGGGAGTCTCGTAATCCCCCAGTTTGGAACTAAGTTCATCGCCGATCTTAGTGAATAAATCTCCAACAGAGCCACCTTCTGGTAATGAATTATCCATACCAACAAGTATGTTTAACATTAAACTTGAAATAAAGGCCAAAGTATTAAAAATACATGACCCAGGGGCAAACCCACTCAATGGAGCAGCAGAACAGGTAATAAATGTACTCGTTAAAGTAATAATATTTAGTAGAATATTTAAATCGATTTCTGTATAATCGACAGCAGCAGCATTAAACAACAAATTGTTTTCGACAAAAGACGAATTAATAGAAATTTTCATATTAAGAATAGACGTTTTAGTATACTTATTTTAGTATAGTTTTTCAAGAAAATTTTTATGTTGCTTAAAGATATAACTTATGAATGGAGTACTTTGAAATATCCCTTCCATTTTTAGACCAAAAAAATACATATTTAGAAACTAATATCTATCGTAACTTTTGATAATGATAGTAGGTAAAAAATAGTTATATAACTTTGTACAATGAAACTTTTTTCCTAGTACCATTAGACAAAAACAGGTAGTATATTTCACCTTACTCCCATAGGAATCTCTTACGTTCCAGCGGAATCACCTATATAACTCAACCTTATGATGCAATGGGTAAGTGCAAATCGAATTCTGTATTATTGGAAAAAAGGAAAGGGTAAAACTAAATTTATTTAGTGAAATCATATACATTATCTAAATAAACAAAAATATTTTACTTTGTGACTAGTATGTTTACTTCCTTTTTACTGTGTTCTGCAAGAGAGTAACCGTAGCAATTGGCTTGTTCATCTTGGCAAAATAAAACTTCAGAAGGTATTTCTTTCAAGACAATATCTAGTTTAAAAGTTGTTTTGCTAAAACTCGAAACAGTACCAGATTCTTGTAACTTTTCATACTTATTCGTATTGTTCTAGGGTACTGTTTAACGCAACTAGGTAATCTTGAGTCGTTCCAAGAGGTATTGAATGAATTTCAATTTTAGTCAAGTAAAACATCGTCGCCCTCCTTTCATGCGGCCGTACCGAAAAAAGAGGTGACAGATGAGGTAAAGCTGGAATGTCACATAAAGCTGTGCAATGTGATTGTTGGATAATAATCAAAAAGGGTATTAAAGATGTGGGAATTTTACATACATTCGACATTTTCGTAGAATGACTCAGGTAGTTTGCAGTTACACGAACAGCCAGAAGGTGAAAGCAAGAAAACTATAATACAGAAGTAGCATATTGTAGTAAAAAACCCAATGGGTAATAATACTCTACTAATCAAGGTAACTGAGCTGAAGCAGGCATAGTAGAGTTAGTTCTAGTTTCATTCATTTTATATAGTGGCAGGTAGAGACATGTAGGTATTAGCTTGACAATGTATGTTAAGAAAGCAAAGTGCATATGTTATACTTTTCGTTTATTTGTAAGTGATTATTTATTTTCTCAACAATCAGTTTTTCTAATTCTTTCTTAACAAGATATTACCTAATTATTACGTAATCTTTCATTCTTATTAAGACATTTTAGATATCTTGATTCCACATAATTTCTGTCAATTATCGTATTATAAAATGTCCGAAATTAATTCAAATAATGATGGGAAAATTGAATATTAGACATCTTCTATTTAACTGAACAAATTTTATTATATTACAAAATCAACTTATAGTCGTCTGATTTTTTATATCTTATATAAAAATATATAAAGTATGACAGAAATTATGTGAAATCAAGATATCTAAGATGTCCTAATAAGAAATAAACATTTTATTAGGTAATAGTCGTTTAGGCCATAATCGTTTAGAAAATAAGTTCATTACTTATCGATCGTTTAACCAACAATCGTTTAGGTAACAAATCAATTACTTGACAATCGTTTAGGTAATCAGTTTACTACTTAACAATCGTTTAGGAAACAATCGTTTAGGTAATAAGAAGAAACGAAACTTCGATAAAATAAATGATATATAAAGACAGAGAATTCTGAACTTACATTCTGAGTTAGATTCTATTCGTTCTATAAATTATATATAATATAAAAAATCACTTACAAATATAAGAGAAAGATAACAATTATATTTTGCTTACCTAACATTAAAACTTAAGCTACACCATTCACCTCTATACCTAACACCTTTAATAATGAACGAATATAAGTCTAACCACAGTATGTCTGCTTCAGCTCAAAATGGAACAATATTTCATTTATGAATATAATTGTTTCCATAATTTACTTTATATATTTTTATAGAAGATATAAAAAGATCAGACGACTATAAGTTGATTTTGTAATATAATAAAATTTGTTCAGTTAAATAGAAGATGTCTAATTTACAATTTTCCCATCAGAATTATTAAGTAAAAACCATTATTACCTAATTTTTACATAATGAAATTATTAGGTAATAAATTACTAATTAATGGTGTAGAGAATCTGAGATAGAGTGTTTGCCTCTATTAGTCTCTTCAAGCTTTACTTTATTTAATTCGGACATTTTTTAATACGATAATCGATCAGTCTCTTTATATTATATATAATTTATAGAACAAATAGAATCTAACTTCGAATGCAAGTTCAGAATTCTTTGTCTTTATATATTTTTTATTCTAATCTCAATTGAGGTTCGAATTATGTTTGTTTCATAATGCGATTAACTTTGTTTCATGTTGCCACATATTTTGTTTCATATTTTAACACGCTTCATAATAACTGTGCTTAAAGGTATTTCTTTACCTATTGAAATTAAGTGTTGTGCATATTACTCTTAATTTCTGACAAATGGGAATGTTATTGCCTAATTATTACGTAATTCTTCATTCTTATTTGGACATTTTAGATATCTCAATTCCACATAATTTCTGTCAAATTCTACTTATATTAGCTACCTTCTCCTTCAGATAGGTTAAGCTAATGTTAGCCTTTTTAGTACTACCGCTACATTTCAACAAGTTCCACGAATAATTCTAGAAACAGTACAAAACTGGAATGTAAAATTTAAAATGTAGTTAATATCAAGTATCTAACTATTTTGCAACAAATTCAATAAAAAAGTCCGTGATAGTTTAATGGTCAGAATGGGCGCTTGTCGCGTGCCAGATCGGGGTTCAATTCCCCGTCGCGGAGATTTCATTTTTTGAATTTTTATTTTCTGAGACTTGCAGTTTGAAACTGTCCAGGTATATGACATATATTTTATCAAAATGTAATCAAAAATTATGTTTAAGATGAACCTTTCCAAACGATAGTTTTATCTAGAGGCAAATGTTTGTTCCTAAAATGATTATACTTTACCAATTGAACTGTTACTCAACCTTTATTTAACTTAAATATACTGAACAGTTATATTTAAAATATCATAACTAAGGAATATATCATTATAAAATAATTTCTGTTATTTATATTAAATGAAAAGTAATTATAAACAAAAAAATAAAAAAAGATTTAAAAAAAAAAACTACTAAAATATAACTTTCTAAATTTGCCATTAATGTGTTCATTCCACTAAAAGACAAAATAAAATAATAAGAGATGTGTAAACAAATGACACAATAAACCAAACCCTTATCATGATTGCTTACTCTTTTCCACCCATAACTTGCTTGACAGGCTCAGTCTGGTTAATGTACAATTTATGTTCTTGGATGTATCTAATGACCGAATTTGGTAACAAATACTGGACGGACATACCTCTTCTAATAAACAAACGAACTTTTGTGGAAGAAATATCATTATAAATTAATTGCTTGATCACCAGGACATTCCTTCTATGTTCATACATAATATCATGTGATAGGAGGAAGGAACGAACATCAGAACCTGTACGTTCTACAATTAAACAACCGTAGTTACCTAGAATGTGGTGCAAATCCGCATCGGCCCAAACGTTTGGTTCACCCATGGATTCAATCAAATCACCACCAGCCAACAACATAATCTTACAACCCATTTTTTCACCAGATGCTGTGGAAACACCACCACGTTTAACGTTTATTTCGTGGTTGAAATGGTCTAATACTTTAGCCGTTCTTGTATATGTTGGTTGGAGGGATTCCCATGCATCAACCATTAACCATGAAGATGTCCTTTCACAAGCTAACTCACACATTCTTACTCTATGGTATGCCGGAGCTAGACCGGGTTTCTGATAAGTATCATTCACCGGAGAGAAATAACCACCAACAACTTCGAATCTCGTTTGTTCGTTGATGGCATCCAGAGCCATTTCGAACATTCTTAAATGCAGATATGTAATAGGAGAGAATGAACCACACGCTACAATTACTAAAGGTAGTTTATTTGGGTCTTTAAGACCTGTAGAGAATCTGTGTGTTGGGAATTCGTAGTCATCAAAGTCTCTTGCTTGTCTTACAATTCCATGAGGTACTTCCTCTAAGTCAGCAATTTGATATTTCTTGACACCAATATCTATGGCTTTTAGTTGTTCGTTTAGAGCTTCATCGATTGTTCTACTATCACTCCTTCCTGTATTATTATTGTTATTGTTATTATTATTCGTGTTACTGCTACTACTACTTTCATCTGTGTCTTCTTCTGCAGAGGACACATCTGCAGACAGCGGTTGGAAATCCGAAGGATTTAATGGTATATGTTGTGAACGGTGGCTGCCCCTTGTACCAGTTCCCCCAGAGGAATTCTTGCGACTGGTATGGTGTTTATGATGATGTTTGCTAGACGATTTTTTGTGGTTTTTCTTGATACTGTCGAGATTAAATGGTGCATCTATAGAGCCATTATAATCGGCCAACACATATGGAACTATTGGATCGGAATTAGGAATAGTAGATTGAGGATCAGTTGGTGGGGAAAGTTCCTCATTAGGTGAAGGAGGTTTAAAATCTGGAGCTCTTGTAGGGTCCATATTGTCGTATTTTGTTTGGGTTTATGTGCCTAATCGAAAGGAAAAAAATATCAACAAGACAACGATAAATAATGAAAATAGTTAATCTGAGGAATAAAAAAATACTAAAGTATCGTCCAGTCTTTTCAATTGTTCTCTTTAAAATGAAATGAAATCCAAAACAAAAGTAGAAAATATCGCGAAGAATTAATCAAACTCCAATATATATATTTTATATCAAAGTATATTGTATTGTTTTCAATATTGTTTGAAGATAAGCACTTTGTAAACTGAGCAAGTACCGAAAATTATTTAATCAGAAAAATGTGACGTTGAAAATAAAATGACGCACGCAGGAGCAATTAATCATTCACAAGTTGAGCATCTATTAATTCATCGAAATATAAGTTATGTTTGTAATGAAAGTAAAAAGAGATACCATCTATATATATATAACTACAATATGTTTATAATTATGCGCAAGGCTTATAAAAGACGGTTGATATCGGAGGATGACGACTGTTCGAGGAAAGTTGAATAGACAGACCAAGAACCCGGTGTGTCTAATTTCATGAGAAACATAAGTTCCTTCTGGATTGTAGCGTAATTCAAGAAAAAAACATTCAACGTCGTCTTTGTTTATCCTTCTAATGGAAAAATCTCTCTGCCTGTGGGCAACTTGGTTAGTTTTTTCCTTCCGCGAGCTTCCTTGAGTGTTTGTGTAACACCGTTCTTAAAATACCGCCCGCACGGGAGGATTGGCACAACTAGCTCACCCTACCCCAAACCAACCGACTATGACGATGGAGAGGAAAATAAGATCAGGCGCACAAACCACATACATACCCATAAACGTATGTTACAGATGATATGAATTCAGGTTCATTCAAGTTACATAACATTCCGGATTTTATGTGATAGAGAAAAGAGCTTAGGTGAGGCAATCACGAGATTTATTGCCTTTCATATATCTCACATGAACGTCAACACTGAATAAAATGATGTACAGTACAGTAAAAGATCAAACAAGGTATTATCTGAAATAAAATTTAAAATATGATTCCATCAAGAAAGATTCTAAGTAAGTTGATAAAAAAATTTCTGTCTAAAGCTCCAAATAAATTAAATATTTTTGTAGTCATTTATTTGTCCTATTCTTGGTGGTAATGTAATTCATGGTTCAAAATTTTAAGCTACTGAAGAACGCCAAGTTTTCCGTCACTATATCATTCAACGTTCTTGGTAATCTTAAACTCTTCCACCAAATTTTTACTGTAGTAATGTACTAAAAATGACGACTACAGGGAAATGTCTCATTCGATTACTTTGCTTAATTTTGTATATATGCAAAACCTATAAAGGTTTAAAAATATTCTGTTTAAAATACAAAATACAAAAGCAGTATCATAAGGATTAAGCACTCAATTAACAACAACAAAAAATGAGATTAATGAAGTTACATAAATAGCACGTGATATAATTTTAGATTTTCTAAAACTAATTTATTATTTAAAATTTAAACTTGTTTACGCTTACCGAAGATTGAAAACATTATCAATAGTAGTTAAAATTATTTATAATATATTTTCAAAGTTTTACGCGAATCTATATATATTTAAAAATGATTCTTTAAACTTGTGTCATTAGTTCAAAAATACACATATGAAAGCAACCAATACAAGATGGAGACCAGTAACCCTTTAGAGAATTTCTTAAAGAATTGGTTGACGACCAATATATTATCCTTTGATGATTTCAAAAGTGCCATTAGAGGAGATTCCAGATTTAAAGGAATTTCAGATGAAGATTTAAGAGAAATTTACGCGTTATATAAAGCAAGAGACGATACATATGGGAATAATTTAACCAGGCGTGTTGAAAGTTCACTTGAACCACTAAGGCAAACTAGCCTAGAAGATCTGGAACAAAATCAGTCCGATAATTCATATTCTTTAGAGGACATGATTATTGGGTTGTATAATGTTGGAGCTCTCTTGGAGACAAGAACTAACGTTATAAACAAAAGGATGAAGGAAGAAATAGATGTACTTAAGAGATTTGATGATGCTACAATTTTGCAATCAAGTTCGGCGCCGTCAAATAATAATATATTACAAATGCTAGATAATTATAGAGGTATTCTTGAAAAATTGGACGATATGAGTACTTAGCAACAAGTTGTTTGACTAATTTCAGGTAATTTAAATCTCTCTCCTACCCATTGAAAGACCTCATAACTTGAATTTAGTAACTTGTGTTGATGCATACAGTACCCATCACCACTTTCAGGTTTGAGAGACCCAGTGATTGTCATTGGCTCTATAAAAACACAACGTTTGATCCTGGAGTGGATGAGGGCCATCGAACACATTGAACATGGTTCATGGGTTGTATAAACGTCAAAATCAAGACAGAGATATCCATCCGTATGGTCGGTATTAATTACATTCTTTTTTTCTTTCAATCTTTGGGAGACTGCGTTAATTCCTACTCGAATGCTATGATCCAAGGGGGACGATCCATGTTCTGCCCTTTTATCATATGCATAGACACAGTTTGTAGGGTCATTTGGGTCAACAAAAGCTGTAACAATAGGGTATCCATTACCATTTTCATGTTGTTCGTGAGATAATTTATGTATTTTCTGTAGTATATCTTCAATAAATGGCATGTCGAATGTATAATCATTCAGAATTTGATCATTGGGGTTTCCTCGCCAGACAAGCGGCCAATATTCTTCTGACCACTGCAGCATGAGTTCTTTAGTAGGAGGACTTTCTTTGGGTATTTTATGTCTCGAAGATAAGTTACTGTATGTTAGTTGTTTTCTATGCTCGAGCAAGATAGATTGAACTGAATCTTTGTCTTCGAAAAGTTCAACACTGCCAATCACAACAACCAAGGAAGGCAAATTATCATTACTAGTTTTTTTTTTGATCCTCTTTATATGAAGCATCGAGATAGGGTCTTCCTTTTGCGTTTTAGAACGTATTAAACTATATTTACGGTGAAATAGTTAGTATTAGATAAGTAAGAACAATATTATATTTTCCTGGTTTTCTAATTCATAAACTTTTTAATATACATACTCTAAAACATATTTTGAATCCTTGGGATTGATTTCGATTGTCCAAACATTTACTTTATAGATTATGGTGGGGTTAGTACTCTATCATTGTGCGCCAAAAAGACATAGAATTTTCAGTACATACTTAGGTTTGGTGTGCTCGTAGTCCTTGAATTTTTTATTTGTTGCAGCTTATTTTCAACGATACACTTCTTGAAGTCGATTTTCAATAGATTCAAGGCTTTCTTGACCATTATTCTGATGAACGTTGATGCTGAATATATAAGTCACCCTGTGATATATAAAAACTATAATTTTGATTGTGTTTTATATTATTAGAATGGCCCTTTCTTATATTATTCGTAGAAGACGAAGCTCATCGCGAAAAAAAAAACTAGTATAAAGAAAAAACGTGAACTTTTTATCTAACGATAATAAAAACTAGTTAGTTTATTTGTGTCACAGCTCAATATAAACATCCTGGGAGAATACTATAAGTATTGGATTGTCTACCTTCTTTTTTTTCAGATATTAATTGAAAATATTGTTTACGTACGCAATATCATTTCTACTTCCTGGTGTATAATAATGGAATGCAATTACTGCGAAAGTATATCGAGAAGCTTAGCGTACCAGCTGATACGGTGAACTTGGTTAATTCAACGGAAGTTTCTGTCAACCATTTGCTGGACAACTACTTTGTGATCCCAAACGAGGTTTCGATCGAGCACCCCGTTCTTCGACGTGATTGCAAACATAAGGAAATAATAGACTGCTTAGTCTGGCATTTAATAGAGAACAAACTATTCAATAATTTACTGACATATGGTTACTCAGTGAATAGCACTGAAAATGCGACATACACTCCACATAGTGTTTCAACTAACATACATGTAACACGACTTAAAGGCAGTTCTTGGGAGTTGTTACATTTAAAACTGGGAACAACTAATTTTGTGGAACTACTTCTTAATCGCACCATCCTTGAATACAAAAATGGTTACTTCGAACAGGTGGTTGGGAATATGAATAATATGCCGCATCTACCACCCAAATGGTATACCGATAAAAATGCATTTGTAGATTACACTGATAGCAACATAACAAACAAAACTTTTATTCATAAGGTCTTCAAAGTTTATTGCCTTGCCGGTCCCAACAAATTGAGTTCAGAAATTGCTGTTCTTGAGGATATCCTTTCAAGTGACAAACATGATATCGGACGTAAGTCCAGAAACTTAGCGTGGCATAACTGTATTGTAGTGTTGAAAAGGAAATGCAGAAACAATCTCAACTTCGATCATCTATTAGATAAAATATGTGGTCTCGAAACATCTATTAAGGGTCAAAATCATTTGGACAGGCAGATATCTGTTACGGCCGTTAATAAATTTGTTCTATTAATCCTAGAGAAACTAATACCACAGGATATGTATGGATCAAGGAAGAATAAGTCGTTATTCTTTTCACATGTTTCTGAAATGTTGAGATTGCCGATTAATGGTAAGATACTTATTGAGGATATCTTAAGGAAAATAGAACTTAAGAGATGTACCTGGCTTGGCTATCCATCTGTTTCCAATTCGAGGGAGCAGTTTTTGAAATCATCTGAACTTATGGAAAAATTTCTGAATTGGTACTTTAAGATCCTCGTACCTAATATATTGATATATTTTTTTTATTGTACAGAAGTATCTTCAGGTATCGAAATAATATACTTTAAGAGATCTACCTGGAAGTCGATGGTTACCCCATTTAAAGATAATTATTTTTCCAAATTTCTGGTGGAGAATCTTATTTGTAGAAATCATGCCAGTTATACCCTATCTGAATTCAATCATAGTAGATTGAGAATCATCCCAAAAAAGGCTTCTGGTCAGTTTAGAATGATATGTGTGCCAAATAAAGGTGTAGACGAAATTGAAAATAGAATATATAACGCAAACAAACGGGATGTGATCTCACCGGTCCAGTCGATATTAAATCACACGCGACTGAGACGAACCACACCTTTTTCCAAGATATTTTCAACTATGCAGATTGCAGATACCTTGGAAATATTTAAAACAAGGCTGTTAAAAAAATATGGAACCTTACCGGATCTATATTTTATGAAATTTGATATTGAATCGTGCTACGACTCCATCCCAAGACGGAAATTATTGGATGTCGTGAAACTATTACTTGATAAAGAAGAGGGGTTCTTTGTAAGAAGTAAAGGTAGGTTAAATCCACTTTCTGGAGTTTTCTCGACCTACGAGGTAGTTAATGGTATAGATTACAGAGGCACCAATAGCATTGCTCTTGATAAGGGACGAGCTAAGTATTTATCATCGCAAGATGTTATTAGAGTTGTTGAGGATGAAATTTTTAAAACAGTTGTATGGGTAGGTAATAAATGCTATCTTAGGAAGGAAGGACTTTTCCAAGGTTCAAGTCTATCTGGACTACTTGTAGATATATTGTATGATGACATGCTGCTCCATTACAGTGAATTTTATCCGATCGAAAATGAAGAAACACTTACACTACGATTAGCTGACGATTTTTTGATTATCTCAACATGTGGCACACAAATTGAATCTATAAAGCAATTAGCCTTTGATGGATTTGAAGAATATAATGCTAAAGTCAATGTTGATAAAATCATTATTGAGAATTCACAGCTTTCTCCAAATAAGAAAATTCAATTCTGTGCCTTAGATATCTCTATCAAGAAACTGGAAATATGGAAACATAATGACTCACTGAATATTTCTAGAATATCTTCGTTGTCTTCTAAAGTTTTGTTTAACCAGCTGGAATGGTTTTTTAATCTAAGACTTCAACATAACACAATAAACATTAATTTGAATTCATTTGACGTAATTATAGATCAGGTCGGATATATTGCGACCAACATATCTGAAGTAATGGTTAGTGCATTTCGAAATAGAAATTTGAACTTTAGTTCATTTATAAAGTACTTAAATCGTATCTTCGGCTTAGTCATTGAACGCTGTTCTAGTTCGTCTGATAAGCTGCGGGTGGATCTTGAAGTGCGTCTTAAAGAGAAAATTTTAGATAAGTTTCTGGTAACTTTTTTGAAATATCCTTCTCAATTCGAGGTTATTATTCAATACCTCAAAAATGAAGCCAAAAAATATAGATATATAAGACGTTTATGTATATAATAAAATGCAATTTGACCAATGATGACAGGAGTTAGTGACAGTCTCAGATGAATGCGAAGGTAGTCTTATAATGGCATCTGACCTCTGAAATTAGCCCTCAAGTTAGCTTCATCCTTTTCTCTTCTTTGACGTTCTATTTCTTCAAGACCGCCTAACTTCTTTAGTCCTGAATTTTCCACGAAGTTCCCCAATTCATCCTTAAATTCGTCATCTCCTTTATACTTCTTTTCCCTCTCCCAGTGTTTTTCAGCCTTTTCTAAAGCGTCTAACCGTTCTTCGTGATTTGGGTTGATGGACTCAACTGCTACCATAACTTGCTCTCTTACCTGGTTGAACGTTCCAGGTTTTAAGAGGGGTAGAATGGTATTGACCCTGGGTTTGCTAGGATTTTTTTCCTGCTCGTCGCAACACAGGTGTATCAAATTGAATGTCTCTACTGCTTTTTTCAAATCTTCCTTTAAATCAAACAGCAGATCTTCCTGCAAGTTTAGGAATTGCTGTTCTTCGCAGACTTTGTCCAGCTCTGCCTCCCATATAGTTTTCCAATGTGGTTTTTCAGAAACAATGTATTTCTCCATTTTGATTAAATTTTCATTGGCACTATTCAATTCGTTGTCTAATGATTCTAGTTTCTTTGTAGTTGGCTTTGAACCACGATCAGCTACATCTTTTCTTAATATTTCGATTATATCTTGCAAATCGTCTACACTGGTTAGCAGGTTGTCAGAAATTTCACCCAACTTAGCTTGGGATTGTTCGACATATTCTTTTTTATCCGATGATTCATTGACTATTGATACGTTTTTGAAATCTTCCAGTTTTTTTTTAATGTCCAATATACTACTGTCCAACCCAGATTTGTTTGATGAGTAGAGCATTTTGATAATATTTAGTTGGCGCTTTAAATCGTTAATCTCCGAAGTTTTGTCGATAGGTGCTCTAGATTCAGTATCGATTGTAGTTGTAGTTTCGCTCTTACTTTCAGATAGAGGCGGTGATGAAATATCTTTAGCATGTACATTGTTGGAAGACTCCCCGTTTGCAACATTTGTTAAATGTTTCAAAATTTCAGTTTGAGACTTTGCAATCTCTTGTCTCATCGAAGTTTTTAATTCATTTAACATGTCATCGTGTATAAGCGGAATATTTTTTGTTCGTAGCTCTAATGTGGTTCCGTCAGTTATTGTTCCGATTTCTTGCTCATCCAATTCGTAGGGGACATTATATTTTGGGTCCGTGATATAAATATCAGGGAATGAATCTCCGCCAGGAGAGTAAGCAAATCTCTCAACAAATAGTAATCTCAGGTTCTTCATGCTATTGATGATTGGTACAACGCACCTTTTGGTGTTTCCATTCAGTTTTAAAAAGACAGTATATGTTCCATCAATATTATTTTGCTCAACTGATAGCCGTTTACTTTGAGGGGAAAGTAATTCTGTTCTCTGATCACTAACAATGCGGTTAGGTGAGTTACTTTTATCAATATCAAACATATTTGGCATGCTTGGCACAGGGGAGGTTGCATATGCTGCTGCATTGACAGCAACACTAGTTGACTGGTTAGTTAGCTTCGCCATATGATATGCAGAGTACCTTTTCGAGGCACGTCGTTGTAAATTTGATCCGTTCTTTAATTGCTCCAATGCGTCCTGGTCGGTCGAGTCCCTTACCTTTGATACTACTATTTGATCTTTATGTTGCGCATCAATATCAATAGAGTTGTTCTTTCCATGGGTAACTGTGGAACTTCGTTTCTCTTTTTCTTCGATATATTCATTATTAGATATCACATTATCTCCTTCTTTCTGAGTGGAATTGGAACTAATATGAGATAATCTCTTATTAATATTTGATTGTGATTGTGATTCATCCGTCTCTGTAACCCTAGGTGTTGATATTCTCTCTGAAGAGGGTACACCCGGGGATAGAGTGTCCTTTGAAAGTGAAACCTTGGTAATAAGTTGTTCTTGTCTAGCTTGTTTCAATTGTATTTGTTTCACTTTCAATTTATCCAATAAGTTTACAATAATCTCACGTATTCTGGGTAAATATTTATTTAGAGTCGTGTCTGATGCTGGCTCACGTAGCGTCACTTCTAAAACCTTACGTAGTTGCGTTGGAACATCGCCCAAATCCGAAATATCAACTTTTGCATGTGTAAAGAATTTTGACACCAGTTTGAAATCGTTACCAAGTTGGACATAGGAGTCAGATACCATTTTTCCAGTTGCACTTCCTTTGGACCATTGCGTCAGGATTTGTAATAAATGCTTCGTCGACATAAGAAGCTTAGTCACCGTTGTTTCAATACTGACTGATGTCCTTGCCGACGACAGTGACGATCGTGAGGTGGAATCCCCTGTCTCGGAAGAACTCGACATTCTGTTTATATAGCAGTAATCTCCAACTTAACTCAATAACCTATCTCGAGAGCTATTTAAAATTAATCCCTTATAGATATATCAATTATCCAATAGGGATCTCTAACTTGGTTAACAACAGATTTCAAATTTTAACTTGTAATACCTTCAATTTAATCTTGTTGTTCTCGCATTGTTTTTTTATACATATTGGGATTGTTTGTTTGGTTTTTTGATCTATAAGCGAAACTCAAGACATTCTAACTTGCCGTAACAAATACAAATAATAATAATAATAATAATAATAATAATAAGTACTGCGCTGAAATGGTGATGAGCAAACTAAAAACTCTCATAACTTAAGAAACGAAGCCAAAGGTTGAGGTATTTGTCTGATTCACAGTAGCATATATCACGCTTATATGAAACTGTACTATTTGTATTGAACGAGAAACGTTGAATTAGGCAAAGATCACCTTAAATTAGCAAATACCATTATTACTGAAAGGAATTGTGGTTTAGCTAGGTTGAAAAGAGAATAAGGCTATGGATGTGGAAAGTTATCTGGTGTCCGACTCAGAAGAATTGTCAAACGATGAAGTTCTTGTATTGTATGACCCAAATTTGATTCCAACGGAGCCACCAAGATCTGTGGACGATCTACAACCCGAAAGTCCTGTACTAACGAAGGAAACTGATATTCGATCTGAACCATTAGAGGTTGTTTCTATACCGAATAATCTAGACGAGACCAGTACAATTCAAGATGATCAAACTGTTGATAGATTTGTGAATAATGGGGGAAGGATCTTAAGGAAAAGGACAGCAATCCAAAAGTTACCTTATAGTTTAGAGAGAATAAAGCACAGACAACAGTTGCAGGGCTTCGATGTATCAAATTTTGAGACTGTATCTAATAAGGTCAAACTTCCTCCTCCTACTGACTTACAGCCTAATGATGGTACATCAGGAGTGGTAATGAGGGATACTCTAATAGGTGATTCTCCCTATATAAGCGGCGGTGATGATGATGGTAGTGATTTTTCAGATAACGCCAGTGAAGATCTTACATTGGATCTTCAGGAAGCTGTCTCACAACTTAATTCTTTTGATGACGATAATGATGATGACTTGCAAGATATTATATTTAGAGGAAAGCATATCAACATGAAAACAGGATATCGTGGTATACTACCTAGAAGTGCTTGGGAAAGAGAATTAAAGAAGAACGGCAAACAAAGGGAAGTACATAAGCGTAAAAACTCCACTCAGCCGTTCCATAAAGGTGTGGCAATTAAAAAGAAACATTCTGGTGATAAGAAAAAACAGGATGATCTTTTACTATCTGAAATGGCTATTATTGATGACGATACAGAGGATGATGTAGGAGCATATCTACAAGAAAATACGGTTCATGTTGATCAAAAGGAATTAGAAAGATTTGATAATTATTATCGTCAAAATTATAATGGAGATGGCTCTATTTCGGACAAAGTACATAAACAACAGCACTTCATACATGATAATGCCATAAATAATATTCCGAGAATCAATGAAATCATTGACATTGATTCTGATGGATTTATGAGTGACCCAGATGTTGAATTGATGACTGACTATGAGAGCGAAGGCGATGTTATACCAACTAACGTAGCAGAAGAAGATAATGGAGGTATTGTAAATGCAATGTTAACTAAATCAATTAAGAAAAGGCCAGGATCTAGATTTAACGGAACTAGAATAGGGTCAAAGAAGGGTAGTAAAATATCAAGACCTATATATAGGAAGAGAAGATCACAGCCAAAGATACGTAATAAGATAATATCACGCCCGAGGCCTAGAGATGGAGTTACAAAAACTTTGAGTATTGCTGAAGGGATGACTTCAAAAGATCCTGGTGGGGCTACTGAAAAGAAAGATAATGGAAAGGAGAGGACAAAGAGGTACAAAAGACCAACTAATAGTGGAAATTCATTTCTAACAGTAGTTGAGGCCCTGGGGAACAAATACTCTGCAGTAACACATAAAGGAGCTGGTGTAGTATCAGATCTACCCAATTACGAAATGGAGGCTGTAGGTAATGAGACTGGACTGCCTATTTTGGACATCCTTTTGGATAATAAGTTATTCGAACCCCCTGGTACTGTTATACTAAAGCTATCTAATAAAAAATTTGTACTCTCAAGGTATAACTTGGCTGATGTTCCAGAAACCTTAGTAAAGATCTTTGGAACTATTGTCAATGAAGGTGTAAGTGATATGGAATTGTTGGAAACAAATAAACTTATAACAGAATTTATATTTCATCTCAATGATGTATCATTGTTATTACTTGTACAAAGGTTCCACAGAGAATTTAGAAGTAGAGTTTACTCAGTCCTAAAAAAGGCAAAGGCTATCCATTTCTATGAACTTGCTGTCTGTCAACTTCTTTTACTTGAAATATCCCAATATACAAACACTCCAAATGTTACAAAGCAAAAAGTAGGAGACGATGTTATAAATAATACGGTGGCATTTTTTATTCTTCTTTCTGATTGCTACACTACAGTGAAGAATGAAAATATTGACTTGTTATATCAAAGTTATGATATATTGGCTACAGTCATTGATATTTTCAATTTGAAAGATAAGCTATGGGATAATTTTAATAAGAAAAAGCTTCCAGCCCAGATATTGCAAGTTATTACTGCAATTTTCCCAATTCAACATGCTAATTGGGAAGCGCTCGATATTCAACCAACCTATACCGAGTTAATGAACACATTTAAGTTCATCAAATATTGCAGAAAGGTATGTAAGTGGGAAATATCTGACAAAATTGTGCTGACTCTAAATGATATATTTAAGAGGAGACGATTCCAAGATTTCTATGAGGAGAAGGTTACTTCAGAAAGGAATTATGTAATAGGATCATCGAATAAAAAATTGCCTGTGGGAACCTTATTTAACAAGTACTTGACAGTACTGAGGGGTTGCAGTTTGTCACTAACAATGTCCGAAAAAATTATGCCAATTGGGGAAATATCAATGACTGACGATGATTCCATCATAATTAATAGGATGAATTTACTGATTGTTTTAGCAAGTGAGGCAAAATTTAACCTAGATCAAAGGTTATGGAATCTTATTGAACCTTTAATACCTGACAAGAAATCCAATGTTGAAAAGTCTGTTATCCATAAAAGAAGAACGGCCGGTATCCTAAACGCTATTTTAGCATTTTTGAAAATAAATGCTTCAAAAAAATATCCATTTCGATTAAAGAATGTAATATCTCGAACATACAGTTCAATTGTAATGAATTACCCAGATCAGAATGAAAAATGGAATATATTTCTGAAATCATTGGACAGAAATTTCGATCTAATTGGGAAAAGTAAATTTCTAGTTCTAAAGGATTTGGGAGACCTTTTGCAGCATTATTTAAATACTACACAACACAATGATTGTGCAAATGTAATAATTAAAATGATAGTTAAAAATTTGATGATGGTCAAAGTAGGCTGGCTTCAGAAAACTATTCTACCTGTAATTAAAAATAGAGCAGAAATGTCAATAGATTGGATTGGATATTATTGTAAAATTGCTAAGCATCTTATAGACCACAAGTTGATCACTTGGTGGGCATTTTATACATATCAAGGGTTGAATGGACAACAAGAAATTCAGGTTGCATTCAATTTAAAGGTTGTGGATATGTGTGACAACAGTTCGTTTAGTAATCTCAGGGAGAGTTTTTTTAAGTTAGCAACGAAACTGTTCCTAAAAGACCAAGGTATTGTCTATAGGACGTTCTTGACCCAATTGTTTAAGAGGGACACTTCTATTATTTTTGATGTGTTTTTAGCTCAAAACTCTAATAATAGTACTTTTAGTAGCGTGAAAATTTATTTTTCAGCATTAAAGAGGCATAACTACACGATCCAAATGATAGAGGTGATTGACCAAATTGAGAAAATGTATACCGAAAAATTAATAACAAGTAGCGTTGCCCTTGAGATTACTACCTATTTAAATGAACGATATGCGGACGAAATTAAGAGCAGTCATTCATTCGTTATGTTAAAGCGACATCTGCATATCTCAGACATATACACTGAAAGAAGTTTGTTTAGAGACACTTTTAAATCGTATACTGAGATTAATGACAAGATATTTTTCTTGGAGAAAAGTATTGTAGAATCTCTCTCAACTCCTGAGGAGACACTAAATACGAGGAGCAAGCTAGGAACATTATTTGACCTACCAAGATCAGGAACTACTTTGAAAATTTTCAAAGAACTGATTGAACAAAATATGAACATTGAGAGTTCGGATTTGTTGAATTTGGCAAGTCACATAATTTCTGCTTTACTAGAAGTGATTAACTCAACCTTGAAAAAAAGATTTTACCAGATAGATCGAACTGAAATATACGAACTTACCGAGCTGTGCAGGCATTTAACCATAAAATATAAAATGTCTCCCCTCAATTTCTTTGATTATCCACACGTTGAAATCCAAGTGCAACAACTTTTATCCGCTTTATTGAAAAGCACTGAAAGTTTATCCGAATATGATTTCATTGTTGAAATTTGTAAGTCATACTGTCACACACTAAAAATTACAATTCCGGAAACCAACATACCAGAAAGACGACTTATTGAATTTTTAGAAAAGCAAAATAAATATATCAAAGGCTATAAAGAATTGGACTACGATACAGATAAGAACAAGCATTTGAAGCTTGTGCCTCTGTATCATGAAAGAGAAGAGTATTTATAAAAAATTATGTATTGCATTGATTTGCTGACAATCGTGTTTTTTAATTGATTGTAGTTAAAAGGAAAGATTGATGGCCCATTTAATGTAAGTCTATATATATGTAGACATCTGTATCTTTCGTAATTTATGGTGTATAGAACATTATGCAATAATTTTTTGTGTTTTTGTAAACCATACTATTCATATATGTTCGGTATGAATTTATTTTCTTGTGAAGATTCAATTTCTTGTTTGAAAAATATAAAAACCTAACAAAATATAAAAATGTTGTCTAACCGGCAAAAAAATAATAACAATCAAACTGAAGAAACAAGAATTTTTGCCTCAAACACTATTTATATACCAAATAAATTAGTTTGAAATTCTAATATATATATTTTAACGATGTAAATAATTTAGGAATAATGAATCATATATTATATTATTAGCATTATCTTGCCTTCCATAAAAGAAGTAGTAAACAAGTAAAACTATAACATAAAAAAATAAGAAAGGTTATCATCTAAAATATTGCCGTATACAGTCCAAGAAATGAAAACACACACTCATATGGATAAATAATATAGACTACCGTTTCAATTACATATTTATATTTATATTTACGTTATACATTGTAATAATTATTGCCAGTAGAACCAGAAAAAGTGTCACTGTTAAAATATGAAGATAACTCGCTTCTCGTGCAACGATGCTCCTTCTCCGATGGTCAAAAGTAAAATGGAATATTGCACATGTAATATTATAGAAGTAACAGAAGCAATACGAACAATAAACCTATTTTATTTTTATTGAATATTTAAACAAAGTCCAGCTGTTACCTCCATATGTGATATTTATTTCAATCATACTATAATTTAGAAGGAAAATGGTTCAATTATATAGTTCAATCTGACAAGACATGTGTAATAATGGTTACCCCAAATGAGCAAAAAAAAATGCAGGTAGAAATGGGTAATTTCGATGTATATACTAGTCTTCGTTGCTGAGGATGTCAGAGGGGGGGCATAAGGATGGCTATTTATAGGTAACTTGGCTACAATTCTTATCCTTGTATACGAGTTTTTTCCATATTTGAAACTATAATAAATCAAGTAATATTTATTACTATTAATACAAATAATAAGTTAAATAGTAATAATAAAATTACAAAACTTAATTTTATCTGTTTTAATTCTTTTCAATTTTCAGTGTGTGGAAGCTCTCAAGAAGATTCGTAGAACAACATATGGCAATGAATTACCTGCAACATTGTCTAACATTACTATGTCTCTATGTCGTACACTATTGACCCTTAGGCTAATATCCTTAGCTTATTAGATAGTTGAACTAGCAATCATGATTTTTTTGTTTGTAAGATATTGCTGTATCCCAAATTCTGCCAATTTTAAAAAAATTAAATAAAAAAATTATAATACCCATTATCCCTTCATTTAAAGTGATACCACCTCTACATGTCATAGTTCTATTTGTTGTCTCTTTTATACTTCGTTCATTTCTATTTTCTATTTAATCCTCTAAACTTTTAATTTTAATATTTTTTTGATATATTATAATTTTCTTATCCTGCATTTGAACATTAAGTTAGTCCACTGTCAGATCTATATTCGAAATACATTTCTGCCATTTCTACTAACTTTGAATTATGTATGTTTCATCCACCCCATATTTAGTTCTAATATGAAACCAATGATCTTTAAATCACTTCTTTTATGGGTTATTCATGAAAATATACCTCTACTAAACAATTCAATCTTCTGCGATCTCTTTCGATTTACGTATCTGTTTTTTTAAATCCTTTGCAATTTTGGCAACACCTTTGGTATCAGTTCTACAAATGAAACAACTTAGATCTTTATCAATTCTCTTAGTGAAACAGGTTCTACAAAAATAATGCCCACAATTAGTCACAACAGGATCCTTATAATCATCTTTACATATAACACATTTGAAGGGAATATCCTTGGTTATGGCATCATTATTTCCATTTTCTATCACATCAACTTTCCAGTCAGTATTTAGTTTCCAGCCAGCTTTAAAATCATCTCTCGAATGAAGAAATTTACAACTATCACCATATCCACAAAATCCAGTCTGCTGATAATCTTTACATATATCAGGTTGATAATCTGTAAATATTGTAGTTTTCAAATTAGCCGCTTGTGTAATTTTATCAGAAACACTTCTCTTGGTTGTTTCTTTTGAACTAATAGATTTGTTACTCTTAGTGGTTCCTTTATCCTCGGAGTTTAAGATGTCGGCTTTCGTAGCAGTATTATTATCAACAAGGGTATATTTCGAGTTATTTGATCTTGTTTCCTTCTCCACACCTATCCTATCCTCCAATGAAGGTTTTTCTTTCTTTCCTAATAATTGTCTCTTTTTAAATGTTGGAATATTGACTTCGCCCTTCTGATCTTCATCAGATTCGATATTTTCCACTGGTAATTTTCTTCTCTTTGTCTCAGTCGAGCCTCCACTAAGTTTAGACCTTTTCTTAAACATTACTCCCCACGATATACTGTCACTAATAACTAAATAGAATATGCTTAAAGATGTCTTTCTTTGAAATAACAGTGTAGAATACTTTATCCTTCTCTCTTTCACCAGTTGCTTATATAATAATTCCTAAAAACTGAAGAAATCATTTTTTTTGTTGCTTTCAATCGATGCTCCGACGGAAATACAGAAATAAACCCGACGGTGATAGAATTTCTCCACTCACCTCCACCACCAAAAAAGGGTAAAAAACTAGAAAACAAAGAACAAAATGACATGGACAGGCAAAGAGCACCTATCAACAAACTAAAGCAAAACTTGTGAAACGAAGTAGGTCCCAAAGGTTAAAGATACAGAAGGAAAACTTAGAAGGTGAGTGTGTCTGTATTCTGGTTACTTTTTGTTGTTGTCAGCTTTTATTATAAGGTATACAGGTATCTTGCAGGTTAGTGGTTCTAAACAGTGGATACTAGTTATTTACATATAGTGGCAGGATGAGTACGCAGGAGAAATCGAAGACAAATGTTACTAGGGCAGAATTTGTTAACAAAAGGCAAGGTAGAATTGGTGGGACTACTGAAGAAGAATTTTTAGAAGGATTAAGATCTAGGAAGACCTCAAATGGTGATAAAAAGACTACCGATCTTCCTAATAGTAATGAATATTTAGGATCATCCCCTTTATTGACATCAACACCATCTACGATCTCTAAAGTATTGATTAATTTATATCCTTATTTAATAATTTGGGATAATCTATTGGGGGTATTAACCTGGACATGTGATGACATCTGGCCAAGTGTGTTATTAGTACTTACTTATTTTGGAGCCGTGCTTTATCTAGATACAATTGTGAAATATTTTGGTCATATGGTTATCATATCTATATTTATTGGATATGCTAAATTGGATAAATATATTGGTAACATTGTAACAAGTAAGCCTACATTAGAAAACATTGTTGCTATTATGAGTAGGATTTCATTAAAAGCTGATATTTTATTGAGTCCATTTTCTAATTTAAATATAAGAAATGTTCAAAGGATACTATTGACTGCATTATTACTTTCACCAATTCATATTCTGGTCAGTTGGTTAATCTTACCTCCTCGCAAATTGTTATTATTAAGTGGACTATTTGCTCTTACATATCATTCTTCATGGTCAAAAGTCACAAGAAGATTATTATGGAAATTCCGTTTTGTTAGATTATTAATATTTTATGTTACTGGGATTGATCTTGGTGGAATCAATAAGGATAATAATAAGAGCCTCTTTGCAGCTGTTCAAAAACAAGTTAGTAAATTATCATCGGCAGAAAATTCTGGGAAAGGTGATAATAATAGTAATAATAATAATAAACCAATTAGATTTACATATGTATTATATGAAAATCAACGTCGTTGGATTGGGATGGGTTGGAATACTAAGATGTTAAGTTATGAGAGAACTGCTTGGACAGATGAATTTTTAAATGAGGCTCCTGAACCGGAAAATTTCGAATTACCCAATGAAAACTCCGAAATGCAATGGAGATGGATCGATAAATCCTGGAGATTAGATTTGACTAATGATGGTGCCATTACAATGCCTGATGTCCAAGCAAAGACTACTGCTTCCCCTGCTTCTGAAGATGGTTATTTATATTATGATAATCAATGGAAAAAACCATCCATTGAAGAAACATTTTCGAAGTATACAAGACGTAGACGTTGGGTTAGAACAGCTGAACTAATTAAAGTATCTGATAAGGATACCCCTAAGACACCAAATGTTCGTGATCCTACTACTACTACTACTAATAATATTACAATTAAAAAAGTTGAGAGCAGTACATCCACCACCGAGACTTCAATTGACTCGCCAATTACAATAAAGAAAATCGATAGTAATCATAAAGATTCTAAAAATTATGATAGTGGTAGTTCTACTGAGGTAAGGAATAGAATGGCTGGAGCATCATCTGTGAATACATTATTACCAGAAGAATCAATGGTTAATAATGGTATAACATATATAGATGATAAATAATAATATTACTAATGCATAACATCATCATTCAAAACTCATACGAACATATTTTAGGGCGGAGGATTATTCAATTCATATCAAAACACGGAGATAAAATAACTAAACTATATTATTTTGCAATATATACATATTATATCATTAGCTTTTATAAACACATATATCTAAATAAAGAGTTAAATAATAACATTATCATTCTAATGTCATCATCATTACCTTCTCTAGTTTAATTTCTAAAAAAAAAAGAAGTCTTATTTATTTGCAAAAAATAAAGTAATAGAATAGATAGAAAAGGTAGGGGTACAAATTTGATTAAAAGTAAAAAAGAGTAAATATATCTATATATTTATATTATGCGTATGCTTATATCTATATGATCTTATCATAACTTATAACTTGTTAACCTTTAGAGTTGGTGGTAGAGATTGGACCAACTTCTTAGCCTTACCAGCATCGTTGACGATCAAGGTGTATAGGTTCTTGGAACCTCTGACCTTGAACTTAGTTTGTCTGAATGGCTTACCGTTCTTGTTCAACTTCTTGTTAATCTTGACGGTAGCAGTCTTAACATCGGCTCTTCTGGTTAGTTCCAAAAATTGCTTAATATCAGTGATTTCTCTGGCCATTTTGTTTATATTATTCTTGTTATTATCAAATACTCAACGATTTATCACAAATTACTATTAGATAATAAGATACGTTAAGAATAAGACTTCCTTTATAAGTAGTACTACTAGTAATATACTTGATCGTTAAAAAGAGTAAATTAAAATCTATTCAAGAATTGAATTCTAACACTACCAAGTGAAACGTAGTGAAGAATACACACGCATATTGGGAGAACCAGGTTCATACCAAAAACTAAAGGTCAAATACATTATAGTAGATTGAACCTTGCATTCCAAAGGTCTAACGATAATCTGTATAATCAATTCAGTGAGAAGAGGCAGCTAAAGCTTGAAATTTTCCACTGAAAAAAAATAAAAAAAATAAATTGAATTGCAATGTGGCTTGATGATACTATGCAATGTGGATATTGTACAGACTGTTCTGGGCGAATATGTGTGTATATATATGGAAGAAGTCGGACCTTTTCCGCTTTGTGAAAAACACGAAAATTGTTTAAAAAAGTTTAGATGTGGGTGTGGTGTTCAGATGTGTACATGTGGTGTGTGGGTGTGTAAGAGAGGACAGTCACAAAATAATATTTTTCTTCCCAGAAAGAATCTAGGAAGTGCATCTACGACACTCCAGAACACATTTTTACTAGTTTACTCTGTTTTGTACATAGTGATAGAAATAAATTACCATCACTACCAATTTGCTCCATTTAAACCTAATACAGCACACATCGATCAAACATGAACTCGCTGCAATAGCTTCTGTTTGACCTATGGAAAATATCGCATTTAACGCAGAACACACAATAATTACAATAGATCAAATGATTAATCAGTTGATTGCATAAATAGATTGATTATATAAATAAGTATATATATATAGTCCCAGCTCCCCTTAAAGAAACTGCCGCACCACAAAAAACACGCGAAAATGACAGCGTCCATCGCTGGCTCCGCCGTTTCTCTGGCCAAAAACAATTTCAAACTGAAAAATTCCCACAAAATTTCAGGCCCTGACAGAAATTCAATGTAAACAAATTGATGAAGTAATCATTTCATCGACTTACTACAGTATGACAGCAAATGATTCGATTACTCAAGGATGATTAATAAATTAACGGGGAAATCAGGGCAAAGGGTACGAGAAAGTACACTTTTTTGCTCATTCTAATTTCCTACACTCTATCTTCATTTATATATATATATATACAACGTATCACACTATTATATTATTGGATTTGTTGATTTATTTTTTATTCGTAAACATAGAGGGGTACATGATTATATCTATGAGTTTTAACTGGGGTTGAGTAGAATTAAGTTTAATTACGTATATATATTCAAACACTCACAAAATGAATTTCATTGAGAGTGCATTAGTTAGTCTAGGTCAAGATGAACTTATAAATCGTGGTCAGGAATTTGCAGGTGAACATTTCCAACCTACAAAGGATCCGTTCTATGAGAAATCTAACGATGGGAAAAAACATCGTCTTCGTATGCCTGATTATTGTACAAAGGAAGAAAGTAAAAATTGGAAAGCCATTCAAAATAAAGCTTGGCTGCATGATAAAGGGTTATGCGGTTGTTGTTGTTGGGCAGAAAATATTGGATGGGCTCCATTCCTAGCAATTTTCCCCATTATTGGTCCCTCATTGATGTATTCTGTTCATAGCAAATTAATTAAATTAGCTGATAAGAAATATGATCTACCTGCAGAAATGAAAGTCAAAATGTATTCTAATATTGCCATTGATCTTTGTATTAGTTTAGTACCAATTTTAGGTTCCGTATTTGCTTGGTTAAATGCATGTTCAACAAGAAATGCTACAATGATTTATAATTTTGTTTGTGAAAGATCTTTAGAGAGATATAATAACGAACAAAGTTTAAAACGTAATAGAGAAGAAGCCAATATTAATAAATTACAAAATGCTAAAATTATGAAACAAAAATCAGATCAAAAAAGAGGTCAAGTTAATGAAGAGACAAATAATATAATAAAACCTCCAGAGAAGGCTAGGACTAGGATTTCTGTCAATCAAAGAGATGTTTCATCCACTGGTCTACAGTATGGTAATAGAGTCCCCTTAAATAATAACAGTAACAAGAATAACCCTTGGAAACAACCACAGGCTCAACAACCACAGCCACAAAATAATAATCCGTTCCAAAATGATGTTAAAAGTCCACCTTACCCAATAGATTCGTATAATAATAATAATAACTATGCTACTAGTAATAATATTACTGTACCAACTAATAGAATGCAATACCAACAAAATAATATGGTAAACAACCAACATCCGCAGTATTACCAACAATACAACCAAAATCAGGCTCAGACCCAGAATCCAAACCAATACCCACAAGGACAATATATACCAATGCAAAACATGCAGCAATCGCAACGTGCTTATCATCCATAAGTGGTAGCGAATAATTAATATTCAAACCTATATGTCTGCGCCTTCTAGGATGAGAGCAGATAAAGATGATTCATGATATTATTCGATTGAATAATACTATGGTATATGGAATCACAAATATCATCAATCAAATATTGAATCACCGAGATTATTTTTTTTAAACAGGCATACTTATAAAAAGGGTTAAATGTGATTAACAAATGATTACTTGTTCAAAATTAACAATGCCAAGACCCAAGAAGTGTGATAATTTAATAGATTAGTATTGTATTACGATTAAGAACATGTGTACATTGTCCATTCATAAAAAAGAAATCACTTATTCTAAAGATTACAAATTGAATTATATTTTAACATACGATGTGGAAAGTCATAACTCCCAGCACAGACGTACTTCAGAATTAAATTCTCTCGAACAAAAGAGGTTACCAAAAATAGAACTATGAATGTTTAAATGAGTACCTATGATCTGTTGAAAGTATCTAATGAAAGTTTAACAAATTGGTCAACCTTCCAAAATGTAAACAATATAAACAGTGTTTAAAGACAGCCGTTGTTTTTGTTATTATTATTGTTTGTTTATTAATCTATATACTGTTATAAGAAAAACATAAATATATATATAATTTAAAAAAACATGCAGACATGAATGTTAAAAATCATTAAAAAAAATAGGTTGGTCATTAATTGAAACGTTAGAATTGAAGGATATACACACTAACCAGATTTATTCAAAGTATTTTCATTTTGTTGTGTGTTAGAACCTCTTCTAACCTTGTTGAATACTGGGGGAATTTCACCAGAGTCAATCAAATCATTGATTTCATCACCTGGCTTACCCCAGTTACCTTTACCGGAACCATTCTTCTTGACGTTGTTTGGGTTTTCACCGTAGTTACCGTTATGGCTGAAGTACTTTGGATCAGCTTTAGATTCGTGAGTAGTCCATTTGTCAGTTCTAGTCATTTTGATTGTATTGTTTATAAAAGTTGTTTGTGGTTGTAATTGTATTAATTGTTTGATGGGTGTTTATATATAAGTATATTCAAGAATAAAAGATAACAATTACAATAGATTACATAAACAATGCCTTTCATTTGGAAGAAAGAGAGTCCTTTATATATGTTGTCTCTAAAGGTATTTTAAGATCTCCCCTCAAAACCTTGAAATTACAATTTGCTAGAATGTTCTGTCCTCGAGTGCATAGATTAGTCTATAGTGAGGGGGAGATTAGTCACAGAAGGTAGGTAAAATAATTGTTACAATTCAATTCAATTCAATTCAATTCAATTCAATTCAATTCAATTCAATTCAACTCAACCCCTTGTTATTGCAGAGTCTACATTACTATGTAATCAATTTCTTCACCAGTCTCTAAGCCGGTATTCGGTCCGGGGGCTGAGCTAATCCAGGGGGAGGGGGTGAAAATGGAAAGGGGGAGGAGGAGAATCGCCAGGCGAGGCCGATTAATTAATCGAGTGAACCGAAAAAACCAACAAACTTGACCGGAAAAGAGAGGGGAGTGGAGTGGAGGGAAAGGGAATTGATGATGTAATTAATGCAGCCGGCTGGTAGTCCCATATAAGCAAATAGTTAGGAGGGGAGAGGAGATGAAAAAGGCTACGATAGAGAAGGATAAATGATAACCTCTATAGAGATCCTAAATCGGTAAAATCGGTTGAGCTGAAGAAGTCCTCCAGGATACCCAGGTCGAACGGCTGGAACAAACGTTTGTCAATGTAACCAATTTGTGGGGAAGATTCTTGACGTTTACCATTCGGTTGATTAGGTGGATACAATAATGTATTATTTGTGTTATTCAAAGATGGTAATGGTGGGGTATGTGACAGTAATGGATTATCCATAATTTCAGTTTGTAACAAATTACTGATTTTATTTTGCATGGCAGGCCCGGAACTTGGACCAGGTCCCAGACCAGATACAAACCCTTGATTTATACGAGAGGGAGGAATCATTCCAGGGTTTATGCCTCCACCACTCGGAGACTGAATGGGGACACCAATGACGTTTTGTGCTACCATTGGGTTCATTAAATTTCTTGTTCCTGTTTCTGAATTTGTAGATGGGAAATTTTGACTATCATTCCTATTTCTATCGAATGACATAGTTGGATGAGCTAATACTTGTTCACTGACCGATCTAGAGAAAGGTTTGTTAGGTATTTCATTACTATCCACTCTTGTTGAGCCTGTTGCTGTAGGGCTTCCTCTATATGACTTATGTACTGCAGGGGTTTCTTCTACTTTAATATCATAATCTGATTTCAACATTTTCTTAACAGATGTATGGAATATGGATTCCTCTAATGGTGTCAGGACCAATTGATAGCAATATGAATTACCATCAAAGATAATCTTTACCAATTCCACAATATGAGGACCTTCTTTGGCAAAAATTTTGGAGATATCATCACTATTCATACGATCCAACCCAACATATTCTGTTAACAATATTCTTGTCATGATACAAAATAGAGTAAACAAAGAAGAAAAGAACCTCAAAGTTTGACGATCACTATTGTTACTCAAGATGAAGACATCTTTCAATTCAGATAATCTTTCAAAAACATTAATTACCTCTATAATATCTGAATGTTCAATATATGCACATTCGTCATACATCCATGTGATCATCAACAAGAATGTATATGTATAATGTTCGATGACACGCCATAAATCATATGATGTCTCTAATTGTAACAATGTCTTATTCATGGTTACCCATTTGTCATATACTGATTTGCTTAGGGCCATGATCCTTTCTTTAATATAAGGAGGTTTTGGATGAACTGATATACGAATTCCAATATTGATTGAGACTCTAGTGACTAAACAATATAATGCGGTATATTCAAATGCGAATGCTACAGCCTTTTGTTTATCTTTATCAGATACATTTGAGAATTGAGGTTCGTTAATATTTTCCGCAATTTCAAATAATCTACCAACTTGTTCTTTAATCTTATCAAATCTCATTACAAAGAGACCCATTCTTCCAAATAATTCTCCAATTAATCTTGTTCTAACTTCGTTCGGTTTTGCAGTATTTCTAATTGAAGTATATTTTTCATTATAAAGTACTTCAGAATAAAAATGACTAATCACTTGATAAGTTGATAAACTTGCATAAAAGACTAATTGATCAATTGGTAAATTATCTAAAGTTGAAGTTCTTGAAAATAAATGTAATTTTTTAATAAAATCATTATGGTCTACAAAACCCATATCTCTAAATTCTTTTGGCAATAAACAATTCATCTTTGAATCATCAATCCCTGACATATAAGAATCTTCCATCATAACTTTTTTATCATACATATAAAGTCTCCACCAAACACGTCTTCTTCTTTCTGCAGTTTCTTCATCAAATCCAACATAATATTCCCAACGAGAAAATCCAGCTTTTAAAGCACAATTAATTGCAACATTTAAAATTTTATCAAATCCATAAATTTCCTTTGCCCAATCTTCATAATCTAACATATCTAATAATAATTCCAAGTAATCTAATGAATCCATATGAACTAAATAATACATTGTTGTATTATAATAAGAATAACATAATGTTAATAATAATTCATGAACACCAATTAATTTATTACATCTTTCTAAATCTTGAGGATTTACATTTGATTTATTTGGTGGACTAATCCATCTAAGGAAACTTTCAATTTTATCTTTATGATTTCCACAAATTTCTAATAATAATTTAAACATTCCAAGATCATCTTCAATGTTATCTAATAATTTTGTTACATTATCAGGAGTTAAATGTTCAAGGAAACCAGAAGGTAAAGTTCTTAATATTGATAATACCATTTCTTTATTATTTGTATTTGATACAGCAGGTGTTGAAGGAGTTGGAATATTTGATTGACCAGTGGCACCATTATTATAATTATAATTATTATTTGTAGAAGAAGATGTAATAGAATTTTGTGGTGATGTTGCAGAAGGGAAACCTGTTGATGATATACCTTTAGTTCTTTGTAAATAACTTTCTAAAGGATTTGCCATTGAAATTCTATCTTCATTCATATGTAACCAACATAAATCAAAAAATCTTAATAAAAGAAATACATTAGCTCTAATAATCTGACTTTTCCCTTTCCCTTTTGGTCTTAATACACTATATTTTTGAGTTAAATAAGCAATACCTCTTAAAGATAAAGCTTCACAAGGATGATAGAGTCCAAAGATTTCATCAATTAATGGTACTGAATTTAAATAACCACCTTCTTTACCTATTGGAGAAATATGAGATTCTTGATCACATTTATCATAATCTTCTCTCTTTGTTGATTTTTTAAATTTCTCATTTCTTGAATTAAATGACCAATGAGAATATCTACTTAAATGAATTCTATTTCTATATTTATTAATCATTAATTGAGTTTCAATCGATTTTGAAGCATCAATTGGATCTGATACTTTTAATAATTTTGGTAGTTTCAATAAATTAATCTTTGGTTGCCAATTAAGGATTAAATCATTAATTTTATCATTTAAATCACTAATCATCGATTCAATCATTTTATTTTTATTTGGTATCGATGTTAATTTTTCAATAGTTTGTTTATATTCATTATATTTTGGTAAATCTTCAATATCACCTTCATATAAACCATTTTCAAATTCATTTAATTCAGGATTAGTTTTCTTATCATTATCATTATCATTATTATTATTGTTATCATCATTTAAATCAACTTTATATAAAGAACTTGTATGAGGAACATTTCTATCAAATGTAGTACTAGTACTTGTAGTAGTAGTACTACTACTACTATCACCAGTACTTTCTGTATTATTATTATTTTTCAGATTATCTAATTTAGTTGAAATTCTTGGTAATCTAACACCTTTTTTCTTAATCATATTACTAGTAGTAGTAGAAGTAGTAGTAGAAGTAGTAGAAGTAGTAGTACTACTGTTATTTGAAAATATACAAGTACATTGATGTAATTGACAATTCATACACGGTTGAGTACCTGTACATTTAATCTTTCTACGTCTACAACTATCGCATGCTTTACTAACTTTTTTCCTCTTTGGAACAGTTGTAGTGGTAGTATTCTTATTCTCTATATTATTCTTTGCTACCATATTTTAATATTGCAATCCTCATATAATCGTGTGTATATACAAATAAATCAAAACAAATCAAAATAAAATAAGATAGAAAATAGCCGCCGAAAGTAGTGAATATAACCCTTCTAAAATATATCGATATAAATATATATGTAAATATAGTTTTAACACCCTGTTTAGTATATATACTATATATGTATTAGTTGCATATAGCTGATCCCATCACCACTACTTACCGTAATAGAGTGTAATGTAGTATAATATAGTGAGTGTAGTAGTAATTTGTTATTTGTTTTTCTCTTGCCACTCTCCGAAATAAAATAACGGCCAGCAGCAGTAACAGAGATTTGTGTGGCTCATCGATTTGAAATGATACTGCGGTGTGTGGGTGTGGGTACAAGTATGTGATATCCGCGGATATAATTATGGAGATAGCAATAGCAATATATAGAGAGCATGGAGCATGGAGTGGCAGATTTCCCAATTATCATGTTATACGTTGCCAGTGGGTGGATGGAGTGCAGCAATGCAATATGAGATAAACGTGATGGAATAGCCGCTGCCACTGTCTGCACCAGAGTGCATATATTACATTATATATATATATATATATATATAATGCTCGCTTACTGCTGCCGTTTCGTATGGGAAGAGTATTATTACTGGATATTGTGTCACGTGATCCTGTCGCTATGTCTATACATTTGTTTTTTTTGGGAGTAACAGATAGCGACTGAGAAGAATAGAACGTTCCTTATACGATGAGAGCAAGAAAAAAAGTGTCGTTTAAGTTATTGTTACTAAATTGGAAATGTTGTTATGACAGTGACAGTAGCAGGTTGTAGTATGTACCCTGTGAACTGCTATTCTTATTACTGGAAGATCTCTGATGTGTGTTTACATCTGTATATCATATTTCTTTTCTTTTCTTCTTTATAGAATCATTTGCAGGCACGGTTACTGACGATGACTATTATTACTACTATTATTATGTAAACAAAAACATTCATGTTCGTATAAAAGATTCTCTTGGTTCAAGAACTCGTTTAAATTTATACAAACATTTGTGATATATTCTGAAGAGTATATATATAATGATATTATAATCTATTTAATAGTACTATTAGTATTATTCTGTCTGTTTTATATAAGTTTTATTTATGTAATATATATATACAGAGATAGATAAATAACTACTGTCATGACTGAGTCGGCTACTAACAAAAAGGTCAGAACTAATTTCTTACCTCAAGGTAAGTATTTAAAACCTGAGGAAATGGAATATGAATTCGGCGGTCCAATAGGTTGCTTGTTTAATATGATTTTCTTCCCAATCTTAATGTATTATATGTGGATTTGTTCAGAATTTTATAATGGTGAGATTGCTAAACCTCTAGATTGGTCACCTCAAAATATTCAAAAGTTTTGTTTAAATCTATTACAATTATGTTATGATCACGCTATACCATCTTTATATTCATGGTCAATCTTTTTAACCTTTTGGATATTTCAAATCGCCTTTTATTATACGTTACCAGGTGTTTGGACCAAAGGTCAACCGTTGACTCATTTGAAAGGTAAACAACTACCTTACTATTGTAACGCTATGTGGTCGTTATACACTTCCACGACTTTGGTTCTAATTCTACATTTCACCGGTGTTTTCAAATTATATACAATCATAGATTTGTTTGGTGAAATCATGACATGTGCAATCATTTCAGGTTTTGCATTCTCAATTGGCCTATACTTATGGACTTTATTCGTTTCGGGCGATTATCATCGCATGACTGGCAATCACATCTATGATATATTTATGGGTGCTCCATTGAATCCACGTTGGGGGATCCTGGATTTAAAAATGTTCTTCGAAGTAAGATTACCGTGGTTCACGCTTTACTTCATCACTCTTGGTGCATGCTTCAAACAATACCAGGTGTATGGCTACGTCACACCAAACCTACTGCTTGTAATGATGGCTCATTGGCTGTATGCTAATGCCTGTGCTAAAGGTGAAGAACTGATTGTTCCAACTTGGGACATGGCGTATGAAAAATTCGGGTTCATGCTAATCTTCTGGAATATTGCTGGTGTTCCATACACTTATTGCCATTGTACTCTATATCTAATATACCACGACCCTTCAGAGTACCATATGAATAAATGGTATATGGCAGCTTTATTCGCGACTTATCAACTGGCTTATTATATTTTCGATACTGCTAATGCTCAAAAGAACTCTTTTAGAAAGGCAATGGCCGGTGATGTCACCACAAGAAGAGCGTTCCCACATTTTGAATACCAAGTATTGGACAATCCTAAATACATCACTACGAAGGATGGCTCGTTCTTACTGATCGATGGATGGTACACCTGGGCACGTAAGATTCATTACACAGCCGATTGGATTCAATCTGTTATCTGGGCTCTTGCTTGTGGGTTCCATTCGATCTTTCCGTGGTTCTTCCCTATTTTCTTCTTTTTAGTATTGACTCATAGAGCTATGAGAGATCAAGTTAAGTGTAAGAGAAAATACGGTTCGGATTGGAATACATATTTGAAACATTGCCCGTATTTGTTTATTCCATACGTATTTTAATAAACATATATAAACGTATATATAGCTATACATACATTTCTTATAAGACTATCCCTCTTGGGATGATTTCAATTGAATAATTATCAGGATCCTTGATGAAGGCCAAATTCTTCATCTTACCATGATTGTATTTGGGAGCCCAAGTGACTTTGTCACCATACTTCTCCTCGATCTCTTTACACATCTTCTCTGGATCGTCAGAGGCAATACAGATGTGTCCATAACCTTGCGGTTTATCGTTACCATTATGATAATGGAACTCTGGGTCAGTTTCTGTGCCCCAATTGTGAGTGATCTCTAACATCCCCTGAGTGGAACGTTTGGATTCACCTTCTTTCAAACCGTAACCTAGGAAATATAAGGTGAACTTTCCATTTTCATGAACAGATTTCTCAATGACTTTCATCCCAAGAACATTTTCATAGAATGGTAACGTCTTTGCCGGATCCTTAATTCTAATCATTGTATGATTCAATCTATAATCATTCACGTTGGTATCTTTGTCATTAGAGTCATAAGCACATAATTCAATCCAATAATTATCTGGATCTAAAATGAAAGCAATATCCTTTTGTCTACCATCGACAAGTCTTTTTTTAAAACTAACATTTTGAGATTCTAATTTTTCACACATGACATTAATATCCTTTGTAGTGATACAAATATGACCAAAGCCTCTATGAGGTTCTTCATTACCATTCGATACTTTAAAATCAGGATCATTTTCAGTACCCCAATTATGAGTCAATTCTAATATCCCAGGAACACCAAATGGCATGATTTCACCATTAGAGTCTGTTGGTAAATCATCTCTTGGATAAGCTAAGAAATATAATGAAAATTTCATCTCCGGGAAATCTTTACGTTTTAATAGCTTCATACCTAATTTCTCAGTATAGAATTCAACACTAACTTTAGGATCCTTAACACGAACACATGTATGGTTTAAAGTTAATGAAGTATCATTTTGAGCAGCTTGAATAACAGTTTCATATGACATTTTTTAACAAAAGCAAAAGTAAAAATAATAAACAGAGGAAGTTCGAAAGCTAAAAGCAGTGGGTGGTTGTACTTTCTTTGAAATATCCAATGATTAGTACAACCAAGAAATCAATTCCACAATTCAAAGAAAATGATTACCAAAAAAACTCTCCCCTGTTTATATATTAAATTATCAATCTGTCTGTGCCTGTTATTTTTTCAAAATTATCTATGAGAGAGGCGGAGATAAGCGATTACATAATGCTTGAACGTGGGGGTGCCCGTTCACAAGGGAAACGGAGATAAGAAAAGGATACGGAAGGTGCCAACCGTCCCTATCCCCAGTTCCATTGGTATCAAACTGTTTTACAATTACTTCTATACAGACTAACTACGTTATTGATTGAACGATATTATGTAATTACACATAGAAATGTTTCGACATCTACCATGTTACCGAACCGTACCGAACCGAACCGAGCCGTTAAGATAAAGCATTAGACATTACATAATTCAAAGTAGAAAAGAGTCTTTGAAACTCTTTTATGTCAATTAAAAAATGAACTATGCCAAGGAATAAACACATACATGAATACATGGACCGACAAAGCAATCGATGACCTGGAAGCTGTCTATATCTCTATTTATTCTTTTTCAGCTCACATACTAAAACAGCCAAAAAAGAACCGTCGCGGGCAAACCATCGAGAGAAACGAAATCAAAAGCTGATTGGTCTCAGCTCAGCTCAGCTCTAGATGAGATGAGATGAGCGACTATTGCTATAAAGATGGGAAGTGCTAGTACTATGTATGTGCATATATAGACTAGTACTTTGTACACCAGACACTGCACCGTATTTATTATTATTATTATCATATAGAACATCATGAGTTCTACTAGGACGCTGGTATCCAGTTTACTGAGTCTTGGGGCAGGTTCAGGACTTACTTATCTATTGATCAAAAACAATAACGAGACAAAGATCCTCTCGCCATCCTCAACAGTACCAGGTAATAGATCTACCAATACAAGTGTTACTACCGAGAATACATTAGTTTCTCCTGCTGAATGGTTCAAATTCGGATTTCCTGGTCCCGTCCATGATTTACAACGTAGAGAACAATTCGTATCATGCTATAACAGACAAACTAGAAATCCATACTGGGTTGTCGAGCATTTCACTCCGGAATCACTAGCGACAAAGTCAGGGAACCGTCAAGGTTCTGTGTTCAGAGAAGATGAACAAATCCCAGAATTGTTCCGTGCCAAATTAGGTGATTATTTCAGATCAGGTTACGATAGAGGTCATCAAGCACCCGCCGCAGACTCTAAATTCTCACAAAAAGCAATGAACGACACTTTTTATTTGACTAATATGTGCCCTCAAGTAGGACAAGGTTTTAATAGAGATTATTGGGCTCATTTTGAATTTTTTTGCAGAGATTTGACTAAACAATACAAGAGTGTCAGAGTAATGACAGGCCCATTATATTTACCAAAACAAGACCCCAATGATGGAAAATTCAGAGTCACCTATGAAATGATTGGTAATCCACCAAATGTAGCTGTACCAACCCATTTCTTTAAACTTGTTGTTGCTGAAAATCCAATTGATAAGAAAAATAAACAAGATGGGAAATTGGCCATCGAGGCATTCGTATTACCTAATGATCAAATCTCGAACGATACAAAATTATTAGACTTTGTTGTACCTGTGAATGCTTTAGAGAGAAGTACAGGTTTAAATCTATTACAAGCTGTGAACAAAAACTCTATGGTCCCATTGTGTAAAGAAGTCAATTGTCAGATCGTTGTGAGAGACTTCAGCAACAAGATGAACAACAACAACAAACAGAAGAGTCTTCCACCAAAGAAATAGAACATAGACGACTAGCAAATAGATATAGATATAGATTGATTGATAGGTTGTAAGTAGTGCGTAAGTAAAGTAAAATAAAACATGACGTGCACCGTGACAGACCGGGTAATATCCGTCGCAACTATGCAGCGAAAAAAAATTTGGGTGAAAGAAATCTCAAATGGTCTCGGAAGTCATGCGCGAGACAAGACCAAGATACAATTCAATACATACATGCAAGCAGCAACGCAAGACGTCGAGAAGAACGGACTTGTAAAAGAATTGGTATAACTTGATCAGTGCTTATTTCTTCGTGTTTAATTTCTTCTCATCTTGTTTGAGGTAAACTGAATAAGACACTAATTAAAAAACACTGGATTGATAACTGAAATCGTGCCAATAAGATTCACAATGGATTACAAAGAACATTCGAAAAACAACGTGGATCTGCTATTGGAATCGCTTCTCAATGGCAATGGATCTGGCAATGATATGGATTCAGCTGTATTCATGGGTTCAACAGATGACCTGAACGAGTTCCGTATGGCAGAGGATATTCATAAGGATCGTGAAGACGTGTCTCCCGTTGCTGAAGACCCAATTACATTTAATATGAACGAAACTATTCCTTTGCAATTCTCTTTGGCGTCTGCTGATCCACGCACTTTATCGCTATTGTCATCATCGTCATCATCGTCTTCTTCTTCTCCAGTTGATGGTAATAAACTACCATCTGTTTCTTCTGTTGTTCCTTCCAAAGTTACCATGAAGAGATCATATCCTAATATTACAAGGATAGAGGAAGATTACCATGAGACAAATACTGCGTTACAGGAGAAGTCTTCAATGTTAGAGACTGGTGGCCCATTTGTTTGCCATTACTGTGATGCATCGTTTCGTATGAGAGGTTACTTGACACGTCATATAAAGAAACATGCTATAGAGAAAGCGTACAAATGTCCCTTTTTCAGTAAAGATGCACCTCCTGAGTTAAGATGTCATAACTCTGGTGGGTTTAGTCGTAGAGACACATACAAGACCCACTTGAAGGCTAGACATTTGTTATATCCAAAGGGTGTTAGGCCTCAGGATAGAAACAAATCATCAGGCCATTGTGCTCAATGTGGTGAATTTTCTCAGAATATTGAAAATTGGGTAGAGCAACATATTGAATCTGGTGATTGTACGGGTTTACCAATAAATTATGTACGCACAGTGAAAAGTGAAAGGAAATCTGGGAAATTGAAAATGATTAAGACCTCTAGTGGTCATTCTAGGTTTATCTCAACGGCCAAGAGTATCATTGAACCAAAGATTCTATTGAATCAAGATGCTTTGGAAACTATTGCAATCATTGCCACAGATGATACATCTGATGAAGAGATTCAACCTAGCGTCGTGGAACATCAACCACATATTACAAAAAGTCATAAAGTTGTTAAATATAGTAATAACCACGGTAATAGAAAATATATGACAACAATGGCAACAATAAATTATCCTCCGTTGGATATAGAGCAAGCCCCAATCGAAGATAAATCTGCAGACAAGAAATATACCAGAGGAAACCTTCATACTGATGATCTTGAAGATACAATAGAAGATTTTGACCTGGAACAATTATATGAAACTGATTACCATTCAACAAGAAAGTACATGAAATTGTACATTTCTAGGTTTAAATCAGAAATCTAGTTTCATACATACCCATTTTAACGCAGTATTCATTTTCATTTGTGTTGCAGCACTGTATACTTTTACATATTCATGACCTTTTCCCCTTCAACTAATTCTATCACAGCATTTAATTAATCTTTAATAATATACCTGTTTTCTAATCTTCTTTTTGTATATATCGTTTGTTTGTTTATTTGTTTGTTTGTTTGAGTCCAAATAAACATCACTCCACACGGAACCTTTAAAAATTCGCGATGCTTTTAAAACTTGAAATGAAAATAAAAATAAACAAATATAAACTAATCACAATAAAGGTTGTACTGAATTTAAAACGGGGAGAGTTCACCAACATAAATACATATCTAGAGGTTATTATACCCCTCGCATACATTATTATCAACTAGTATCGTCGAACTATAAACTATTCCACGAAACTTGTAACATTATTACTATTATTCTTTTAATTAGATTACGCGCAAATACTTCATACCTATTAATTGGAGACACACACATATATACATTGCCTCTAGACTACAATCACACAGATTAACTATACAACATTATCTAACAATGTCGGGAGAGAATCATGAGGAAGAACACGACTTTAGCTTTAATGAGCTCATAGATAATATATTGACAAATGACACAGATGAAAAAGGGGACGATGTACATCATGAAAATCATGATCCATCTTCTTCAAATGAACATGATAATATTGAAAACAGCGGAGCACATGAACAGGATGATATAGAAATGGACGACGTACATGATAATCCTCAGTCGGTACCAACTCACAGTCATCATGATGAAAATGATGAGCTTCCTGATTTTGAAGCCAATGAACTTGTGAATGCAGTTGCTAGTGCAATGCAAGATCTCGAAACTAATGACAAACAAGATGAAGAACATGACAAACAAGATGAAGAACATTACAATAACAATAACGGGAACAACGATGCTATTGATGACAATGAACCAATACCACATACTGAACATCATGGTGATGACAATGAACCAATACCGCACACTGAACACAATGATAATGACGATGAAGAACAACAGCATAGTGAATGGGCAAGAATCCTACAAGAAGGTTTAATGCAAGATGATACCGAGCATGGTATACAGTCAGATGAAGATCGTATTGTAGAGGCACATGAGTTACATGATGATACAGAATTAGGTACAGATAATATCCAACATACGATAGATCAACTGGATAGAGATGATGAAAATCTAAGATTAGCCATTTTAGAGTCTCTTCAAAATATCGATGAACCTAGAGAACAACCTCAGACCGAAATAAAAGATACACATGAAATAATAGAATCAAAGGAGGAGAGTACGAAGAAACATGTTGCAAAGAAGGCATCTAAAAAGAAGAAAAAAGAGAAATCAAAGGATAAGAGTATACAAAAGGAAAAGGGAAGTCCAAAGAAAAAGAAAACTACTAAGCACAAGAAAAATAAAGACAAATCTAATGATAAAAGAGATGATTTAAATTTTAATGACGTAATAGAGGGTTTAATGGGAGAAGGTGAACATACAGCAGATGAAACAAAAACGAGTACTGTGGCAACCGAGGAAAATGATGAAGATGCTCGTGCTATTGTAGAAGAAACTCTAAAGGCATTCGAAAGAGAGTTATTAGGATCTCCATCAGAATCAGCAGCTAAAACAGCCAAGAAAGAACGTACAAAAAAGACGAAGATATCTCAAAAGCATACACCGAAGGATAAAGTAACCTCCACTAAGAAACCTGCCAAATCTGAATCCAAGAAAAAGAAAAAGAAGAAGACGGGCAAGAAAACAGATAAAGCAGTAGAAGATGAGTACAAAGAAGATGATTTTTCCAAAGCATTAGTTGATATGGTCAATCAAGTCGTTTCAACTTCCTTAGGAGACGAAGCAACTGTATCTAAACAAGAAACATCAAATAAAGAAGGAAAGAAACAACATTCTATAAGTATACCCACTTGGAACCACACACAAATTATACCGTACCAGGATGAATCCCGAGCCGAAATAACGACAACACCTGCAGCTGATGAACCATTTGATTTAAATCAAATTATGCAGAACGCCATGGCGATGGCTTTCCAAGAACAAAATGATGATAATTTTGACCCCACGGTAATGGAAGAGTTTAATAAAAGTCTTGGAAACTTCAATGTTTCTGATTTATTAACTACGGGCCAGGCAACGACCAAGAAGAAACCTGCGAAGAAGAAGGCACCAAAAAAGAAAAAAGCAGTTAAATCAAAACCTGCTAAAGAAAGGAAGATTGTACTTCAAAAAGTAGTTGAAAAGAAGAAAAAAAAACCGAAACAACCTAAACAACCTAAGAAACCTGTGAAACCAAAGAAGTCACCTGAACAAATCCTACGGAAGAAATACAAAGCAATTGCGACTGAGGCTGCTAATCTTGCCAAGAAACGTAGTAGAGTAAAAAGAAGAGAAACGAGAGCAAAACTCCTGGAGGATAAAATCAAGCATCGTACAGAAAAGAAACAACAGAAGAGTGCCGAAGATGAAAAACGTCTTATTGAATTAAAGGAATTAGAAGAGATCGTTGCTAAAGGTCCACCATTCCCTGTCGACTTAAGAGTTACTAAGAAAGGTGTACCAAAGAAACCATACAGAAGATGGACTGCTGAAGAAATGGAGAAACGGGCTCAGATGGTTCAAGAGAAGCCCAAGAAACCTGCTAAAGTAAAGAAAGAAAAGAAAAAGAGGGCTAAAAAGCTAAAGAGAGTACCATTAAAAACATTAAGGAAAATTCCATTGTTCAATACAGTTAAAGGGAGCCCTGTTCCTTCTAAGCTATTAAACGATATCGAGGGAACTCTTTCGAAAATCCAATTACCTCAAGTATCTATTGATCCAACTGCAACAAAATACGGTATCAATTTATCTAGTAAAACAGTAGTTTTCAAAGAAAAAATTCCATTCCATCCACCTTGGTGTCTCCCTCTTCATCCGCCATATATCCTCCCTGTTGCTAAGAGAAGACCTAAAGAAAATAAACATTCGACCGATCACAGACATGAAAAGTCGAAAAAGATTAATGAGTTATTAAATGATTCTGTTTTACGTAATGAGATCTTACCAAGGACATTGGCCACAGTAATAACGACTCTAAAGGCAGCAGCAAAGGCTAGGATTGAGAACGGTGCCTCTCCAGAACAAACTCTAAAATATCTAAGAGTGATCATAGAACGTACCAAGAGATCAATTGCACAAGCAATTTCAAAGAGGAATAGTAATGCAATAAGAAGTCAAGAGATAAAGGAGGAACATTCGAACAGCAGTAATACTAAGCCTATCGGCAGTGTGCGGAAAATACCGTTATTTACACTATCAAATATTAAAAAAATTGAGAAAGATGCAATTTCTTCTGAAAGTCAAATGTCAGTGCCAAAACCTATAGTAGTGAAGGAAGAGATATCAAGTCAACTAATAAACGTAGAAGTAGAACCAAGAGATATTGATAGTGCTGCAAATCCTGAACTTGCTAAGGAAATATCTAAATCATTAGATGTTACAACGAGTATTGATGATTTTCAAGATACTAAAGCTGCTAACTCTGACCAAAAAACGATTGTAGAGAAAAATATTCAATCTGCTGCGGAAGTGGAATCAAGAGCACTCTTTCTACGTGGTGCTTTACTTGGTCGTGAATACAAGATTGAAAGTTCTGAAAATAGTAAATCTTTACAGATTACGAAGACTGCACCTACACAATCTAATAGGGAGGTTATCGAAATTAAGGATGAGGAAATCAACCTAAAGACTGAAATTTCAGAACAGCGAACCCAAAAGTTATTGCCTCTCACGAATTCATTAATCCCTTCAAAAAGGAAGTTTATTAAAGTTGAGGATATGGTGGAATCGTTAGTTAACCATGAATTACAGACGACTGGCGGAAATTCCCATTTGTCACCAGGGTTAAGTAAAATAATTACAAATACTATTAGTGGCATACTTCCTAAGGTGAAGAAAGAACAGAAGACCACATTTAAATCAAATCCTGCACGAACCCCGGTTTTGAATTTAGATGGATTGGTACCTCCAAAATCATTTGGCTTGCCTCAAATCTCTAGAGCAAAAACGCCAGAGGTAAGACAACCTTCAAGATCAACCTCTATGAGAATACCAAAGCCTAAACTGGAAGCTCCTGCTCTTAACACATACTCATTTGATCTACCAGATTTTTCCGAATTCCCTGGAAGGAAGAATTTTTTGATGAAAATAACTAAAAATATCTTGACTCCTGAGGAGTTGAAAGTGTTGAATCGTGAGATGAGCAGAGAGAGGAAAAAGAGATGGAGGGAAGCTAATGCACAGAAAAATTGGGAAATCGACTATAAAGCAAGACTGAGAAAGAGGGCGACTCTTCTATTTGGCGAAGGAGCTTCAGCCCAGAAGGAAGAATTTATTAAACAAAAAATGGAAACTGCCCTTCGCGAACATATTAAGGTATCTAACGAGAGTACACCAATCCCGCCCAGCAAAGTTGTATCAAATATATCTGACTCTGAAATATTAAACATAATTGCATTATCGTTGAAGAAACTAGATGTTGCTCGTAAGCTTGAAAGTAAGTTGAATGAAGAGATGATAAATTTACGTAAGAAAGAAGCAGAACCCAAACCTCCAAAGAGAAGAAAATTAACGATCAAATAGATAATATTGTTATCCCTTATATCAATGATTTGTGTATGTAAGTTTAAGTTCTATATTTTTATTACATAAATGATATACGTGGATGATAATAATAATCACAGTTATAATATGAACGTTTAACGTCGCTCCAATCAGGTAACTGTTTACCAATCTGTACAGTGGTATATTCACACTTCATACCGTAATTATTAACGTCCATCTCAACAATTCTTTTATAAACATCATAGCATATCGGTCTGTCTGCACCTAATCCATTGAAGAACGAAAAGACCCCCTCCGGTTTAATTAACCCTACTATAATATCGTATAGATTTAGCATATCTTCATAATGTTCACTGAAGGTATCATAATATATACCATCGAAGAAGACGTTACCGTCATCTAGTAATTTATTCAAAGTATTCTGCCATCTTCCTTCCAAGATAGTTACGTTTGGTTTCTCATACCAACCATCTTTCTTCATCTTAGCAAGTACGTCAGGGTGGGCTTCACATATATAATGATGAGCAGGGTTCTTTTCTTGAATGTATGTGTCGATAATACCCATCCCAAATCCAATATTTAACACGGTAGAATTGATGGTATTTGAAGAATCAGAGAACAAAGTTTCGGCTGCAAGTTTCATAATTCCATCTTCCCAGTCCATCATAACACCATCTTTGTTGTCCTTCGTTATCAGTTTGTCGTCTGTATATTCCAATTTAGTGTTTAGGTATGTCATTGGATCTGCAGCAGTTAAATCAGAATCACTAGCGTCAATACTATCAGAAATTTCAGGGACACTAGAATCGTCAACGAGTTTAGTTTGTATCTCTTGTTCTTGTTCAATCCCTTCTAAATCGTCTAGAAATTCGACATCTCCACCATTAACTTTTCTGAGAAGTAACTCTGCACTCACACCGGCTTCTATAACACGTTGATACAGCGCACTATTACGATACTGTCCAGCCTCAAGTAATAAATCGCCAATGGATTTATTTTCGTAATCTAGGAAGTTCCAACCAGCTCCATATTCAAATAATGTATTCATCAGATTAAGAACCACATTCAATTCCTCTTTGGTAGCATCTCTAGGCAACGATCTCGCTAGGATATGTAATGGGGTTGTATTTGAACTCTCAGAACCATCATCATCTTCGTCCTCTTTACCTTGTTCGAAAGCTGCCACTTGTTCCAAAGTGTATGTAGGTGGAATACCAGATTTTAAGAGATGAGCCAATTGGGTCTCATAGACATCTGATGTGATAGGCCTCGTAGGGAAGGTCAAAAGATGGTGTAAATCGGACATTCTGTAGTAGAGTAATTAGATTATTTGATAACACCAATTGTAACGATTAGGTCGCACTGAACGTCCTTAAACATTGAATATATATTCGGTTTGTAATGGTTCTTTTCTGTAGGAAATTTTTCAAAAGTTTTCCAGATGAGCTTTTCGTGCAGAACGACGGGCCAATCGCCCCAGCGAAAAAGGGGAGGAGAGGATAAGCGACTCTCTTCAAACTTTGAGGAACATTTGAGAAACTGATTTTAGTCATCTTGAATGTCCATTTAACGGTTCAATTCTGGTGATAATACTAGTGCAAGCAAGTTGACACGGTTATTCGCTCGTTTATTATAACTGTTGTGGTGTATAAGGTAGGAAAAAAACAACGCAATTACCCATTTTTTGACACTAATTAATCAAGAGTGACCTAAGAATATTATAGCATCATTTTTTACCAAGTCGGCCATAGATAACTCTTACGGATACGACTTTTTGAGAAGAGGAACTTAGATATTGAAACATAAAATTGGAACTATAACAGTGCGTGTATAGTTCTGGGATGATACATGAAGTACAGAAAACGCACCGCAAGTGATTTTGTCTTTAAAGAAGAACTCGGCCATGGGTCATATTCTACCGTCTATAAGGCAATCGATAAACATGACCCCAAGAAACTATACGCAATCAAAGTATGCTCGAAAGCGCATATAATACGGGAAGCCAAGGTGAAATATGTGACGATTGAAAAGAATACATTAAATTTATTGGCTAGGGGTAATCACCCAGGAATAGTGAAACTTCATTATACTTTCCATGATGCAGACAATTTATATTTTGCCCTTGATTTTGCAGCAGGTGGAGAATTGCTCTCTTTATTGCATAAATATAGGACGTTTAATGAACAATTATCGAGGCATTTCACTGTTCAGTTGATCGACACAATAGAATATATTCATTCAAAGGGTGTGATACATCGTGACCTTAAACCTGAAAATGTACTGTTGGATAAAGAAGGGAGACTAATGATTACAGATTTTGGAGCAGCCACCACAGTAGCTAATACCGAGGTTTATGGGGAGAATGACGATGATCCCAATTCAATCAACGCGACTTCTTCCTTTGTTGGGACAGCAGAATACGTTTCTCCTGAGCTACTACTTTATAATAAATGTACTAGAAGTTCAGATATATGGGCTCTCGGGTGTATGATATATCAATTTTTAGAGGGATGTCCACCATTTAGAGGTAGTAATGAATTAAAGACCTTTGAAAAAATTGTAGAATTAGATTATACATGGAATTCAAACAATTATGACGACAACCCCAAGGACAACCAAACTAATAGCATAAATCCACTAATTATTGATACAGTACGAAAGATCTTAGTGATCGATGATAAAGAAAGGATAACTATCTCAGACTTGAAAGGAGAACCATGGTTTAATAGCATTAATTGGAACAATAAATTAGATATATGGAAAGGGATTTTCACTATGGATCAGTCTTTATTGAGAGATCAACCAAGGTTAGATTCATTGGATCACCAAAAACAAAGGATAATTCCCAATAGGCAGTTGCACGTAATCGATACGCCGATTAAAAATATTACGATATCTAAACAAAAGAAAAAGAAGCCAATGAAGATCTCGACGAATACAAGTAGCATAGTAGAATGGAGAAAGAAACTGGGTATATCTTTGAATCAAAATAATGAAAAGACGCCCGTGACAGGACTGACAAATTCCAATAACGAACAAAAAATAATATACCATTCTCAAAAGATGATAAACCAACCCAACGGAAGTATACCCTTATCTTATAAAAATCCACAAATGACACAGCCGTATTATTACCAAAATTCATATTCAAATGGCATACAAAATAAATTGGATAATAATGCCCTATCACAACAGGTTCCACAGATATCTTCTACGACTCCTCCAATTTCAAGACGTATGGCTAATGTAAATAAATCGGAGGCTGAGTTTCTACCTAACTCTCAATTACCCAATAACAATAGTAGCAGGCAACCTTTACAACCACATACCAAACCACCTCTATCAGACACAACATTGTCTAATACAGAGCCTTTATCCAACACGTATAATTCAAAACAACAAGAACTAGATATTGAATATGGTAGACATATTTTGAAACAAGATTTCATATACATTTGTGAAATACCATTTCTTGCTGTTGGGCCCGCTCTAAGTATAAACAGTTACAACAAAATTGATAATGACTTAATTACAGACATTGTTTCAAAAAATGAAGAATTTCTGAGAAAGTCGAACTCCAAACCGAAACTCTTAACGCTTACTGATAAAGGTCATCTAATGTATAGCGATAATCTTGGAGTTAACGAACATTCGATAGTAGATGTGAGTGATTCCGGATTATCAATGTACGATTTCGAGTTTGAAGAAGCCACAAGAAAGGGGTTTCTTATCCTTGAAAAATATAAAGAAAAACTGTGGTTTATTTCACTTCCACCTGCTAGTGTAGTATCTCAATTATGTGCTACAAGTATGAATTATAAGCGTCCTATTTTAAACAGTGGCGAGAACTGGGTTGACTGTTTTTTTAGATCCAGAAATTTGTTAGAAGATAACAACTTATCAAACGAAATGAAAACTTTAAATATTGATGATAAACAAAGTGATGAAAATGTGTATAATCACGCTTCAACTAGTTTTGTAACGACACCAGCACCAGTTCTTCCTGCCCTACCCGCCATACAGACTTGTTCAATAAAATACGAACAAGAAAAGAAGGCACTTCCTGCCAGACAGATGACTCCTTTAGACCATAAACAATCTCCAGCATTAAGATACAACAAAAAAAGTACTAGTTCAACTAGTTTGAATAACGGTGGACATATTAGTAATAATATTTACGTTAAGGATATAAATACTGCATTATATACCAGTGCTGCAGCTGTAGCTTCCAAAAATGCATTAATGAATCATCTCAATAAGGAGAACAAAGAATCTTCCCCTAGTATAATATTTGCACCTTCGTCCCGAAGACAAACACCATCGCAGCTGAGTACTGGGAAGGAATATAGGTCATATATTAGGCCCCAGAAACCAAACAAGCCTCCTGGATCTGCATTACCGACAGTAATACACCAGCCAGAAAAGAAATATAGACCACCCAAAAATATGATAGTTACAAGCAGTAGATGTGAGGTTCTGAATACATTAAACAGTTCAAATCAACGAGTTGGTAGTGATCAAAGTATAGCAAGTTCTGGTGCATCGGCTGCTTTCAGAAGTTTGCAAAAGAAGAAGAATGAATCAAACAGGTAACCTTCTTTTGTGAACTTTTCATGTCCGACCTTAGGAGATTTGTTTATGCATTGCCCCTAATATAAAGATACATATATAATATATCTATGAACTATTTAATTTTCATTCTGCACCTTTTTAGAATCTAATCATGCAATAAATGCAAGTACCAAGAGAACTATTAGAGCTATAATCAATAATCCAATGCAACAATCGTTATATTTTTCTTTATTTTTCTCATAAATCCATTCCAATTGTCGTCTCCCTCTCTGCACTTTATTTGTAATTGAATCGAAGTTTTCATCTAGTTCATCTAGTATCTGGCCTTGGTCTTCTAATTCTTGGCCCATTGTTTGCGCATGTACATGTAGATTCTGCATTGTCTTATGGATATCATCAAGATGGCTATCCTGTTCCCTTAATAATTGTTCTTGGAATGGGTTTATCATCCCACCTGATGGATCCTGATCACCGGCATTACCTTTAGAGGCTCGAGTTTCTACTTCTTCTTCGTCCAGAGGTACTGTAAGCCCTTTCTGTGCTATTACTGTATTAGGCTTCGTGCTATCTAACAAATCCAAGGCTCTTCGTATGTGGGTCAATTTATCCTCTCTTGAGCTCACATCCTGTCCTGACCTTTTCATGACTATAATACTTCTCTCCAGATCTACCATCGTATCCTTAACATCCTTTAAAATGTCTATAACTTCATCGTCTCGTCCATGTGTTGTCAAGTAATGTTTCAATCTATCTAATTGCTCTTGAGTGTCGTTTGCTACCTGATCAAAGGGATCTTCCATTACTTCTGACATTTTTTTTTAAGTAGTGGCTCGTATTTTATGATGGCTTAGTTGCTTAGTCTATTGCTTGTTAACCTCTCACCATCTTTGTAGTGCTCTGTATATAGCCAAAAATTTCTACTCTTTTGTTTATTCAGGTTATATTCAATTCTGTAAACATTTTCAAGTTGTCACACGTATAAGTAAAACAAAAAATATACGTGAAAAGAACATTTGATAGATGAGGTTTGGGCAATCAAACACAGCCAATCATCAAGAAGGACAATTATTAAAAGTCGCTCTCTGAATTAATTCAAGCATGTCAGAAGAACAAATCAGTAATGTTGATACAGGGAACTTCTCGACTGGTATGGAACCAAGTATAGAGAGTACAACGGCCCAAGCAACGGTGAAGTTAGAAACGCCAGTCATTGAAGAGACACCATCACTTAACCCACTCCCATCAGCTAATGGAGGTGAATCTTTAGCAGATATAATTGGAGGATCACAAGTTAGAAAATATCTGAATAAAAATGTTACGCCGTACTTGTTACAAGGTATGAGGAATATCGCGAATGAACAACCACAAGAACCCTTAAAGGTTCTTGGCGAATATCTAATTGAGGAGAATAACAGGTTGAAACAAGAGAAACATTGAAATCAGTGGTGCTTTGAGGTACTAAGATTTTTTTTCTATTTATTTATTAAGAATACATAAAATGGGCGGGGAAGGGTATTAATTTGTAGTGTAAACACCCAAAATAAATCATATCATATGTACAAATGACTGTGTAAGTATATATTACAACATAATCAAATTGCAAAAAACACAACTATTCAAAGTGGCAATATTGTGAGGAAGATAAATTTATTCAGAATCTTTCTTGTTCTAAATCGTCATCGATATTGTTCAGTAATTTAAAACTAAAACCACATACTAAGCTCATCAATCCAATTTTCCAACCGTTCCACAGGCCTTGCCATATCTCTGATGTGTTTACATTGATTGGTCTTATAATTAAATCTTCCTTCTTCAATTTAATGCTATTGCCGTTGTTACTGTTATCGTTTTCCAGTAGATAATCAACTTGGTATCTGCGTAACAATGTCTCAACTGGTAATTTAATGAAAAATTCACAAAATTCAGTAACGAATTTTAACATGAATATCAAATATATTTTATTCTCAACGTTCGTGAAATTCAGCCAATAATATATCAAAAACTCCAATCCATTATCGAAGAACTTTTTGCAGGCAGTCTTTAATAATATTAAACAAAATAATCTCAATGTTCTATCGTCTAAAGTGAAATTCCAATAATTTTTCAGTTTTAATTTCCTCATCACTGTTGACAACATGGATTCCTCAATATGCTGAACGTCTTCCAGACTTTTATTTGTTTCTTCCTTCTCATCTAATTTGTTTTCCAACTCATTCACAGAATGTTTGCTAATTATGGATTTCAGTTTATAAAGATCTAATGGTAATAATATCACCTCTGTCATAAAATTTGTTAAAATCCTCAAACCAAGGATCGATGAAAAGGATAAACTATAATAATAGTAAAAAGGTGATATAAACCTTGAAGTAAACCACATTATTCCACTTTTACAAAAATTGTAAAAAAATGTAATATTATTAGATCTCCATAATGACCCAATTCCAAAATTTTTATTATTACGCATTGAATGGATCACATTCCATGTCGTTAATTTATCAATATTTAACATATTTTCAGTAATAGTAGGATCATACTTTGAGAACCCATCTATTCTGGTTACATTAATATCATCCTTAGCCCAAGCTGAACTTTGATCCATCCCATCACTCGATTGATTTTGAACTGGAAAGAAATCAATCTCTTCATTTATAGGTAAAGCTGGAATAGAAGTTTTGTCATTAGCTGCTTCTACAGTAATATTCGTACTCACTTCTTCATTAGACTGATAAGATAGCTGTTTACTTATTGAAGTTGTTTGCATTATAATTTTACATGTTTCAAATGGTTGCTGAATTAAATTCTTACAGTATTGTCTTAATAGAACTTTCCATATCAAATTTTCCCATCTACCAATGCTAAACATATCATTCCAAGTCAAAGAGATACCTGGGAAATATAATTGGGCTCCATATTTTCCACCAACAGAAGCACCTATCCCACCTACGGGAATCAATCTATCGATGGCCCCTGAGCTTGAATGACCAGAGGCAAAGCGTGATCGTTTCTGGTTAGCTATGGAGAGTTTTGACGCAATGGATGTACCATTTTGATCCAAGACACCTTTATCTGGGTTGAAGACCGCAGGATACCCGATATTAAATGTATCACTATTATAATAAGGCCTAGCTTGTGCGCTAGCCACTGCTTTATCATTTAAAGACATCCCGTAAATATTTGTTTACAAATAAGGGGAATGAATTAGAAATTAACCAATACCACAAAACACAGTAGGTGTACACAATCTTGTCCAATATCTAAAATATCAGACGCTACTTCTCTTTCTTTTTGTCCCTTAAACATCCTGTCACCCCAAGGTGTAATTTATTTTGTTGATCGATGATTAAATTATATAAATAGTTAAGGATTCGCAAGCGCAGTCTACTTACAATTAATTAAAGGCCGGGAATAATAACAATAATACGAAGAGCGAGGTTGTCATAAAGAGAAGATGGAGTGTCACAAATTGCTGGTAATACATTAAATCATTTATGAAGTATTATTTGTCGTATACCTACAAGTGTGAGAGTCATTTCTTTGATGAGTTTATCAAAAAAAAAATGGGACATATTTTATTCATGAGATAAGTTAAGAACATCTAAGTTAGAGAACATGCCCTTAATGTAGCAAGTAACCCCAATCCAGAATTCATATATATCTGTAAATTTATGTAGAATATAAAGGAGAGGATACGTACAACTAGTTTTAATTGCTAATCTCATCAGTTTGTGAAAGTTGAAGCTATAATATATAGACAATATAAAAATAAGAATACAGAAAAGGGGATGTCTATAGAAGAACCAACTAACAAAATAAAATAAAATAAAATAAAATAAAATAAAATAAAAACGTTCAAATTAACTTCAAAGTGATCTCGAACATTAGCTCATTGTCGTGCTCTAAATTGGCAGAAACTCTTGTGTTTTCATGAGACAATAGACTTGCAGAAAAAATTATTGTGTAACTCACCAAGTTTATCGATAATAATAGAACCTAATGTTCCGTATTTAGCATAAGCATTGGCTACTTCTATAGTATATCCATTATCTTCCTTACTGTTCAATTTTTGTCTTAATTCACTGCCCATACTCTTAAATGATACTTTATGTGGTTTGGTAATTAGTTTTAGACCGACTGGGGTAATACAGACACGTTCTCCAACTCCAGGTAAGATATTACTACCTAATTTGTCAATTTGAACAGAAACACATCTAAGTCCATCCTGCGTAATCTCATATTTGAAAATATCACCAAATGAACCCATTTTTTTAATAGTATTCTTAAACAAGGGAGTCTCGTAATCCCCCAGTTTGGAACTAAGTTCATCGCCGATCTTAGTGAATAAATCTCCAACAGAGCCACCTTCTGGTAATAAATTATCCATACCAACAAGTATGTTTAATATTAAACTTGAAATAAAGGCCAAAGTATTAAAAATACATGACCCAGGGGCAAACCCACTCAATGGAGCAGAAGAACAGGTAATAAATGTACTCGTTCATGTAATAATATTTAGTAGAATATTTAAATTGACTTCTGTTTAAACGGCAAATTAGTAGAAACATTCATATTAGCAATATACGTTTTAGAATACTTATTTTGTTTGTAGTATATTCTGTAAAGTAAACTGAAGTAACTGATGCTGTAGAAATACCAAACAAAAAGAAAACTTTCTTTACATTTACATATTTCTAAAGTTTTACAGATATATATCTATACATTTCATTAATTAGCTAACTCATTCTCAAATTTGATAAATGTTCTTAAAACTGTTGTATTTACCTACTAGTTATTTGCAATTGTCCAGTAAGAAGGGACAACTATATTCGAATAATAATATTAATATAAAGTATTCATATATTTAAGTTACTTTTGGTTTAGCTATCATAATGGAGTATGTTTGTAAAATGGGTAAATTCATATTAAACATGACAGTAACCTCCCTATATAAAACACGTTTGTTCTATTTACATATATAAATAACTCTTAGTTACTAAGTATAAAATATGGGTAAAGGATAAAGGTATACAAATATGAACTTCAGTTATGGTAGATATCGCTACTATCTCTATTCGATTTACCGAATGGAATTTGTGACGCTGACAGTGGGTACTCCCATTTGATGTGACTGCTTTGTGACTTTTAGACACCCGTGCACCTTCCTTTTAACACCCACACACCACACAATAAATGCATCTTTTTCCATTATTTTGAAAAATATTTCCGAAATTTTAGATTGGTGAGAGATGACTTTATCAATCTGGGGTCAGAAAGTGCCGTACAAATTGCCTTTGGCCCCTCTGAAAAAAGTGGAAAGACGACGCTGAAAATTTAATTTTGTGATTTTTTTTTCAGTAAAAATTAAATAATTTTCAGTTCTCTTCAATCATAATGGCAATAGGCCATGATAGTTAACCAACTATAGTGCATGGATCATTGGGAAAACTCCATCTGTCTATCAATTGATGGTACAACAAGTAAAGTAAGTCAATGTGCAGTTGTGTTATGGTCTCATTTCCCTAAGCATCGGAAGCAGTCTCTTGAATGATGACCATTATGGAAATTGTAGACGGTACCAAGTTACGGGACTTTGGAGCAAGGAGTTCTGTTCTATCTCTGTTTCTTAATTTTCTGGAATTAGTAGTAACGATCTCATATAAGTGATGGAAGGGCTGTTATTTATTAGCATATAGTTTGCTCTGGTATATATTTCTTAATTATCAAAAAGAAGAACCTCGTCTAAACACAATTGATTGAAAGTTATAAAAAATGGCTAAGTTTTTGAAAGCTGGTAAAGTTGGTACGTATTTGAACTTGTTTATTTAATTGATTAATTTTATGGAAAGTGGCATATATGATATAATGAATTAAACTATTGAGATGTGAGGGGAAAAACTGCTCTAATATAGAGGAGATAGACCCAAAGAAACCTGAACCAAGACCTGCGTTAAGACCATCTAATAATATTAGATATATGATGTAGTGGAACATATATGCATCGTTTAGGAAGATCGAGAGAGACTATTTTGGTTGTCGATATTTTGAAAATATATTCCTAGAGCCATCCCGTCAAGTCCCCCGTCAAGTCCACCCTTTCCATTATTATTAATAATATTTTATGTGGTATGATTTTGAATTTTTTTTACTAACATTAACGAACAAAAAATAAAAAAACTGGAATTCTTCTATTGAATTTTATTTTTATTTTAGTTTGATTATTACTATAGCTGTCGTTGTCCGTGGTCGTTACGCCGGTAAGAAGGTCGTCATCGTCAAGCCTCACGACGAAGGTTCCAAGTCTCACCAATACGGTCATGCTCTAGTCGCTGGTGTTGAAAGATACCCACTAAAGGTCACCAAGAAACACGGTGCTAAGAAGATTGCCAAGAGAACTAAGATCAAGCCATTCATCAAGGCCATCAACTACAACCATTTGCTACCAACCAGATACACTCTAGACGTTGAATCCTTCAAGTCTGTTGTCTCTACTGAAACTTTCGAACAACCAACCCAACGTGAAGAAGCTAAGAAGGTCATCAAGAAGGCTTTTGAAGAAAGACACCAAGCTGGTAAGAACCAATGGTTCTTCTCTCAATTGAGATTCTAATCTGTTTCCCTCCTGTTTTGTGCTTTACTGCCTTTTTATTAAAAAAACCCAGTTTCATTTACAGTTGTTTCTCTCTTATGATTGGAACAGGAAAACCACCCAAAAGTCATTTTATAAGGTTATAAATAAACTCATCAATTTTGTCAAACATACATATTGGAGAAAGTTTAGAAATCAAAAAAAAGAAAATAATTCATCAATTACACACTAGTTAGTCATTGTAGTTTTAAATAAATACATATAATAATATTTCAAAACGAATAAACAACAAATAAACCCCCATAAACATAAAGTCTGTATATAATCACTTTTTCTTTATCTTTAAAGCATTGCTTTTATTAATCGTCAGTCTATTTATGTTTAAGATAAGTCAAAAAAGAATAAAAATAACAATATTTGAAGGCTTTCTATATAGAAAAACAAATATAACAAACCATTAAGAACAAAGAAAAAGACACTAAATAGTAGAAAATAAAAACAATTAAACAGCATATTTCAATACACTATGTCACAGGATATAATATATACAAGCACATCTGATGAAAGCTTCAAGAATAGGTCTACCGGATACGAGTACACAGTGGGCCCTAAACCTTCACTTCCGGACGAATGCAACAGATCGCCATTGACTTCAAAATTATATTCAGAATCATTGAACACAAAGAGACATGAGGTTTCATTGTCTGCTATGACATTTCTCTTTCAGGAGATGATCTCATCATTACATAAGGAATGCAAAACGGTCACAGAGTTTGAAACTAAATTGTCTAATTATGGTGAATCCATCGGTTCGCGGTTATTAGAATTATTAAACTTTAGGTCATCAATTTCACCCGGAAGCTCTTCAAGAACGTCTACTTTTTTGACCTCCTCCACATCTGTATTAAGCTCTCAAACAAGTGCACCAGGAACCAATGCTAATTATACAAATAATACAAATAATAATAACGGTGGGGGTTCCACTGGTAATGGAACTAGGTCCAGGTCAAACACGGGTGCTTCGTCGAAGGATTACGCATCTTCAATAAAGACATCTAACAGAGACTCCTCGGATCGTCATCACCATCATCATCAAGTGGAGTCCTTGACAAGTCAAATTTCTAAGATGAGACGTCGTGATTTAAAGATACTAGATATTTTACAATTCATTCATGGAACTTTATGGTCATATTTGTTTAATCACGTCTCAGATGATTTAGTGAAGTCGTCAGAAAGGAACAATGAATATATGATAATCGACAATCAGCCGCCTTTGACTCAATTTATAAGTGGACCTAACAATAGGATATCATGTGACTATTTTATATGCGGTATTATTAAAGGATTTTTAACAAATGCTGGATTTCGTTGTAAAGTTACCGCACATGAAATGCCACAAGGTCAATTTGAAAATAGAACTGTTTATTTAATCCAATTTGATAATCAAGTGTTGGAAAGGGAAGCTATAAGATTTGATCAACCATGATTTGATGAATTTATATATACATTTATTAATTCTTTTGGAAAAAGTCGGAATTTCCAACGAATTGTTACCTTTGTAAAGTTATGATTCACTTCGTACTAAAAGCGATGATACCAACCAGATGATAAAATCATGATTGAATGCTTTGCAAGGTATATAATAATTATTGAACGCGCATAAAATATATATGACTTGTGATAATATAGCCAGATATATAAATATTTATTGATTATGATATAATAAAAGTTACGTTGATATAATAATTTAAATCAAAACGTTTTAATGGCATATAACTTAGTTTTAAAGTGGTCTTCTAGTAAGGGAGAGATGAATTATACAAGTTTTAAGATATGTTCCAATAAATGAAGCAGTGATAATGGAAGTGAGAATGTCGGCTTCCATAACAAAAAAATGCGCAAGCCCGGAATCGAACCGGGGGCCCAACGATGGCAACGTTGGATTTTACCACTAAACCACTTGCGCTATTTATTTGGAAAATGTTGTATTGGGATCTCGGATGGTTGAAGACAAAAATATAACAGACGGTTATATTTAATTACTATTACTATGTTGTTAACTAATTAGAACTTATTTCAATAATCGTTTTCTTTTTGTTTTATAAAGTAAGTTTATATACGGAAGATTATATATTAAAAGTTAGCATATGTGGTCCTTTTATACTTTTTGGAAAGGCAGCCAGTCTATCAAATATTGATAGTATTCTTACTAAACATTCTTGAAACATGTTCTAGACACTTCTGAAACGATTAGTCATACTTACTCAATTGACCATTCTCAAAGAATGTTCTAGAACCAATATTGAACCGTTATTAATAATTTCGTACTAAACATTAAATTGTAATAACTAAGTATTGGTACTTTCTACATTGTAACAGTTTCAGATACAACAGAAAATGTTATATTGCGATCTCAGATGTTTGAAGACAAAAAGATAACGGACGGTTATAGCTAATTATTATTACTATGTGTTGAATGTTGAATATGTAGCGGCAGTACTAAAAAGGCTAACATTAGCTTAACCTAACTGAAGGTGAAGGTAGCTAATATAAGTATGTTATAATATAGAAAGTAGCAATATGACGGAAATTATGTGAAATTGAGATATCTCAAATGTATTACGAAGCATGTTAAAAAATGAAACAAAATATGTGGCATTATGAAACAAAATATGTGGCATTATGAAACAAAATATGTGGCATTATGAAACAAAGTTAATCGTATTATGAAACAAAACATAATTCGAACCTCAATTGATATTGGAATAAAAATACATATAAAGACAAAGAATTCTGAACTTACATTCTAAGTTAGATTCTATTCGTTCTGTAAATTATATACAATATAAATAAATCACTTACAAATATAAGAGAAATATAACAATTATATTTTGCTTACCTAACATTAAAACTTAAGCTACACCATTCACCTCTATACCTAACACCTTTAATAATGAACGAATATAAGTCTAACCACAGTATGTCTGCTTCAGCTCAATTATGTCTGTTTCAGTACAAGATTAAATTTTTATGTGTAGGCTTTCTCCCTCATCCAAGTAGTGCAAAAACCAATGACCAGGAACATTGCCTAAGAGCAACAACTCAGACGAATAACCAACCATATTAACAAACAATGCAGTTGTAAAAATTTGACGAGTTCAACTGGTAATCAAGTTCAATAATTCTCAGTTTTGTCTTTTATTTTGTGACACCTTGCTATCCTCAACTTCACTGCAACGCCGCATGGGAAAATTTTTAGCCTGGAAATTTCAGTTTTTTATTTAGGCGATGACTTTGGGGAAACTTTGGGACGCTTTGCTGTTTGGGAATAGGAACAACTGCTGTCTGGAACACCAAGGAATTGCCCAGGTAAATAAAGAAAAAGACAAGAAACTAGTCATATTTTATAGTGCTATGGCGTCAATGTTTTCTTGTTGAACGTCTCTTTTCAACGGAGATTGAACTTAATATTAAATAGTCGACTAAATAAACACGATATATACAACATGAAGTACATTATTGAACACATGGAAGAAGGATTCAGTGAATGGGTGATCCTAGAGTACGCCCAAGTCATTAGAGATCTAGGATCTGAGAACCTGATTCTTTCTTCTTTGCCAGAAGGCACAACCTCCGACATGATCCCTAAAAAACTGTTAGACATGGGTCTACAATGGACTACCAAGGATTTATCCCATATCCATGAAGATATCGCTAATGTAGAACATATGAAGAATGGCCGTGTATGCCTACTGGATCCTCGAGCAACTACTGATCTACAACCTAGTGAAGCAGACGAATTCGACTATTTTGTATTCGGTGGTATCTTGGGTGACCATCCACCAAGAGATCGTACAAAAGAACTAAAAGAGGCATACCCTGACTTACTAGTCGGTAGAAGACTTGGTGACAAACAAATGACCACAGATACTGCAATTAGAACCACTCAGATCATTATTAGAGACCAAACTAAATTTGAAGATATTAAATTCTTTGACTATCCGGAGTTCAAATTCAACAAGTATGAAGCCACCGAGATGCCATTCAGATACGTAGTGGACAAGAAAGGGAAGCCAATTTTACCAGATGGCATGCTAGAATTGATCAAGAGAGACTCAGAACAATCCTTAGACGATTTATTATGATACGTATACTTATATATATATATATATATATTTGTGTTATAAATTTCGAATCTGTGTAAAACCAAAATTGCAATATTCTTTTGATACATGTTAGCATGTTACAATGTTTAAGAGATAATGGACTCCTAATAATTGAGTTAGATAAAACTGTTTCAGTGATAGTGAATAGTTTAACGAAATCCAGTTTCATAGCCTAACCACATTTATATTCGTATACTACATATTAAGTATGTAATCTATATCATGTTAGACGAAATAAAATAGGGTTAAACAAGGGCTAGATATTTTTATTGACCAAAAAGTGGCGAAAATTATTGCGAAATTGAAAGCCATTCGCTGAAATGGCAAAGTGCAAAGGGATCGCTCATTTTAATGATTCATTTAAAGTCAGCTTGCATAAATTTTAATATTCCTTTTTGTTTTTGTTTGTAGACTTAAAGATGGTCTCTTTATCAAGAATACACGTCCACTTCTACATATATCGTCCAATCAGTACCAATGTCTACTATCATCAAATCTGCCAAGTCTATTGTTCCACTACTAGACCGTGTCTTAGTCCAAAGAGTCAAGGCTCAAGCTAAGACCGCTTCTGGTTTGTATTTACCAGAAAAGAATGTCGAGAAACTAAACCAAGCTGAAGTTTTAGCTGTTGGCCCAGGTTTCACAGATGCCAATGGTAACAAGGTTACCCCACAAGTCAAGATCGGTGATCAAGTCTTGATTCCACAATTCGGTGGCTCTACCATTAAGTTGAACTCTGATGATGAAGTCATCTTGTTCAGAGACTCTGAGATTCTAGCTAAGATCAGGGACGCTTAAAAAAAAGATAGACTTATATATATCTATCTTTATTATTTTTTTAAGGGCGAAAGTTTTATTCCACATTTTAATGACAGAATCAACGATTACAAATTAAATACACACATATATACTATTTATACAGTATGACCTACGGATCAACCCTGTAAATATTTGACGCATACATTATCTATATAAAAGTTATATGTCTATAATACATAATTTTTAGGTTCTTCATCATGACGAGGTACCTAATGTATCTCTATAAAAAGACTCACCATTGAATCGTGCCAGTGCACCTTTTAAATCATCGCTATTTCGACAAACTCTCATAAACCATCCAGAAAATGGATGTTCCTTAAGTCTTATAGTCCCGTTCCACGTATGATGAACACGGTTCCCATTATTTTCAATCATTTCACCAGTTGACCTATTTTCGAAGGATTCATTCCATTTGAGACGATTCATTATTAATTTATTGAAAAATTTACCGTTCTTCTCGTTCGTCACACTAATTATTAAACCAGGACCCTCCTCACCAATTCGAAGACAACAACCTCTTAATTTCAATTGTTTCGCATTCATGTTCAATTTATAACGTAGTTGTGGATTGTTAAGATTTTGAAATTTGTAAACATTACAATAATATGTGTCTTCGAAATCTAATTTCGTTACAGTCTTGGCCTCATCCTTTCTACGTTTTACTGCCTCCTCATGACGTAAATTATTTGTTGCAATATGTTGATCCTTACGTTCTTGAACTTGTTCCTTGACAATTTTCTCGTAACTTGTCGGATCCACAATATTTGCATCATTCTCTAATACATTCATCATATTACTCTGCTTTACTTTCGGTTCAGGTTTAGGAATAAGTCCCAATTTTATTTTCGTCTCTGTCTCCTCTAGCTCAACTTTTCTCTTATGACGGCGGATCCTACGATGCTCTTTTTTGGTAAGATATGTCCTTGTAAGTTGATCTTTAGTTACCTTCGCATCAGCTTGAAGTAAAGGATGATGTACATAACGTATATTTGGCGCATAATTCCCATCTTCTTGATCATTATCTTCTTCTTCTTCTTCTTCCTCAGATTCATAATCTGAAACAACGTATTTCCCTAATATTTGATGAGTCTTCTTATCTAAATATACGGCATCCCACCACTCTACATCCTCAGGTATATCATCCACACTTTTAATAAATTTATTCTCACCCTTCTCAAGATCTGGTAATTCACCACTAATGACCTTTAATTGATAACGTTTCTTCTCTTCTTGTTCCTCTGCTAGCGTTACCTCCAATTGTTTCTCAACCTCACGTAATTTTGCACGTTCTTGAGTTACACGTTCAATAATTTCACCTTTACGGAAAAATCTAGATAGATGAGCTCTCTTACGGTTATTACCAGCATTATGATCATTACTTATATATGGATTACTGTGATGTTGCTGTTCTTTGATTAATGTTAAGTTGGCCGATTTCAAAGCTGGATGAAGTTCTGTTTGTAGACCACGAGACTCATTCTCAGCCTTTCTCTTTCTATTATCTGACATAACTATTCTTATCCCTGAGGGTTGATCTCTTTTGTCACGTTTTGTTACAGGAAACCAGGTTGTTATATAATTGACGTTTATATATATGCCTTTTTAATTTTTCGTTATACGCATGCAGCTAATATATATAAGCAAAAAATATTAGTGAAGAAAATGTTCTTTTAAAATAGTTCTTTTGGGATATAAAATTATTTACTGATATATACATATATAAATTATGAAAAGTATAGGATTGTATGTTTTTGAACAATAAGTACCTTACCAGAATATCCCTTTCTTCTTTTCCTTTGTCCCCGTAGTTGTGGCACTACCTTTGAACAACGATGAAAAGAAACCTTTGTTGCTAGCCGTTGAGCTACTACTAGAACTGATTTGTTTTCTGGGTATTTCTGAATTAGATTTATAATGCTTCAATGGCACTCTTTCTGTTGTGCTCTTAGATTTGTAGATTGGGATTCCATGTGAGTCTGAATGTTCAGCTACGTTGTATGATACAGATTTGACGGGTTTCAAACGATGAGGATCTGTAGTTTTAATTTTTCTCAACCCAATATCTGTATTTGATGAAACTGGGGACAATGATGATTTTGATTTTGATTTTTTACTAGACTTCTTTTTCGTCCTTTTAGATACTGACAAGGATGTATTCACGACATCAACCATTTGCTTTTTCTTAGAGTGTGAAGTAATTTTATTTAATTTGATACTTTCCTTTAATGAGTTGTATGTCATTTGATCTAGATTTTCCAGTAATTCTTGGCCAGACTGTTTCTTTGGTAAAGCTGTTGGGGTTGTACTAGGTGGGTCCTGACCAGGGATAGCCATCAATTGTTGAGATTTTATTTCCAACGTTTTTTCAAAATTGTTCATGTATAAGGCAGGCACGACAATAACAGGAATTGGGAAAGAACTGCATAGTTTATCAGAAATATAATTTGATCTCCATTTCACCACTGTTTCAACATTTAGATTGGATGTGACAATTAAATCTGGCGTGTAAATGTTAGTGGAGTTACAAAGACAATTCATCGTCTTTCCAACAGTTATTTCAATTGTTAGCTTAATAGCACGACTTGGATTATTCAACAACAGTAAGGATTCAATATAAGTTTGGATGTCCTTCATTGTGGCTCTGATTTGGTTGATATCGTAACCAGGGTACCATGCGCTTGTCGAACCGTCCTCAACGTCATTATCATCATCATCCGAGCCACTATCATCATCGGTATCGTCCATTCCATAGTAACTGTTAATTCCCGAATCGCCATCGTCCGAATCCCTCATTGCACTGCGTCTTCTACCGCGACTTCTACTTCTACTCAGGCTTCTTGTTTGACCATAACGTGTCGCACTTCTTGCGGTTCTTAATTTTGGTTTCTGTCTAGTGATTAGAGAAGGGAGGTTTGTGACTACGATGAGATGATCTGTATTTTTGATACAGTTTGTGAACAACCAATCGAGTCCCACCCAGGTGTGTTTTCTCCCGTCGATTCTGCATAAGATAGTTCTTGGTAAGTTTGGGTAGCCGATTCTTTCATTAATGACTTTAATCTTTCTCTTTTGATTCTTAGTCAGAGGAGTGAATCCATCTGAATCCATATCTTGCAAAGTAACGATATTTGGGCCGTGCTCAGCGAACAGAATATCAGGGTATTTGAAAAAATCGTCTTTATGTAGCGTTCTATTATCCAGTTGCAACCGACGCAACGCCCATAATTTATCCCAGTTCAAAGTCGTATTATTCAACACGAGTGAATTATTTTGGATTGTTGGTTTTGTTGGGTAGTCCTCTCTGACGATCTTCCCATTTTTAGCAATCTTAAACATTTCGGTCAATTGAATCGATTTATGCGACTGTTGCCGTTTTCCTCCACCACCAGTGGCAATAGCAGGTGAAGAGCCCGAGGAAGGAAACCTTGTTGGTGACGGCTGTCTTCCGGCCATATGGGTCGAGACTGAATTCAGATTGTTCAAGAGGTATTGGTTATGTAGGTTGTACTGATTATTGTTATCACCAGCGTATCCACTTTCATTATCGTAGTATTCCTCCATCGTGTAGTCTGTTGGGAACTGGACCCCCGGGAAGTCCTGCTTATAGAGCCTATCGATCCGTTTAGCGTTAGCGTTGACCACAGGGACAGTATTGAAGGAGATGCATGGTTTCATTGCCTTATAGGGGTACTGTTTCCTTTGGGCGTCGACGGTTGTTGAGTCTGTGGGTCTGACTTTCAGCGGCGAGTAGAACTTGACTGCCTTGTACTCGTTCTGAGAGAGTTGGTCCTCTGGGGGGATGTCTAGTACCATACTTCGGGCGCAGAGAGGTGTTGTTGTTGTTGTTGTTGGTGTGCACAAGTATGTGAATGTATTACTTAAGATATATATATATGTATATATACAGTAAGTATTATATAATGCAAATTGTTAAATCCGCGCAACAAAACTGTACAAAATGAGTCTTCGTCTCGGTGAAAAAAAAAATACAATACAATACAAAGAGCAGCGATTATTTCGAATTGCTGCCGATGTGCTGATTGATTCTTCTTACAGGGCCGTAACCTTCCAGCAGTCCCCACATGTACCATTCGATCTGCAGATCGAAAGGGACGCTGTACTTGTACATGAGCGGTCTAAGAAAGACCAGCGATTCGCACAGGTGGCACAGCAGTTCCAGTGCGATAATGCAGCGCAGGTAGTTTGGATTGTTGTACAGTGCCTCCCCGAACAGCGGGATGTACAGCAGCAGCTGGTCGAAGAAGTAGCACACCACGGGCAAGGGCACCAGCAGCAACACGAGGAAGTCCGGCAACGTGCCTGGTGGTAGGCATGTGTTCAGTTTCACCAGAGACTTCCCGGTCCTGTGCACTGTCTGCAGCAGCAACCGGGTGAATTTTTCATTGTCGGAGCCAACCAGACAGTCTGCAGGGTACAGTATGACCTTGTCGATGGGCAGCGCGATGTCTGGCACGGTGAAGGATATCACGATGGAGTCGCTGTCTATATCTGAGAGGTTGGCAGTGGCGATCTTCTTGACAGTCCTGGGCGTGACGTTCCCGTAGATGTGCAGTATGTCACGCAGCAGGTGGCTGTAGTGCCTGTTGTGGTGTGCCAGGGTGAGCTGTTTCACGGGCGTCTCCATGGCAGGCTGTACTGTAGTGTATTGCTGTCTGACCGACTGTGTGTGTGTGTATAGTGTGTGTATATAGTGTATAGTGTATGTGGGGTGTCTACCTCTTGCCGTCTCCCGTTCGCTCTTTATATGTGGGGTGCCGCCAGGCAGGTACGAAATACGAAATACGGAATACGTCCACCGCCCGCCCGAGCAGCAAGCAGCGCAATAATGGAATCGCACAGCACGTGCCATCCACATGTCGGGGCGGTGGGCGGTGGACGGTGACAGGCATGGGGGTGCGATCTGGAACGAGAGAACGGAGGCAATTGGCAGGGTGTGGGTGTGTGGGTGCCGCGAGCCGCTGAGGGTGTGTCTTCCGCCGTGCCGAGTGATGTGTGTCACGTGCCACGATCACTCGGCACGGCGGCGGTGTCTTTTCGTCTTTCGCCTTCTCGTTGCAGCGTGCGGGAGGGAAAATGCTGATCGCAAGTTTTCGTTGTTTGGTAGATACTACAAGAAGATAGGAAGACAGCACAGGGGACAACAACTACAGCTCGCTACATCTTGTTACCAAGTGCGAAGTATAGCAACTGCATATACATATACACATACATATACTCATTACACACTACACACTACCACGCATTACAACCAGAGAGACAACGTATACAACAGACTATGGACAACAACAACACCAACAACCAAACGAGACACTCTCGTCACCACCACTCCCACTCTCACAATAAACAATCTCTGCTAAGCGACGGCTCTAGAATCGGTAACTACCAAATCGTCAAGACGCTGGGTGAAGGGTCGTTCGGTAAGGTTAAGCTCGCCTACCACATCACCACCGGCCAGAAAGTAGCCTTGAAAATCATCAATAAGAAACTACTGACGAAAAACGATATGAAAGGGCGGATCGAAAGAGAAATCTCATACTTGAGACTGCTAAGACATCCGCATATCATTAAGCTGTACGACGTCATATCCTCGCCTAACGAAATCGTGATGGTGATAGAGTTCGCCAACGACGAGTTGTTCGACTACATTGTCCAACGTGATAAAATGACAGAAGATGAAGCTCGCAGGTTCTTTCAACAAATCATCTCCGCCGTGGATTACTGCCACAGACACAAGATCGTCCATAGAGACTTGAAGCCGGAAAACTTGCTACTAGATGACCATCTGAACGTGAAAATCGCAGATTTCGGCCTGTCCAATATCATGACGGATGGGAACTTCTTAAAGACCTCGTGTGGGTCTCCAAATTACGCAGCCCCGGAGGTCATCAGTGGGAAACTATACGCGGGCCCCGAAGTCGACGTGTGGTCCTGTGGGGTGATCCTGTACGTCATGCTGTGCAGAAGGCTGCCGTTCGATGACGACTCCATCCCTGTGCTGTTCAAAAATATTAGCAACGGGATCTATACCTTGCCAAAATTTTTATCAGATGGGGCAGCATCTTTAATTAAGAGAATGCTGATTGTGAATCCGTTGAACAGAATCACAATCCAGGAAATCATCCAGGATGATTGGTTTAAAATAAATTTACCAGATTATTTGAAAGTTATTAATGAACCGGATAGTAATATTAAAAATGCTCCAACTACAAGTACTACTACTACAAGTACTACTACTACAAGTACTACGAGCAATTCGGATTATTCGGACCATAATGTCTTAGTATTGGCTCATGACCAAATAGACGAATCCCTGGTTCATATCCTATCAACCACCATGGGGTACGAACACGATGAAATTTATGAAGCATTGACATCTCCAACTACCGATAACCCACAGATTAATGAAATTAAAGACGCTTATTTACTGATTAAAGAAAATAGAGCTACTCTTAACGAATTGAAAATTAAACAACAGAATGATCAAAATTCAATGGAGAATGAAAATTTACAAAATTTCTTGACTCAATCACCTTTGGAACATTCTAGTACGAACATGAAAAGTACTATAGACTCAACAGGGTCTGCGTCTCATCAAGGTATCAATGCCACATCTGCAACAACTCCAACAAATGGGCTGAAGACTCCTGTGTTTGATTCAGTTTATTATAACACTCATGAAGAAAAATCAACCATTGCAATCTTACCAACTTCATTACCACAGATTCATCGTGCTAACATGATTGAGCATGGCCTGTCGGTAGATAAGATCTCTCCATTGACCACGAAGAAATCAAAGACAAGATGGCATTTCGGGATAAGGTCAAGATCATACCCATTGGATGTCATGGGTGAAATCTATATCGCTTTGAAGAATTTAGGCGCAGAATGGGCAAAACCTTCAGAGGATGATCTTTGGACTATTCGTGTACGTTGGAGATATGATCACAGTGTCGAAGATAAAAACAAAAAAATTCCAAATTTGATGAAAATTGTAATTCAATTGTTTCAAATCGAGACTAACAATTACCTTGCAGATTTCAAATTCGATGGTTGGGAACCTGTAGACAATACAGATAACAACAACACCAACGACTCTACTGGAACAACTTCATCAGAAGATGAAATTAGTACTTTCTCGGCATACCCATTTTTGCATATGACCACAAGATTAATCATGGAACTTGCCATCAATAGTCAGAACTCATAGTCTCTACACATCACGTCTACGACCTCCCTCTCTAACGAAAAACGAAAACACCTTGTATAATTTATCTTCCAACATCCTTTCTTGTTTTCTTTTTTCGTTGCAATCCCTTTTTATATTATTATATAATGTACGATACGATTCATGAATATTTTTTAAAAAACTAAAAATATATGACACTTTTTCACTTAAGGAAGCTGAAAAAAAAATTTATTCACTAATAAGTAACTTTCATATACATAGCAAACAGTTTATAAAACAAGAGGCACATCCCTTTTGAACAATGAATAGAATACAGCGGGAGAGATTCAGAGACAGACATTTGAGACAGAAATATGATTTGTTACACTCATTACCTACGTTACAGACTCCCGCATTAGCAGGATTATACTTAAAAAGTTTCTATAATGCAACAAAGAGATACGATCTCACACTACCATCAGAGATCACGGACGCAGACGTCAAATTTTGTGGAGAGTGTGGTGTAGTGCATGTCCCCATGGTCAACATGGATATTGTATCGACTTCGGATAACGAACAAGAGGACTCATTGAGTTTTAAATGTCGACATTGCAATCATAAAGTTTCTTTTAAATCTAATAAGATAGAAAGTAAAATTAATTCACCACCACCTGAAAGTTTATCGAATTCACCATCTCCTGTTATTCAAAACAAAATTTCAAACAGTACGGCTAAAAGTAGAGCTAAAAAAAGAAAACAAAACTCTTTGAATAGTTTACTTGCAAATAAGAAGAAAGAACAAAAAAATGGGTCAACTTCTTCTCTTTCATCTCTAACACTTGAAAGTTTTATGAAAAGATGAAAGTTTTACTAACACATTATCATCATTATGCATCTATTCTTTATATATATATCTATATATCTATATATAGTCATCTCACTCAAACAGCTGTATTGAGGAAATCAGTCATATCATTAATACCATTAAAGGATCCATCATTTGTCAAACTACTGTCTACAGTTTCATCCCCTTCCATAAGAAGTGAGTCATTCATCTTGTTACCTTCAGATATCATACTACTGTTATGTGCACCAGCCAAAGAGCCTCTAGTAACACCATGGAAACTTGACTCACGATTTGATATCACATCTCTCAATGGGTTAACAACTTCCTCTATGACTTGTTCCCCATCATCCTTTTCTATATTATTAACACAATTATCTTTGGTCTCAATAGTCCTTGTGACCATATTTGTCCACATCCTACGTCTATACTTCCCACGGAACCCATCGAAGTCTACATCATATACCCATTTAGTCTCGGAATCAATCTCTACATTCTGAATAAAATTATCTTCGACCCATTCATGAGGATTTAAATCCAATACCCATGATGATCCTGGAATCCATTCCCAATCGGTTGGAGGTAACACATCATCTAATAATTTTGAACAATAATCTGAAATGCTTAATTCCTTAATACGTAAGTCAGAAAATAAACAATAATCATCATTTGAAAATCCAATGGTTCTCCATTCTTTATAGGTCTCTCTATATTTCTGTATTTCATATACTTTAACAAGTTTATTTTCTTTTGCCTCAACATACCTTAAATGTTGATTTATTAATGTTTCATAAGACGTTATAAAGGATAGAGTTTTAAGTCGTGTCTCTTCTGAGTTTATTTGCTTCAATATCAGCTCTCTATTAATCGGATGCATTGCAACGATAAATCCCCATAGTAATAACACTAAAATAAATTTAATGGGTACCCAATTTGCAATGTTCTCAATAAATAAAAGATTTATTATTGCAATGAATAAAAGTACAACAAAAACTAAACATGAGATTTGTTCATTGGTAAAATAAGCAAAACTCGATAAACAGGAATTAATATTATCATAGAGCCATACATACAGTAGCATATGATTCTGTAGATCTGTCAGGTTTAATACAAACTCTTGACTTAATTCTGGCACAGGTTCAGGAATAACAGGTTTCCTTAATGCTGGACCTTGAGCTGGTGTATTATTATTTTTCAAATTTTTGATTTTATTAGGTTTATGCACATACATGTATTTAGGGACCATAATACCAAATAAAATATAAAACAAAGGTCCTGAAGTTGCTGCTACAAGTGGTTTCAAAATAGCAAATGTTAGTACCATTAGTATACACAAAGTAAAGGGTACATTTTCCCAACTCATTAAACGGATAATTTCATTTATCATAATGAAAGGAATACTAAGTCTAGAATTCATTAGTATGAAATTATTACTCATTATTTGGACAGACATACTGGGCCTCGTCTTGCTAAAGACTGTACGCTGTTCAATATTGATCCTTGAATAATCTGAGGTAGGTGGTAATGCCATCTTTATAACCTTCTCGACTAAAGTATCTGCCATCATTTGTTGTAAACTTGTCGAACCATCTTTAGTTCCCTCTACGACCGATTTATTTCTATCTTTATTATTTTTACTATTACCATCCTTAGACTCTTCGGAATTTCTAGTAGTTTGCTTCTTCAATGGTGTGTTGTCTGAACTGGCTACGTTTCTTTGTTTAAATGTATTATCTTGGCCATTAACTGGGGTCACCATTGTCTTGGGATCATTGCTCTGGGTCTCTTCATTCCAAAAGAAATTTGTCACAGAATCCATTTTAAAGTATAAAAGAAAACGCTATAATTATCTTTATGAATTAAATAATTTATAACTAGTGATGTCCTCTTATGTATCGCTTTAAACTATTTTGATCTCCCCTGTAAAGGTTTGTTTTATGTCAATGAGAATCGTTGCTATCATCAATTTTTTAGAGACGCATAGGGTAACGGTGCCTATGTTTTTGGGGAACATCGAAATCGAAGAGCCAAAAAAACCAATAAAACGTTTCTAGTGTTACAGATGGTATTTAATTAAATAATGTAAATAATTATACTTGATTTTCTAAATTATATATCTGAGATATCTTTCCGAATAAGTGACACGTTCAATTGAAATATTCATTCAATTTAAAGTGTATAAATAATCGTTAAAAATAACATCACAATTATTGTTATATAGAACTAGACATAAAAATATATAGGTACATAGATTTTATATTTTTTGTTTCTTGGTCTTAGATGATTCATCAGAATCGGGATTACTTTTTCTCTTTAAAATATTGTTCAAAAGCTTTTCATCGTTAATGATTTTGTATTGTTGAGATATAGACTCCATACATTTATCTAAAGCCCGACATTCGGATCTTAATACTATCTTGGCCATAGATTCTCTGATTTTATCTGTAGAGTCATTGTCATCAAAGCTCATTGTAATGTTGATGCAATCTTCTGGGTACTCCTTCAATCGGTTCTTAACAGAAAGTTTCCATACGTCCGAACATCCCTGTGTTACCACTCCACTTTCAACTAATTGGACACATTTCTTTGTAACTCTCTTCAAAGTGACTAGTCTATCAACCTCATTTTGATCCTTCACATTTGGTATACTAGAAAGCGTAGTGATAATTTGTAAAAATAAGACCAATTCAGTCAATATCTCACCAGATATATAACAATCATAAGAATCCAAAACTATCTCTTCATCCTCAAAAAATGTCTCAATCATTTCATCGTTCTTCAATTCAGTTAGAGCCCAATCTAAATACTCTTCATCGACAGTGTACTTCGACTGTAAACTATTTTTAATGTTACGAAGTATTACTTCACCAAAATCGAACGCAGACCCTTCCATCTCAACATATCCGTACCTTCTAAGGATTTCTGAGTTTGGATGTTCACCATAAATGTTATAAACCTGTTCATCTTTAGCGATAGATTTAATGGCACGCATCTTTAAACTGTCCCTGTCATATTCCAAATGTGCATTGCATTTATGGGTGTCTGCATTCAGAGTATCAGCAAATGGGACCATTGATTTCAAACTAACAGTTTCGAGTTCATCATCATCATGACCCTCACCCTCTGGTTTTTCAACATCAAATGAATAGGACATAATTGTACTAGCGACTCTTAAAAAGTTTTCCCAGGAAGTATTTCCGAGCGATTTATCCAGTCCATTATCTCTAACAAACTTCATAATTGTCTCATACATTTGTTTAGCTCCTTCCTTCCCAATTCTTTCCAACACTAAAGATGGTTCTAATTTTTTCAATTGATCATCATTCCAGTACATCAACCCATTCAACGTCCCCGAGGTAGGTAATACCTTCATATATGGCCACCATTTACTCTTTTCATGTAGCCATTCCCATTCATATAGTAAGCATACAATAAGACCGTTCCATTGACCAAGCTTGTTCAGTTTGTCTTGTATATCTGGATAGTCCTTGTTAATCTGAGATGTCTCTATATTAATTAGAGACTCAAATGGAATCTCAAATAAAATTTCATCCTTAGCTATTTGTTCGTTTGTAACTACAGCTCTTCCCTCATTTGAGTTTCTAAGATCAACAATGGTGATTTTGGAAGATACTTTAACATTGGCACTATTCAACAACCAGTTAGAAAACTCATCGGTATCCTTATTAAATTGATCCATAATTATAATAGTTCCTAATGACAACGAATAAATCACTTAGTATACTATCTCTTGCGTACTTCAGTGTCGTTATATTCCTTTGTGGTAGACTCTGCTATATCTTTTTAAAATATATATGTATATATACATATTTCAATAATCCCAAAATGATCATCTCATCGCCTCACAAAAAAAAAAAAATAATGAAAAATAATTAATACTTTCCCTGATCTACTCCGGTGTTTTGTGACAACAGCAGTGCATCAAGGAAAAGAGGATAGCGCTAATTACGAGACGTTAGTACTTTACTTTGTAAATTTTTTTGTATAGACAGAATATATATTGGTTGAATCTAAAAATATTTATATGGGAGAACTTTTAATTAATATCTGTTTCCCTCTTATTTCTCTAGTTTTTGTTCGATTTCTTCACCTTCGGCATGATTTGGTTCGACGACCAATTTATTGTCCTTGACGATCACATTGACTGTCTCACCCGTTCTCAATTGTCCCTTTAACAAATATGTAGCCATTGAATTTAATATTTCCTTATGAATCAATCTATTCAATGGTCTTGCACCATAGAAATGATCATAACCATGATCAGTTAACCAATCCTTAGCTTCTAGTGACAAATTCAACTTCATCCTCTTTTCGTTTAATCTCTCTTGAACTTCCTTGATTCTAATATCTACAATGGATCTCAAGACTTTCTTCGATAATCTATTGAAGACCAAGATATCATCAATACGATTAATAAATTCAGGGGGATAATGCCTCTTCATCTCATCTATGACGCTCTGCTGAATCTTTGGGCTAATATTACCAGAATCTTCTTCACGTTTTGTTGGCTTTTCAGACAACAAAATATCTTGACCAATATTGGAAGTCATAACAATGATGGTATTACGGAAATCAACAGAGTGACCTAATGAGTCTGTTAATTTACCATCATCCAATACTTGTAACAATAGTTTAGAGACATCAGGGTGTGCCTTTTCAAATTCATCAAACAGAACCACAGAGTAAGGGTTTCTTCTAACTGCCTCAGTTAATTGACCACCAGATTCACTTAATACATAACCTGGAGGCGCACCAATCAATCTTGAAACTGTATGTTTCTCCTGAAATTCAGACATATCAAACCTGATAATATTAGATTCATTGTCAAAAAGGAATTGGGCCAAAGCTTTTGTCAATTCAGTCTTACCTGTACCTGTTGGACCTAGGAACATGAAACTTGCAATTGGTCTCTTCTCACTAGTCAAACCTGCTCTTTGAAGTCTGACAGCTTCTGCAATTGCTTTAATAGCTTGATCTTGCCCCACGACTCTTTCTCTTAATGAATCCTCCATGAACAATAAACGATCCTTATCGCCCTTCAATACGGTTTCGGTTGGGATACCTGTCATTCTTGCGACAACTTTTGAAATATCATCAGATGAGACAGAATCATGCAACATCGTCTCTGTGACGACGTTACCGTTTGAGTCCTTCTTATTACTTAATTCAATTTTTTTCTCTAAATCTGGAATCAAAGCAAACCTTAACTCTGAGGCTTTACGATAATCACCATTTCTTTGTGTTTGTTCTAATTCAATCTTAGCTTTCTCCAAATTAGCCTTTGCATTCTTAATAGAATCAATCTCTTCCTTTTCTGCATCCCAAATCTTAGTCAGTCTCGAAAGTTCTTCATTATCCAAATCTAATTCTTTCTGTAATGATTCTCTTCTTTCAATAGAGACAGGATCTGTCTCCTTCTTTAACGATTCCAATTCGATTTGAATTCTCATGATATGACGATCTAGGATTTGGATTTCATCAGGTTTAGATTCATGTTGTAATCTTAATACAGCACATGCTTCATCCACTAAATCGATAGCTTTATCTGGTAAGAATCTATCATTAATATATCTATTTGATAACACTGCAGCCGAAACCAATGCCGCATCAGTGATTCTTACCCCATGATGTACTTCATATCTTTCCTTTAGCCCTCTCAATATGGAAATGGTATCAGCAACAGTTGGTTCACTCAAAATAATAGGTTGGAATCTTCTGGCTAATGCGGGGTCCTTTTCAATAATTTTATATTCATCCAATGTAGTGGCAGAGATACATCTTAAACCTTTGGCTAATTTTGGTTTTAAAATATTAGAAGCATCCATTGATCCTTGTCCCGAACCACCAAGACCTAATAACATATGAACCTCATCAATAAAAATGACTACACTTTCATCAATATCGTCTAGAACTCCCTTAAGTCTTTCTTCGAATTCACCTTTATATTTTGCACCAGCAATCAAAGAACTCAATTCTAAATTATAAAGTTGCTTACCACGCAATGATTCGGGAACTTCATCTCTTACAATTCTTTGTGCAAGGCCTTCAACCAGCGAAGTCTTACCAACACCTGCTCTACCAATTACCACCGGGTTGTTCTTTGTTCTTCTTGACAAAATCTGAATTGCACGAGATATCTCCTCATCCCTACCAATAATTGGATCTAACTTCCCTTCTTTAGCTAGTGAAGTTAGATTGGTGGCATATTGCTCTAAGTATGTTTTTTTGTTGGGATCTGTACGTATTTGAACATACGATCTAGAAAATAGTAATAATGGTCCCCTCAATGATTTAAGGTTTTGTGAAGGTATAATTTTCAATTTTGAAGGATTAAAACTCCGAACTGGAGAAATTCGAGGTACAGAAACTGCCCTTCCATAAGATAGACTTCTGAATAATGTACGCACTCCAATTAACGATGTTCTCGTTAGTGAATTGCTTGATCTTGCAATCTGCAAATTTACTGTTCTTAGCATCTTGCTCTTGATAGATTTTTCACTCAGTCCCTAAAAATAAATGAACTTCTTTTATGTCACGTACTAAAAAAAAAAATGGTTAAATAATGTCTTATGTTATTACATAATTCAAAGTCCTTAAATAGTCTTCTGACTGATTACAATTTCTCAAACCTGTGCCTGTTTATTCGTTTCAATTTAATCTAGAACATTCTAGATGATGGAATAACTATCGCAACCCCCTCGCTCCATAAATTACTTAATCGAACCGTTTTAAGGGGGAGCGGGAAACTCGTTGAACTGACAGCTTGCGGGCTTCTCTTTTCTCTTGTTGGGTAAATGATGCAGGTATTTCTGAGGGGGTGCGTAGTCATAAAGTTTGAGAGGTCACGTGATTTAGTCCCCCCGTTAGAGGAAACTACACTGAAAAAGGGAGCTTCAGAGTAGGACAATGAAACGTCACAATTATATCTGGCTTGCGATGAAGTGGCAAAGTATCAATGAAGTTGAATCGAGAAGTTATGTAGTCAGCTCAGTTGGTTTTTTTTACTGGGATAAATATATATACAGATAGAACTACATAGACATATTTTTTATCGTGATTTTCTTTCTTGAATATAAGTATATTCATATATATTTATATTTATATGACGTTGATGGAATGATAAAGGGACATGAATGAATAAATGAATGAATGAATAAATAATTACTGTAAGAAGTTGATGATATGCTTGAGGGGTAATGGTTTGGATAGCGCAGTTTGAATTCAGACAATTGATGGCATACTAATGCATATAAAGAAAATGGGTCGAACGTTAAGGAATTAAGCTTGACTTCAAGGTAAATTGAAAAACAGAAACCCGAGAGAGTGTATCTGTATACTCGAATGCAAACACACATTAAAAAGTGCTACATATTGCTTTCATGTTGATGGGCAACAGATTTAGCCCTCACCATTCTTACTCTTGTTATTATTTTTATCCTGAATGGATTGAGGTACTTTATCTGTAGCTATATCAGTTGTTGTCACTATCGGTACAGGTGTCTCTGTTTCCTGTGTATAAGCTTTCAATTTTCCTTCTAATTCCCATATTCTATTCTTTAAATTCATATTTTCAAGCTTTAATCGTTGTACTTCCTTCATCAATTCATCGAATTTGCGTGATTTATTTTCAAGAAGTCGTATATATCTTTCTTTCCTCATACGAAAGGCTTTTTGAGCGTTACGATTCTGGACTGCTCTTTTAGAATTTCTCAATGCTTTAGAATTTGGAATATTTAAAAGACCATTGATCATGGGACCATTGGGATTTGTACTATTGTTATAATTGAGTGGTAACTCGTGGCCATTGATATTATGATTAATATTATCACCATACTCGTCTTCTATCATGTATTCGGAAATCTGTGCTGCGTAAGCATTGATAGGCACTCTATTGAGGTTCATAACATTGGTTTGTACTGGGTACTGCGAAGACGGTATGGGATTACCAGGTGGAACCTGATTATAAATCGGCATTGCAATCTGCTGCTGCTGCTGCTGTGATGGTTGTTGTTGTTGTGGATGATTGTTGTATATAGGTTGTTGTTGTTGTTGTTGTTGAGGAGGAGGTGGAGGAGGAAGAGAATGCTGTTGCTGTTGAATATTCTGATCTTGTTGTTGAACAAGGCCCGATAAATACATATGCTGTTGTTGTTGTTGTTGTTGTTGTTGTTGTTGTTGTTGTTGCTGCTGTTCTTGAATTGGCTGAAATGGTGTCGGCACCTGCTGCTGCTGATACAATTGCATCGATTGGGGCATTCCCATTCCTGAATTAACATTACCAACATTGTTCGGTTGCTGTTGTTGCATATGGTACAACTGTCCATTCTTCAAGGATATTGGAATATCATTAGAATGTGGCGGAGGTACACCATACATATGCTGCTGTTGTGGAGGAGGAGGACCTTGTCTCATGGGGTAACCGTAAGGGATGTTGCCGTTACCGTTTCCATTTGGTGGGAGGTCCCGTGTTCCTATGGAAGAATGGAAGTTTTCATCATGGAAGGAATTGTCCCTCCTTTTCATTTCATCAGAATCAATTCAATTATAATATATATATATATATATTGATGACGGTAAATATCTTTTAGATGCAAACGAAGATAAGAAAAAAAGGTAGAGGATGAAGATATTTAGATGAGGTGGAGGAGGAAGTACCCTTTTTTGAGTGCAATTGTGTATATATAATTCAATATTAAACGAATAAAAGAAAGAAAAGAAAAGAAAGGTTATATATTTATATATTAAAGAAAACTAAAGGAGAATTAAAAAACCCAAAAAATAATCATATAAGAGATAATTATATAAGA